TTTTTTTTGTGAATATGTTCGCTATAATTTTCTCCTATTTTCTTCAAAATTTCAGCCAGTTTGGTTCATTCTCTGAATTTCTACGGAATTTCTCGTATTTTCTCTGTATTTCTCTACATTTTGGTGAATAACCCCAATAATAGATCTGGAAAATAAAAATATTTTTAGATTACGGTAGTTGTCGTTGTGAGACCTTACGGCCGCGGCCATCGGAATTTCTCTGTCACAGCTCAGATCTTTGTCTCTGTCAAAGCTCAGATCTTTGTCTCTGTCACAGCTCAGATCTTTGTCTCTGTCACAGCTCAGATCTTTGTAATATAACTGACCGACATCTCTATAGATTAAAGCCCATTCTTTTTCGTCGACTTTATCCTTTTCGTGCGCTTTCCGGATGTTATCAGCATCGAAATTGTCCCGTTCTTCCTGAAAACAGTCATTTGAAATATTTAATGTTTGATTATGATACTTACAGCAAGCAGAAAATGCTTAATTTTCTGAAAAACGCTGGATGACGGCCGACTGGTACAGATTCCTCGTCGTATTGTATTCAGTCGGATGTTCAGAATACACCGTGTTATCATACTGGATTATTAGGCAAATACTCACTTGCTATAGGATCACTTGCTATTTTCCCATTTGCTTTGAAAGCTCATTTGCTATACTCTCATTTTCTATAGCTCATTTGCTATTTTAGCTCATTTGCTATAGATCATCTGCTATGGGGGTTTCAGAAATGTTTCATAAATGAGGTCATGATAACCGTTTTAGTTTGTTTTATACTACAGGCTTAGGCTAAAGCGTACTTTTTTCCAAAACTTTTGCCTAAGCCTATAATTTCAAACATATATAGCAAATGAGCTAAAATAGCAAAAGATCCATAGCAAGTGATAGTATAGCAAATGAGCTTTCAAAGCAAATGGGAAAATAGCAAATGATCTTATAGCAAGTGAGTATTTGCCGGAATATTACGAAATGTCACAGTTGGTTGATTTGCAGAAGATACATCTAGGAGTCCGGGAAGTACTCGGAAAATAACAGAATTGTGAAGCTGATAAATTAGCAAGGTTTATAAAATACAAATTCAACACTGAAAGCAATAACAACATGAGAAAAATTTCAAGACAAATTTCACAGAATTTCTTCCAAAGTATGGATGGTTCCATACGCATTCTTGGCTTCTTGAGTGAGCGTTGCGTTCCCCGGACGAATGACTAATCTTGTCTGGAGCCCTGCCTTACTGGCTGCAGCTGCTTCTGCTTCTACGTCGGTTAAGAAAAGGATGTCCTTTTCCGGAACTCCAATCTGTTCGCTGATTTTTGTGTATGATGATGTTTCGCCTTTCAATCCGATGTTGGTATCAAAGTAGCCATACAGGATCTGCAATGATCCTACAGTTCGGAACTTCCGATAGGAGAATTCTCACCTTGGTCATGTCTCCTTCGACAGAATTAGCAAACAGAAGCTTTTGTGCATGGACAGATCCTGACGAGTAGATGTAGATCGGGATTTGCCTACTTTCTATGATTTTGAGAATTGGTAGAACGTCAGGATAGACACTGAAATTTTCAATTGTGAATATCAGAAACTACATTTATTACTCACTGTCCCTTGACATATCCTCTTTGGTATGCTTCTTCCCAAATCAGTCCCTGGAGAGCCTTCATCGGCGTCAACTGAAGTTAAAATTTTCTTTTTTCGATTAAAGATGAATTTTCAAGTACCTTCTTGTCTCTCTTTATCCAATGACGCACATTTTTCGTTACGTCTTCGATACATTCTTGCTTCCGTTCGCGAATTTTCCTGCAGGATGCGCAAATTAGATAAAAAAAGCTGTGCAAATCAAACTAACACAACATCGGCGTCAGTTTCAAGCTGTTGCTCCGCCAGGCGTCGCAAGTCTTCAATAATTATTTGCGTAGCTGGTTTATCGTAGTGTTCTTCCAGATATTTTCCGACGTTTTCGAATGCGTATGGGAAGAGTTCATCCTGTAAAATAACTCATTGATCTGGATAGAAAAAATATATGTGAGCAAGATAAAAATATTAGTAACCTTGACAAAAGAAATACTGGTAATAGTGCCTTCAATATCTAGGAGTAGCGCATTGAACTGTATTGTAGTTGTATTCGTCATGACTGGAAAGAGATTGCGAATGTGGCTGTAAATTAGGAGAACTGCTATTTTTGGAATCTATTTTGGTATAGTGAAAGTGAGAAATATTTCTAGAAATTTATGTTTTTGTTTTTCAGCCACTTTTTCTGATTAATTATTTTACAGGAAAATTGATGACATTGAATAAAAATGGGTAGGACTGGAATATTGATTACGAATCATTGTGCAAAGTGCACCATTAAAGAGACTAGTGATAAACTGATAAGGGGGTCTTCTTTTTGAGTCATTGGATGTGGTTGTAACTGTGACTTAGAAGTGGATTTCATATAAGGTGTGACTCCTTATTTTATAATGCCTATTCATGACAAAAAAAATGTTTTTTTACCGATTCGTTAATTTTTGTTTCTGCGGTTTTAATGTTATCTCTTCGAGAAATGATAGAATTGCTGCCCTGCTTTATGAACTACATAAACAAATGAGCAAAAATTTTTTCTAATTTTTACAACACCTTTTTGTGTGGAAAGCAGAAAAAATCCATCAGAATTTCCGAAAAAAATGCTTGAAAAAATTTTTTTTGAGCGAATGCAAACGCGCTCTGATGAAAAATGTTAAATTTTTGCCTAATTCGGTCAGAATTCATTTGTAAAAACGGGTTTCAGATGATATTCGACTTGATTGATTGATAAATGTTCTTATTTTCAGCTTGATGGAATAGTAAAGCATGGGAAAGCGCAACTTCTACATCATCCTCAGTCTGGGAGTATTTTTGACCGTATCGCTGTATTTATACAATGGCATTGAGACTGGAGCAGAAGCGATAGCCAAACGACAGGTTTATTAAATTCATAGGTATTCGAGGATTTCATTAAATCGTTTTTATAGCAATATGTAGACGATTTACGACGAAAAATCGGTAACTTGGAGCACGTCGCAGAAGAGAATGGAAGAACAATCGATAGACTGGAGCAGCAAGTTCGGCAAGCGAAGTTTGAGAAGTCTGTAGATTTTGATGAAGAAAAGGAAAAAACAGAAGAAAAAGAACAAGTAAGGGAACAAGAAAAAGAAGTTGCACCCGTTCCAGTCCGAGGAAATCGAGGAGAGTTGGCACATGTTCATCAGGTTCAGAAGCATATTAGGCCTACTCCACCGATGGCCGATGTTTGTGGACTTCGTGAAAATATCAGTGCTCCACACTCAGACCTTCAGGTATACTTTTGAATTATTCTATAGTAAAGTTCTTAAATCCTATTCTTTTTTGCAGATGCTCGATCTTTACGATATATGGAAATTTGAGAATCCAGACGGTGGAGTTTGGAAGCAAGGATGGAAAATTGAATATGATTCAGAAAAAGTAAAATCGATTCCTCGCCTCGAAGTAGTTGTTATCCCACACTCTCACTGTGATCCTGGGTGGATAATGACATTCGATGAGTACTACAATCGACAGACACGTAATATTCTCGACGGAATGGCTAAACACCTTGGAGAAAAGGATGAGATGCGTTTCATCTATGCAGAGATCTCCTTCTTCGAAACATGGTGGAGAGATCAATCAGAAGAAATCAGGAAGAAAGTTAAAGGATACCTGGAGGCTGGAAAATTGGAAATTGTCACTGGAGGATGGGTGATGACAGATGAAGCAAATGCTCACTACTATTCAATGGTGACCGAGTTATTTGAAGGTCACGAATGGATTCAGAATCATTTGGGAAAAAGTAAAAAATCAAAAAAATCAGATCTAAATAGAACTGAAAACTTTCAGAAGCAATTCCAAAGGCTCATTGGTCAATTGATCCATTCGGTTTGTCTCCATCTCTCCCTCATCTTCTCACTTCCGCGAATATCACTAATGCTGTATTGCAGAGGTAAAACAATGCGTTTTCGAACGTACCCTAAACATCCGCCTTTTTCAGAGTACACTATTCTGTGAAACGCGAGTTGGCTTTGAAAAAGAATCTCGAATTCTATTGGAGACAGTTATTCGGATCAACTGGATACCCAGATTTTCGTTCCCACATTATGCCATTCTACTCTTATGATATTCCACATACTTGTGGACCCGAACCATCTGTATGCTGCCAATTTGATTTCCGTCGGATGCCAGAAGGTGGAAAATCTTGCGATTGGGGAATTCCACCTCAGAAGATTACTGATGAAAATGTGGCACAGAGAGCTCAGATGATATATGATCAATACAGGAAAAAAAGTCAACTTTTCAAAAACAGTGTAATTTTCCAGCCGCTGGGAGATGATTTCAGGTATTCACTCGACTATTTTCAGTGCCAAAATATTGATTTACAGATATGACATTGAATTTGAATGGAACTCGCAGTATGAAAACTACAAAAAGCTTTTCGAATACATGAATTCGAAGCCAGAATGGAATGTTCATGCTCAATTCGGAACACTATCTGACTACTTTAAAAAGCTCGATGCTGCGATTTCTTCTGAATCCGGAGAGAAGCTTCCAACACTTTCTGGAGACTTCTTCACATATGCAGATAGAGATGATCATTATTGGAGCGGTATGTTTTACCAAAATTATTTATTTTTTACTAGTTTTTGATTTCCAGGATACTTCACATCTCGTCCATTCTACAAACAACTCGATAGAGTTCTTCAACATTATCTCCGATCAGCTGAAATTGCTTTCAGTCTTGCGAATGTAGAAGAAGAAGGAATGATGGATGCAAAGGTATTCGAGAAACTAGTCACTGCTCGCCGAGCACTTTCCCTCTTCCAACACCACGATGGTGTTACTGGAACTGCCAAGGATCATGTCGTTCTGGATTACGGACAAAAAATGATTGATGCATTGAATGCGTGCGAAGAGGTTCTTTCTGAATCTCTCATTGTTTTGCTGGGTATTGATTCAACTCAAAAAATGGGAATGGATGAAAAACGAGTGAATGAGAATCTGCTACCTGAGAAGCGCGTTTACAAAGTTGGACAGTAAGTTCATCAGTTTCTGTACTAACTAAAACATTTATATTTTAGGAACGTCGTTCTATTCAACACACTATCTCGTAATAGAAATGAACCCATTTGTATTCAAGTGGATTCTGTGGATGCCGGGATTGAGGCAGATCCTCCTATCACAAAGCAGCAAATTTCACCAGTGCTCCAGTATAATGAAGAAATCAAAAAGCTTGTTGTGAAGGAAGGTGTATTCGAGTTGTGTTTCGCAGTTTCAATGGGCCCAATGGAGTCGATGAGTTTGAAGCTGGTGAAGAGTACTACTACTACCAAGTCTGAAATTCGCACGCATTCTGATCTTAAATTGTGAGTAGAAGGCTTTTTTCTGTTGCAATTCATTTATTATAATTACAGTGACAGTAATTTCAAGTCATCATCTACATCTGGTGATTTTACCGTTGAAAATGATAAAGTGAAAGCGGAATTCGATGGAGAGAATGGAATGATCAAGAAAGCAACTAGTCTTGTGGATAACAAATCAATTGAACTGAATTCTCATTATGTGCACTACGGAGCAAGAAAAGCGAGGAGAAAGTGTAAGATTTATTATTTATTTCATGTTATTATTATGGAATTATTAGAAATCGGAAAGGTTCGAAAAAGGGCGGATATTATTAATAACGGTAACGGGCTGCGCGTTGAGTAGCTGCAAATGGAAGGCGAGAAACAGTTTGCCCTTGGTAGACTGTTGGAGAAGAACCGAAAGATCCCATTCCAAGTGGAATCACCATTGGATATCCAGCGGTTCCTGAACAAAATAAATGATTTGAACTACCTAGGAAATAAAAACTCACTTGGGTACATTGGATATCCGTTGAGAACCAGTGGTTGTCCAGATCCCATCATATCAGAAGCAGCGAAACGAGGCTTGTTGGTGTACATGCTAGATCCGTAGGTGTCCATTCCCATCATACTTCCCGATACACCATATGGCATTTGCTGCACACCATGGACACTTTGAATGGTTTGCATTCCTTGAAGCCCTTGAAGTCCTTGGAATCCTCCCATTGTCATCATTTGGTTTCCCATTCCAGAATAGTATGGACTTCCGCTCATTCCTGGGCGACGAATGTAGACCTCATCACGTCCATAAGGACTCCCAAACCCAGATTGAGATCCGGAAGAGGAGTAGACATTATAGATGAAAGGGTCGGCTATAAAATAAAATCATTTCTATGATAATAAAAGATCCTACCTGATACAAAAACTGTGGCAGAAGCCAAAAGAACGACGGATGCATAGAACGCCGCCATTTCGATGTGAAAGCAGAGAGAAATGATACAAATCAGTCACCGACATGATAAACAAGCGATTGAAAATAAGGCGATTTAGGTCAAGATGCATCCGTTCTCTTCCACAATCTCTCATCGTTTCAATCCCTTCTTATCCTACCCCATTACTGATACATCCTCAGTCTCCAGCTTTTCCCCCTAAATCTTCTCACAACTAATTTTTTTCTTTCAGTTGCGAATGGGAATGAAGACAATCCGGCAGGCGCTTACCTGTTCCTTCCCGATGGAGAAGCAAGAGAACTCAAGAAACAGGAATCAGACTGGGTTGTAGTAGAAGGAGACGTTGTTCGAAAAGTGTTCACTACTCCAATCAATGACTTGAAAATTCTTCAAACCTACACACTTTATCAAGGTCTGCCGTGGATCGATTTGGACAATGAAGTAGACGTTAGATCTAAGGAGAATTTCGAATTGGCCTTGAGATTCAGTACCTCTGTCAGTAGTGGAGACGAATTCTTCACGGATCTCAATGGAATGCAAATGATTAAACGACGAAGACAGGCGAAACTACCAACACAAGCCAACTTCTATCCAATGTCTGCTGGAGTCTACATTGAGGATGAGGCCACGAGACTGACAATCCACTCAGCTCAAGCTCTTGGAGTCAGTAGTCTCTCTTCTGGACAGATTGAAATAATGTTGGATCGACGGTTGAGTTCAGACGACAATCGAGGACTTCAACAAGGAGTGAGGGATAACAAGAGAACGGTTGCTCATTTTAGAATTGTCGCTGAGCCAATGTCTCCTGGTGCATCAAATAAAAAGGAAGAAAGAGTTGGATTCCATTCTCATGTCGGTCATTTAGCCACATGGTCTCTTCACTATCCAGTCATAAAAATGATGGGAGAAACGACGCCAAAACCAATTTCATCCAAAAATGTAGAACAGGAATTGAACTGTGATTTGCATATGGTCACTTTTAGGTTGGTTTAGATTTTCAATTTTTTTTTGAATTATCAAATTTTATTTTTCTTCAGATCTCTGGCTTCACCAACCACATACGAAGCTAATGAACGATCGACAGCAGCTGAAAAGAAGGCAGCTATGGTGATGCATCGAGTGGTTCCAGATTGTAGATCTCGTTTGACACTTCCCAACACTTCTTGTCTATTATCTGGATTGGAAATTGAACCACTGAAATTGATCTCAACACTGAAATCTGCAAGACAAACAACACTGACAAATCTGTATGAGGGCCAGGAGTCGGAAGAATTCAAGTTACAGCCGAATGATGTCTCCAGTATTCTTGTTTCATTCTAATTTATTGTTTTTAATTATTTTCTAAATATGTCTTCTTGTGTATTTATATTCCTGCATTCAATTGCCGATGTGTGTGTACTTCATGGGTCTTGTAAATTGAAACCAACGATTTTTAGTCATTTTTGAAACAAATAAAGTGAAAATGCTTTCCATTAGTTTTCAAATGTGCTCTCCTATTGGGAGCTAATATTCTGCGAGAAGAATATTGCCTGCTTCTTTTCAAAACGCGAGCTCTCCATGTTTGCTCGCGTATCCCTTGACAACAGACGCCTTCTCCCTCTTCTGAATCTTACTCTTTTTCTTCACTGCAATAATACTAACTAAAAATTCAAAAAATGACCTCTTTTACAGATGAAAAGATGACAGTGAGTTCTATTGTCAGAATATTTTGCTGTTCGATTTTTATCTCTTTTCCAGGACCGAAGCACATTCAGAAAAGCGTTAATTGATCAGTCAAAACAGCAACAAATCAGTCTGATTAGTGGTTTTCGAGGCGTTGCAAGACATTTGAAAAGTTTTTTGACTGTTGAAATGTAATTTAAAACACAAAAAATTCTGGAAACCCCCCATAGAATTCAATTTTCAGAAATACTGAACCAATAAATTTGAACGGGCTAGATGATGTACGTATGCTTATTATTCCTCAGCCAAAGTCTTCATTTGGAACGGGAGAAGTAAATTGAAATTAAAATTTTTCATATTTCTTAAAATATAAAATTCCAGATTGAGACAATTTGGAGGTTTGTAAAGGAAGGTGGCTCTTTGATGATACTTTCTGGAGAAGGAGGAGAACGTCTTTCACTGAATGAGTTGATTTCGAAATATGGAATTTTAGTTAATAAAGGTTAGATTTTTCTCCAGGAATTTCTGAAAAAAAAGTTACATTAAATCTGAGTTTTCAGGTTGATTTTTAGATCTTATTTACTTTCAGAAAAGTTCAGAAAAGCAAACAAAGTTTAGAAGTACCGTATTCCCTCTAATGGAAGCGAACTCTAAATTTGAGCTCAATTAACTCGATTCATGTTAACGATATCAAAAACTTGTCAACTGATAAACTGTTGGTGATATCATAATAACATTTTATCAGTTGCCCACTTTTTGATAACTTTAACAGGAACCGAGATAGTTGAGCTCAAAGTTGACGGTTTGGGTTGACTTCTATTAGAGGAAGTACAGTATTTGGGTAGATTTTTCTTAAAACCTGAAGCATGTTTTCAAAATCCCCATCCGAATTTCTAGCTTTAATTTTCTACATCTACCGATATTTTATTTTCAGATTCGGTGATTCGAACTGTATTTCTGAAATATTTTGATCCAAAAGAGGCTCTCGTAGCCAATGGAGTGGTGAATAGGTCGATTGCGGTAGCAGCAAAGAAGAATGTGAGCACAGAGGCAAAACAGAATTCACAGTGAGTTTTTTGGAAATTTTTGAATTTTCTGGAAAAAAAAACAAAACGTTAATTTTATACTGAATCAGTTTGCATCGTTTTCAAAGTTACATTACTTTGATACATGTGAACGGGGCCCTGGCGGGCCTTCGCCAGCTCTGCCATAGTTTCTTTCAGAATCGCCATTTTTGAGCTCATATGTCTCGGTTTCTGTAGAAGATATCAAAAAGTAGTCAACTGACGAAATATTTTTGTAATTATGATAAGCACTATTTTTGATATCTTTTACTACAACTGAGATATATGGGCTCAAAGTTGACTGTTTGAGTTCATAACAGATTTGAGTTGTTTTCAAAACTTCATACATCTTTTCCAGTTTTTTCTTTTTAATTTTCACTGATCTACGAAAAACTTCTCAACTCATCAAGATTTCAAAAGTCATGTTCCAGAACTCTCTCATTCATCTATCCATATGGTTGTACACTAGATGTCACTCATAAAATGGCCAACGTTGTTCTCTCTTCTGGAAGCACTAGTTTTCCAGCGAGCCGTCCGGTTGCAGCCTTTCATGAGACGAAACTCAATGAATTTGTATGATTTTCAATTTGTTTATATTTTTATTCAAAATCTATATTTCAGAAGAAGAAAGGGCGAGTTTGTGTGGTTGGTTCGGTATCCATGTTCCATGATGTCTATATCGATAAAGAGGAGAATGGGAAGATTTTTGTAGGTCTTTTTGATTTTTTGATTTTTCCATATAAATTTCAGGATACATTCGTTGAATATCTTGTCAATGGTTTCGACCTGAACACAATTGACGCAGCGGAACCGGAAATTAGTGATTATACAAATATTCCTGATCATATTCATCTATCTCAACAGATTAAAGTAATTCTAATTTCTAGTTTTTTTAAAGGCTACAAAACTTGCAGGTTTGCATGTATGAAGGAGAGCTTGATTCAGCAGTGAGCTCGGATTTCATGAAGATTCTCGACAATTCTCTTCACTCATTTAACTTGAATCATTGGCCAATGACACTACGGTGAGGGTTTTCTAATAAATTTTAAAAAATCATAATCGATTTTGCAGTCTTTACGAAGCTTTGAACCTATCACCTCCTCCACTAACTCTAGTGGAACCTCAGTTTGAACTTCCAATGCCTCCATTTCAACCAGCGGTATTTCCACCAACGTTCCAGGATCTTCCAATGCCACCTCTTGAATTATTCGATTTGGATGAGCAATTCAGTTCTCCCGAAATTCAATTGTCTCAACTTGCAAATCGAAGTGGGTCTTAGCCAACAATTAAAAAGATAAAACATTATCTATTCAGGTGACGAAGAGGATCTTGTATTCTTCATCGAAAAAGCCGGAGAGATAACTGGAATCAACGTGGATCTTATGAAAAGTGACAGGACTCCAAAAAAGATTATCGAGGTGGCAGTAAACAGACTGTTGCTTTTCAAAAGATCTGGAATGGATGCCGAACTGGATGTTGGATCACCATTCGCTGCTGAAACGGATCATCATCACCAAGAAAACTTCAATCAAACTGAAGAAATGGACGAGCAATTGTTCTCCGATATTGAAGATTTTGATGATTTGTGATTGAAAAGAACAAAATTCAATGAAACCTTTAAATTTTTCTTGTAGAAATATGTACTGGGTGGGCACAGTTAAAACAAAAAAAGAAGAAATGACCCGATAAGGAGAAGAAGAATAAGGAGGGGTTGAAGAATAAACTATGAATAAAGTATGAAGAAAAAAGGTAGACAGGAAAAATGTAGAATGTTTGAATAGTAAGCAGTAATTGAATACCGGGGTATCATTTATAATAACGGGAAGAGAGAGGCGAATGTGTGAAACTGGGATGATGAGTAAAAAGGTAAAACCAAAGGAAACATTACATGAAGAAAAGCTAACTAGAAAATGGAAAGTCTATGCTATTAGCTATTGAAAATAAAGTTCGAAACTTGAATTTTACTTGAATTTCTTAACGTAGACGTAGTATCCGAGCCCAGCGACTCCGGCAACTGCAGCCGCAGTGGCAACATTTCTGACGATATCTGGATTGTTATGGATCCACGTGGCAAAATCACTCGATTCACGGTCTTCTGGAACTTGCTTCGACTCTTCGACAATCGTGGCCTTGGAAGACGGTGCCTGGCGAGCTGGAGGTGGCGGAACGAACGATGGCTCTTGCTCTGGTTCCACGGCGGCAGTTGGAGCATTGTGATCTTCCTCAACTTGGGCCTGAATATAGAAAATAAAAAAAATACATCCAGGAAAACGGATACCGAGATAATTGGGATCGCAGCGGCGATTCCAGCAACAGCTGGAGAAGGCTCAGCCAACTTGGCAGCTTCCTCCTTGTCGACCTTCTCGAAATCTCCAGGATCCGAATCAAGGCTCTGGCGAGTTGCCAATGGGATCAACTTTGGCTCTTCACCGTTATTCGAGTCCAAATCAGTGGCGGCAAGGCTGATTGGTGGACTTGGTTCCTTGACAAAATGAGAGAGATCCTCAGCTGGAGTAATTGGTCTTGGCTCTTCCTTATCTTCCTCGTGCTCCTCATTTTTCGGAATATCAATGTCTTCTTGTCCATAATCTTTTTCAACGATCAAATCTTTTGGTGACACTTCTCGTTCTTCCGACATCTTGACTGCGTCACCCGTCTGAAAAAGAAAGAACATTTAAATTTAGTTTTTCAAGTCAATGTTGTAGGTTTTTAATGGTTTTCGAAATGTCACAAATTCCAACTTCTATGAACCTTCGGTGTTCGAGAAATCGATCGAATCGAGAACGGTCGACGACGTTGAACGATTGGAGAGGAATCAGAAGACTCAGAATCCGACATTTATAGTACAAGTAAAGTGAAAAGAATCACGGAGGATCTTCGAATGAGTGAGTGAGGAAGAGTGAGTTAAGAAGAGAGAGAGAGAGAGAGAGAAAAAGAGAAAGCAGGTGAGATTGATGTGTTGTTCGAATTGATTTGAGGGGTTACTGCTAGAAAAAAAAGAAATCGGATGAAAAAGAAAGAAGAAGATAATAGAAAAAGAGCAGAAACGGCATGTGGCACCAGCTAGAGAAAGGAAATATGAGAAGAACGCGTGATGACGATGGATATAAGATGGATGTGATAGAAATAACCGAAAGGGAGAGAGGGAATATGATAACGAAAAAAAGTTTTTGGTTTTTTGTTTATCTTCGTAAAGTGAAAAATTCGGAGGGAAATGAAACTCCGAATTTTTTCCGCCGCTGTTATAGATCAAATCAAAAATTTGGTTACCGCAAAACCTGTATTAGAAGGGCCGGCCCTTCTATTGTTCCATGGATTCTGGGGTATCTCCGGAGGGCCCTTTTATTACAGGGGCTTTTCCGGCCATTTTTTCCTAAAATCGTTATTAAAAAATTAGGCGAATTGCAGACTTGTAACGGGCCCGAAGGCCTGTCATTCCACAAGTTTTGAAAATTTCAAAAAACACATAAGGGGGGACCCTTATGTGATTTTTTTCGATCAAAAAATTTTTTTCGAGTTTTGTTGATATTTTTCTTATCAAACAGACAAATAATCCAAAAACACAAAAAATAATGGAGAAAATTGTATTGAGAGCTCAAAATTTGGCTCAAAATGACAACATTTTTGCTACCGGGCCTTGAAAATTTCCTCAGGCCCGGCCCGGAATTTTATAAGTATGGCGAATTGTAGTTCAAAATGCTCAAATATGCAAGAAAATCCATCAATTTCACTGAAATCGGGAAAGTTTTTAAGCAAAAAACTGTTTTCCAGCCTTTTTCTGCAAAATTCTAGAATTTCCAGAATATTTTTCACTGAAAACGTATGGAAGTTTTAAATTTCAAACAACACATTTTGAAGAGAGCCCTTCTAATACAGGTTTTACGGTATATTGAAAGGTGAGATTCTCAAATTATTGATTTCAGAACAAATCAATGTGACTGGGTGACTGGAATGTTTTCCATCAAAAAATGTTTACAGATCCAGTAGACAAAGAACATAGCCGACATTTCTGTTGACATCAATAAAAATGAAAGAACTGATCAGAAATTGTCGAGATCAAATGGAACAAATGCCGATCGTCGACCTCACTGCTGCTACCATCTGACAGGACGGTGTGAGGAGTTACCAACAACCCACTTTCGACCTTTCGTCACGCGCCCCTCAATTTCTTTCAGAATCTCCGCTTTTCCCTATTGTAAACAACTTGTTTTAAAGAGAGTGATATCAAGTGAACACTGATAACGTAAATAGGGTTAAGAATAAACGGAAATTGAAACAATGATTCAACTAATAGGTTTGAGGAAAAAAGGAAAGGAGATGAGGAATCTTAGGAAGGATAGCTGCCAATACAGTTTCATGTGGATTCACATGAAAGGAAGCATGCTGATTGTGAGCCTGGTGAAACAGTTGCAATAAACCGGATCGCAGTGTGGGATTGCTTGTGGTAAAAAAGAGCAGGAACGAATGAAATGAAGTGGGGAAGAAGGAGAAGGTGAGAGGTAGATGAGTTTGGGACACCTGACCGAAACGAAAGATCTCAGTTTGAAAAGAGAACTGCAAAACTAAATACTTGAAAAACAAGGAAAAAAGTTCAGCAGAAACGAAGGATGGATATCTGGTTACGAACTCTGAGAAACCTTCTTTTCTATACACACTTCTTTGAATTAATAAAGGTTCTATTTATACGATTTCCAAAAACATTATGTAGCAACTACTCGTGTAGATTTTTTTTTCGTTTTGTTGACGATTCACAACAATAAGGATGAGCAACGACGCTGAAGTTGAAGAAGAGACAGATGACCATGTGCGCAAGAAGTGATAAACATAGAGCGCAGAGCAAAAGGGGAGAGTGAAACACGGGCGGTGGCTGGCTAGAACAACATTTTCTCTATTTCTCTGCGGCATCCTTTTCTTGTTTGAAGTGTTCTCCAAAAGTGTGGGTTTCAACGTAATGGGATGGCAAAAACGAAAAAGTCATCCTAGTTTTGGTTCAATTTTCTCTCAATTTCATGGGACACATGAGCGGTGTATTGAAGGGAAAAGAAGAGAGCTTTGAGGAAGGAGGAAGAACAAAGTACACCCACCTAAATGAATGACGACTGACGAACACAGAGAGAACTGCAGAGGAAATTTAAAGAGGAGAGGGAGAGGGTGTATACAAATTGTTGGCGGGAATTTGACATATTTCGATAGAGAAACTGAGGCAGCTAAACAGTTTGCATGATTGGATTGTTTTATCAATGATCGGGAAGTTCATATGGTTTTTTTTTGAGAAACTTTTTGATGATTGAAGAGCAGAAAAGCACGGATTTGGATAAAAATGAAAATTCCTTATTAATCTGGTTCCAAAAATCGGAGCTATGGAAAAGAAATGCCGGTGGCCGTAGCCCAAGATCCCAAAACGTGAACTACAGTTACCAAAATAAAGTTCGTATTCAGGATTTCTGCTCTCAATTTTTGTCGAGATTTTTGCTTTTTTACCAGAGCTGACAGTGGAAAATCAATCGAAGCCCACAAAAATCAAAACAACATAACCGGAAAATAACGATATTTTTAGGTTACGGTAGTTGTCGTTGTGGGACCCTCAGCCACGGCCACCGGCATTTCTCTTCTAAAGCTTACCACTTCTGGCGTTGCTTCTTTTTCCGCATCCTTGAAGATCACATCTATTTTCTGACAATCTTTGAACTGATGAATCTGCTCGATCGTTTCTACTAAATCGTTTTCTGGAAGTGTGAATATCATATCTACAGCTCTCCCTTTGCATGCTTTTTCGATCGTAGTCTTCAATCGTTCGACATCTGATCCTCCTGGCAGAGTGACTCGTTTATACGTCTCTTTTCCTTTTTCCACACTGTAAAAATAAATAGGATTAAAAAGAATAACTGTCTCCTGATCTCACCTTGTTCTCACAAGCAAAAACCGGGTTTTATTGAACGAATCCCGTCTTCCGTATGAATAAGTTGGTGAATTGAGTGGTCCAGGCGATCCAGATCCATTTGATCCAGAAGTCGCTGGGGGTGATGAAAAGTTATCGAACGAGTTCTTCATGGCATAAGGGAATGGAGGATGACGGACATAGTTTGGAATGAATCCTGGTGACGCTTGATCACTAGCATCCGATGTTCTACGGGAAGCACTATCTGAAACTTTGGTTGGGTTAGGAGGTGGCGAAAAGTAAAAATAACTCACTCTGCACCATATTTTCTCGCTCTTCTCCCAGTTGGAGAACTGTTCGCAATTCTTCTTTGTCTTCTGGGCACACCTATTCAGAATATGAATATTGTACATGAATAGGGACAGAGAATAGATGACTCACGTCGTACGGAATTCTTTGTTTAGAATCTTCTGCGTTCAGATCGTATCCGGCTTCTAACAGAAGCAGAGCGACGTTGTAATGACCACGGCTTGCAGCCCAGTGAAGAGCGGTCCTGAGAATCAAAATTTAAGGGTCTTTCAGAAAAAAAGGATAAGTTTGAATACAGTAGTTCTTGTATACCATTAAAAAAAAAATTTGACAGAAATTTTGTTGGAACACTTTTTTGCTCAAAAATTGACAGATTTTAATGACTTTAAAACAAGAATTCCCCGATTATTTTGATGAAAATTTTTGGAAAATATGGCTGGAAAAATAGAAGGGCCCCTGTAATAGACGGGCTCTCCGGAGGTACTTTGGAATAATAGAAGGACCGGCCCTGCTAATACAGGTCTTACTGTATTTTAACTTAGATAGTTCCTTCTATTACAGGTTTCACGGTATGTGTTCTAGAAAGTCCCACATGATAGAATCTTTCTGGAATTGGGCAGAGATCACTTCTGGGAAAAAAACTCAAAACTTGTCAAAGTGACCATCTCCGACTGACCGAAGTGTTTGACACTCCTTCAAAACACACCCAGAGAGCAGGAAAAAAGCGACAGACACTGCTCTCTGCTAGAGGGTAATACACTGTGAAAACGAGAAAGCTCTTAGGATTGTCTTCTTCCTGAGTCGACAGTTGGTATGCCACAACTCTCGTTAGCCACTCGCAATTTACACAAAGTCCATTCTCATTCGATCAGTTTCGTGGATTTATCACTGATTCGTGTGTCTTCTTCTATCAGATAGGAAAGAGAACTTTCCACAAAAAAGAAGAAACGGCTGTTCAGGACATCCATGCTGGTTAGAAAATAAGAAAATACAGATGTAGACTTAAAGTAGAAAAACTTGCGATTCACAAAAATTGTTTTGCGGGGAAAATGCGACAACAGGCGTCTCATATTTCATAACAGCGGTGGTCAGCAACTGGCGGGGATAAATAATAACGAAAAATCGTACTATGGTCCATAGTCTATGGGTCTGACTATGAGGCAGATTGTCCAAAATTCAACAACTCACCAGCCATTCGACTTGTGCCGATAATTTATGTCAACTCTTCCACTGAGCAGCGCATCTCTGACTCTAGTTTCATCACCCATACTGCAGATGTGAAGAAAATCCAATTGTTGCTGTTCGTAAGCATATTGAAGTGATGACATTCGGACGAGCTGTGGAACGGTCTGAACTTCGAAGATCAGCTTAAATATGAGGAAGTATGAGAAAGTTCCGATTTGAAGATCTAATTGGAATAGAGAGAATTCTTGAAGACGAACTCCGAAACTTTTGTTTCTATGGGAATTCTCAGAATTTTTTTTTGATTTTTTCGGAAAGGGGAAATCAGGAGGAACTTGATTTTAAAAATTTGTAGAGAAATCGTTCCAGAATCCGTTCGAGACTTAAATTTTAGGCCGAAAATGTGAACAAGTAGACAAAAAACGGGGCGCCCCGTTATGCTTGGCAAAAAACGTCTGGCTGTCTGCGCTCTCACGATGGATGGAAAAATACTTTCGTTGACCTGCCGGCTAACAATTGTCAGAGTCTCATTTTATATTGCGACACATATAAAACATTGAACAATCATAAAATACACGTTTTATGAGCATCGCTAAGGCCATTTAGCACATACAAAAAAGAAGTCGTCACGATTTCAAAGTGAAGTAGGTGGGGAGATTGAATTCGCATAATTTAGAAGTGAGGAATCCGAGTTCGGGCTTCTCATCATCCTTTTCTAAATCGGAAGTTAGCAATTAAAAAAGGAAAAAATGTGAAAGAGGGAAGGGAAGGGAGCATAATAAATAAATAAAATTAGATTTGGAATTCAATTAAAAACTGGATTGAGGAGGGAGAGAATATTTCTAGGGGCGAAAAATAATAATACTATGGAGTTTTTGGACGGGATGATGATGGGTTGGGATAATAAACAGTACAAATAAAAACAGAAACAAAAGAAGGCGGGTATAGCTAACAATGAAATAAATTATTACTTTAAAAAAACGAATTAGACTGCTTCTCAATCGTCGTCTACAGAAGATTTGAAGATCAGCTGGTGAGGTATCTATTTTGAAACTTTGGATCCACGCTTGAAAAGCGAACCGAATCCTTTTCGTTCTGCAAACATTAACAATATTAACTGGGGGAAAATATAGAAAATTCTTACTTGATGACGACTTGATGGAATCATTATCATCATAATTGGAAGGTGTGGAGACCACACTGGCTGACGTAGATCGGCCATCTGGAGTATTCATTGACTGGTTATGTTGATTGCTCTCAACCCAAGTGATGAACTCTCCGTTTTGTGTGCTTCGTGGGGACATTGATCTTTCCATTGGTTGGTAGCTGGATGAGGTGTGCTCTTTGTACATTAGGGTTTCCTAAAAAAAAACAGATGGTTGCCAATAACTGCTAAAATCACTCACCGTGTATCCAGAACTTCCTGGGTGGGCTTGAATGGTGTGACGGAGTTCAGCATGATCTCCTGAAAACAAAGTATTGAAGTTAGATTTAGTGAAGTGAAACAAGAAGTGTTCAGAAGAATTATGTGACTACGGAAGATTTAGTAAATGGCAAGGTTAGATAATTCTTGAAGAATACTAGTCCACCGAACTTCAAAGAAGAGTGGAGAAGACAAATTAAAAGATTTGAGACGCTGTTAAAGAATAATAAACATCTAGCATGCAGAAACGAGAAAACATGTTTTATTAGTCCGTTGTGGAGTGTCGATAGTTTCGCGAAGATTGTGCAGATGAGTTGGTGAAGACAGAGTGCCACCAACTAACCGTTCGGGGCATGAATAGAAACTCTGTTGGCCTCTGCAATGGCTTGTTCTACTTCTCCATAAATACTTTCGGCGTAGACAGATTGTCGTCGACTAGTTCTTCGAACCACTCCAATCTTCCGAGCCACTACAGTTGGTACCACGGTTGCTGTCATCGACGAGGATGACATAGTCAGTACCGACGGGGTTGCAAGCAGAGGACCAGATGGAGGGAAAAATGCAGTTGGCTGCTGTTCCACTACCTCTGACCCAAATCCGCGAGGCAAGGTAGCACAATCACGGATTGTGATTTGCCCATGGTGCTTGCCGCGTGGTAACGAAGTACACCCCCCTGAAGCAGAAAAAACATAGGATTAAAAAGCGAAGCAGAGCTGAAAGCATTAAATCATCTGAAAAAGATATCCAAGGAACTAAAGGAAACGAGGGGAAGAATGAGCTGAATAAAATTTCTAAAATTCCCGAAAAAAGGAAAACCAACTAGAGTAGTCAAGTTCGTGCTGTTCGATATCGTCAACTCCTGTGAATGCTGAGCTGGCATGGGAGAGACGATTCGCAACGTCATGTCCTCCGACGTTTCTTCTTGGTGCAACCATTGGGAGTTGTTCAGTGCCAGTAGTTTGGAGTAGGTCATCTAAAAAGAAAATAGGCATGCTTAACCGAGAAGAAATTAAAGAAGAAAAAAGATAGTTAGTCCCCTGATTGAAATAAAAAACATACCATTGTACGAATACGACTTGAGTTGATTGCTTGGAGTCAAGTGAGCGTGGAATTTGATCTTGGCAACCCATTCCAACATCTGACGCTCGTCTGGGCACGAGAACATGAATTCGGATCCGTCTTGAATGAGAAGACGGAAAGCATTCTTACGCTTTGCGTACTCTGGATACTGTTCACATTGGGCTCCGTAGATGTAGACAGGCGGAGCAGCAGCCACGTTTTCTATGAACTGCTGTTCGTCCTTGAAGAAGCACAAAAGCTGTCCACAGAGAATTCCATAGTAGTTCTTCCAGGAGCGGATCGTTGCACGTTTACCGCCACTTTGCTGACATTGCTTACGATCGAAGAATCCTTTCATGTCAATAGCTCCCATGTCTTCCCAACGGCTTCCTTTGCGGATGGATTGTGGGCGGCGAGTGGTAAAGGATGGAGTTTTTGTCATCTCTACCCCAGATTGGAGAGGAGCAACAGTGGATGAAGTAGCAAGGATATCACCGATTTGAATGGAACCAGGAGCTGAAAAATCATTATTATGAACATTATACTAATTAAATTGTTTTACCTAAATCAGCAGTAGTCTTCGCTCTGTCCTTTCGTTCCTTACGTGGCATGGTGTGAGTAGAGAATTCTTCTCCAGAAGGAGATGGTCGGAGAAGTGAAATTTCTTGAGTCTTTCTTCTTTCTCTTTCTTGTCTGCGGTTAGCCAAGATGTTTCCTTTTTCGACAATCTTGATAGTGTCTCTTCTCTTTTGATCTTCTTCAGCGATTTTAGCACGATCGATTTCCTTGCTTCTCAGACGGCTGAAGTTCTGCTCCACGAGCGTCAAACGCTTCACCATTTCGCATTTTTCGTTTTGAGCTTCAAGAGTCACGAGGAAATCGTCGAAATCACGAAGATGACTTTCAGCCATTTCAACGGAATCCACCATTCTCCAGTCATCTCCAAGAAGTCCAGCACGTTCTTCAAGCCAGGAGTCGAGTTGCTCGGCATTCTGCTTCCATTTCTGCACATCCATGTTTTCTTCATACAACTCCGCACGATCTTTCCAGATCTCACAAAGCATCTCCCACGATTTTTCGAGAACTTCGACCTTCTCTTGAATCTCTTGAGACAAAACATGGCTGGATTGGATCATTCGTCTTCCTTGACGGGCGAAGTCATCCACAAACGGTTTTCGACCTTGCATTTCGAGATTGTACTCATCGTGACGGCGAACCAGTGATTCACAGGAAGCAACATCACGTGGCAACTGCTCCGACGTCATCGTTGTTTGCATATTCTTCATCCATTGCATCATCTCTCTGTATTCCTGGAAGTACGATTGCAAGCTCTGCATATGGCGAAGTCTCTCCAAATGTTTCTTTGCTGCCTCCAGAATATCTTTGAGCTGTTCTTCCATATCCAATCTTCGAACTTCCAGATGATGTCTAGTGTCTGGGAATGAGTTCCACAACCTTTCTGCTTCATGGCACAATTCAGCAACTTGTTTCTCGACAGCCTTCATTCCGTGCATGAACTCATCGTGTCTTTGCAATTGAGCCTTCACAGAAGCAAGATCTGCTCTAGAAAGATCTTCTTGTTCCATTGCGACTCCGGTTGCTTCCTTGTCTTGAAGCCAATTCAATGTTTGGTCAGCCTCCTGATCAAAACGATGAACTTGACGAGCTCCATTCAGCGCTTGTTTTCTCTCGTTGGCAACTTCATTCACGTGTGTCCAGAGTCTCTGAACATCAGCTCCCTTGGCGGTAATAGATGCACCATATGGGTGTCCACTACGGAGAAGATCTTCTTGGGAACGTTGGACAAGAGCAACACGTTCTCCGGCTGCAGCCAATTCGCGAACAGTTGATTCAAATTGCTCGATGATTTGTTGACAATCTTCAAGATCTTGACCATAGTCTTCAGCAGAAGCAGTTCTTTCCTTTTCACGAAGCCAGTCTGATAAATCGTCGGCTTGGCGGACGAATTTGTGATACTTGGAAGCATCCACGATTTGAGTTCTTCTTCTAGCACATTCTCTGCAGAGATCTCCAAACAAGGCCTCCAACTTGCGTTGCTTAGCAGCAATCGACATGGCGTCATGATGTTCTCTTGCAAGTAGACCGTCAGCTCGTTTCTTCAGACGATCGATCTCGTTTTTGAAGAGCTCGACTTCCTTATCCAGTACTGTCAATCTTCTCAAATGGCTTTCTGCTCCAGCTTGGTCTCTTCCCATCTCCTGACTCATTGCAAGTGGCATCTGTTCACGGAGCCATTGTTCAGCTTCAGTTTCTTCGGTGTAGTATTCATGAGCATCAATAGCTTCTTGAAGAAGATCACGTCTCAATCCACAGCTTTCCTTCAGTGTGAGCATGGCAGTTGAAAGTCTGTCAAGAATCTTTTGGATGTGTCCAGAAGCGAAATGACGTTGACGAATCATGTCCTTTCCGCGTTTCTCAGTATCGTCCATAGCAGATTGACGAGTTTCTAGTTCCTGTAAAAGAAATCTTTAGATGATATTTTTTATTTTAACCAGATTTTACCTTCTCCAATGCAGCATGCTTTTTCTGTAGTGAAAGAGCGCTTTGCAACGAGTCTCCAGATTCTCCACTGCTAGCCAACGGCATCTTATCCGAAAGCCATTCGAGATCCTCTTCCGCTGCTTTCACCCATTCGAAGAAGGCTTGAGCATCAACAAGATTCTCTCTACGAATCTGCACTGGTTCATCGAGTCCAGAGTAACGTGCCTCTACTTGTTCTGCTTGTTTGAGGCAGTCATCCGCAGCGGCTGATCCTTGAACTCGCAATTCGCGAGCTTTCTTCATCATCTCGACAACAGCATCAGAACGTCCAGCGATTTCAGTTTGTAGAGTGTCAAGTTTTTTGATGAGGAGTTCGGTAGAAAGCATATCACGACCATGATCTTCGGAAGCGAGCTCTCCCTCCACCTTGTCAAGCCATTTTTCAAGATCCTCTACCTTCCGTTGAAGAGAGTGAAGTTCAAATGCTTCACGAAGACGTTGAGTTTTGAGCGCTGATTTGGTTCTGAGCTCATCCCATCCAGAACGCAATTCGACGAGTTGAGCTTTTACTTGTTCGCTCATGAAGTGATTGTCAGCAACCAGTTCTTCTCCTTGTCTCTCAACATTCGACAAACGCTTCTCGTTCTCAACAAGCTCGGAATCAAAAGCCATATGCTTCTGAAGCTTCGATCGCAGGTTAGTATGATCCAAGAAACTCTCATCGTAGGCAAGTTGAAGCTTGGCTGTGATCCAGATTATAAGCTCTCCACAATGTCGAATGAATTCGTGATATCTCTTCGAATCCTCCAGCATATCCTTTCGTTTACTCATGCTCTTCAGAAGAAGATCATGTCTAGCAGTAACCTCATCCTTGCGAGTTATAATATCAGCACGGTAGTTGTTACCTCCAGAGACGAGTGCATCAGCATTCTTAACAAGCACGTCGATCTTTTCACTCTGTTTACGAACAGTTTCTTCAAAAGCCGAATGTCCCTTGATGAGCATCTCAACAGCATCAGAAGTATCACCGAGCTCTCCGCGAGAGACTTGATTTTCCTTATCAGCAAGCCACTGTTCGCATTGAACGGCTTCATCGCACCACAACATCCATTCCAGAAGTTTTTGAAGTGTTCCTTTCTCACTTTCCCAGGTCTGGCGCAGTTGATGCTCAGAGTTTTGTACGCGTTTGTGAGCTCTTTGAACTTCAGCCTTGTGTTCAGGCTGTTCTTGATTGAGAGCCTGTCCTTCTTCATGCAATTGGCGAAGTTCATCAGCTCTTCCATCAATCTCGGCCTTTCGTTCGTGATGTTGTTCCAGAAGTTTGCGAGCACCGCTGCTGTCCTTTGGAGTCTGGTGTGATGTCATCTTATTTCTGACCTGATTGGCCCACTGTTCCGTTTTCTTCACATCATCCAGGTATTTGTAAAGCTTGAAAGAACGATTCAACTTATCGTTTCTCAATTCAGCAGCTTCAGATAGTTTTTTCCAACTCTCCTCTAACTTCTTCAACGAATCCAGAATCGACTCTTTCAGTGGTGGTCTCTTTTCAAGAATTTTTTGTGCATCCTTATCATGAGAAATCAGTTTTTGATGAATAGCACTCATGTCTCTTTCCAAAGCGGACTGCTTACGAACTAGAAGTTCAACGCTGAAATACAAAGAGGTTAATGACTAAAATTTCCAAAGCGTTATACCTGGCAAAATCTTTTCCAAAATCATCACTCTTCATCGCAGCGATCTTTTCGTGAATGCGTTCATCGGTATCTTCCACGTCACGATTGAAAGTGTGCACTTCCATGGCAGCCACAAGTTCAGTACGATAGTGAGACAATTGTCCTAACAGGAGACGCCATCTGTAAAAAAAGACATTTTCATCGGTTGTAGGGATTTAGAGTAGATTATGTCTGGTTACCTACAGATCTATGAATTGGATTACAGAATTATTGAAACTATACAGGAATATATATTTCACTCACTTCTCGTTCAGACGTTGTTGTTCCTTCTGCACTTGATCCCGACTGGTTCTACCTTGCTTCACAAGTTTCTCACCGAGACGGTTAATTTCATCAAGAGTCTGCTCATCAACAGTCGAATCAGAGCGAGTTCCATCCAAACGTTCAAGCAACATGCGACAATGTTCCATGTCTCTTCCCATGTCGGCAGTCGAAACTAGGACTTCTTTCTCATTGATCCATGTAAGGACGTTCTCCACAAGTTGCTTGAATCGAAGTAAATCTCTAGCCTCTTCAAGAGCTCTGGACTGATCGTCACATGCTCCAGCGAGCTGGCTCCATTTCACATTGAGTTCGTTGCAAGTGTCACCAATCTTTGAATTGCGATGAAGACTTTTCAGTTGTTGACCACGGTGGAGAATCTGGTCGACAATCGTTTTGTTAGCTGCAACTTCGGCTTCCAGAGCCTGGTGGGTCTGGAGTCTCTTCATCTTCTCTTCAATCGAAATGCTTTCACTGGATTGATCACGAGCCTTGCGAATTCCGTTGGTTTTCTCGTCGATCCATGCTTCAATTTGGGCAACGTCACTTCCGAAGGATGCCAGAGCGAATGCATCTTTCAGCATAACATGTCTAGCCTCAATGTCTTCGCGAAGAAGTTTAAGCTCCTCATGAACTTTAGATTGCCACATTGCGATGTTCTTAGATTCCATGTGACGAGACTTCACAAGTTCATTAGCAGTATGATCCAAGGTTGCTGTTCGTTCATCAAGAGTGGAAAGTGCCTTTTCGAAAGTGTCAAGTCTCTTCTTCTGGCTTTCAACATCAGCGACAGATCCACCAACAGCTAAGCTGCGAAGAGTTGTTCTCTTGGATCCAATCGAAGCAATAATCTGTTTGGCTTCTCTTTGGAAGGCATGCCATTGAACTGCTTGTGAGAGATATCCGTTTCTCAACGTCCATTCACTTCTCAGTCGTTCCAAAGCAGTTTTCAGCAGTCTGGTCTTGTTCTTGATCTCCTCCGTAGCATAGTGCTGTGCATTGACCATTTTCTCGCCATCACTCACAAGTCTGGTGAATTCTGGCTCTCTGGCGTCCATCTCATGGCTCAATCTGAAAACATTTAGTAAACAAATTATGATAATTAAAATGCAATGCTCACCTTGAATGTTCGGTTTGAAGCCATTCAGCTTGTTGAAGATCATTGATTTGGAGATCAGATTGGATATCACTTATAGTCAAATCGGTCCAAGCAAGCAAATCTCTGACTTTTCCGTTGAAGGTATGAAGATCGAAAGCGGCTCGAAGCATGTCTTTTCTGTCGTCTGTAGCATTTCTCAACTCTTCCCATTCTTCCACCAAAGTTTGTTGTCTTCCACCAATCTGTTCAGCATTTCCTCCTGGGTAAGCCTTCTTCAATCTTTCGGCCTCCTCGACGAGTTTGGTGAGTCTTGGTTGAGCATTATGAGTTTCCTTATCGAGAGCTTCGTGTTGCTGCCACAGAGAATGAACATGTTTAACATCTCTTCCGAGATCTCGTGGCATGTTCGCCATCTTATCAGCCATCCATTGTTCGAACTCATCAACATCACGGTGGAAGCGATGAAGCTCTTCAGCAACAGCAAGTTTGGCGGTTCGAGTTTCAATGTACTCACAAAGAAGATTCCAAGCCGATCTGAGCTTCTCCTGCTTCTTCACAACATCTCTTGCGAATGGTGGATTGCGTCGGAGAATCGTGTTGGCAGCTGTTTCACATGATGTGAATCTTTCACTTCCAGTCTTTACGCTCTGCTTGAATTCATCGAACTTCGATTGCAACTCCTTCAAGTGCTCATAATCTTCGGCAAAGTCTTCACATAAAGCAGTTTGCAATTGCTCTCCAATCCATTGTTCCAAATCAGCAGATTCTCTCATGTATTCATAAAGACATACTGCATCTTCCAGAGCGTTTCTTCTATCCTCAGCTAGTTTGCTCAAAGAATCGAACTCGTGCACCAGTTCATCTTGTCTCTTCTGGAAGCGATCCACATGTGGACGATCGGATTGAACAAGCTCGGAACACTTGACATCGAGTTTTTCAAGCCATTGTCGGTAGGTAGTCATATCCTCACAGAGTGCTCTATGCTTTGCCAACAACTTTCGTGCAGCATCCTCATCGTTTCCATAGTCTTCAGATGCGAGAGCATTCCTCTTTTCGTTCATCCATGACTCAACTTCAGCAGCATCGAACAAGTATTGTTGTTCTTTGACTCCCCAGTCCACGATAGCGCGTCTGGATCGGAGAAGACGTCTGAGTTCACTCCATGCTGATTCAAGTTCACCGCTCTTTGCTTTGATTTGAGAAGATGCTGGGTGATGTCGTTTGACGAGCTTTGACGCTTGTCCAAGAACTTTGTCGATTTGTCCTCCATGTTGATTGACTTCGGCTTCAAGTTGTTCTTGCTTCTTGACCATGTTCAGAGCTTCAGTCAAAGTGCGACCACAGTCTTGAGATGAAGCGATTGGTTTCTTCTCAGCAATCCATTGCAATTCACAATCAACATCGAAAACAAGTTGATGCCAGAGACGAGACTCGTCGAGATCGCCCTTTCTGCGTTGGGCTGGTCCTTTCATAGCAGCGTAACGTTTGAGAAGATCTCCGACGGTCATATGAATCTTGTCAGCGTCATAATGTCCTTCAACGGCCATCTTTTTTCCGCGGTTTTCGATATCAGCGAGCTGCAAGAAGAAATGTTATAAAAACTTGTGGAAAACAGTGCTTACCTTGTTACCATAAAGTCCCATTTCTTGTTCGAGAACTGTGTGTTTTTGCAACAAATCCTTGACGGATCTGAGATCGAGCCCCTGGTCTTTCGAGTTCAATGCAGACTCCATTTCGTCGAGTTTAGCGTGAGCATCTTCAAGAATTCGATCAAGTCCTTTCTGATCCGCAGCCTGACGAAGTCGTTGTCCTTTGTTGTAAACTTGCTTTTTCAAGTCTCCCCACTGAGCATTGACTTGGCGAACAACTTTCTCAACGTTTGGTGATTCGTAGTGATTTTTGCCAACCAAATTGTCTCCTTCTCTGTTGATCTGCTGAATTCTAGATTCATTAGCGATGATTTCAGCTTCGAAAGCCTCATGTTTCAAGAGGCGATGAGGAATAGCAGATGGAGCGAGTGCAGCATCATCTCCACTGGCCACCAATTTAGCTTTCTCGTGCATCCATCCCATAACCTCATCAGCTTCACGACGCATCTCCTGATATTCCAGAGAAGCTTCTAATTGCTTCTTTCGTTGAGCGGCGGCACGTCGGACAGCTTCTCTTCTAGCAAGAACATCTCGTCTTCTTTGTTCTATGTAGGCAGAATCAGCGTGTTGAGCCTTGATCATATCGTCTGCGGTACGAGAGAATGCCTCGAGTCTAGCTTCTTGAGCATCGAGTTTTGCTTCCAAATCACGATGTCTTTTGAGCAAGTTTTCAACAGATTCGACAGAGTCTCCGAGGTTATCGAACTCAAGGAATGCTTCGTGTCCTTTAGTAGCAGCATCGATACGTTCAGATTCGCGATTGAAAAGTTGAAGATCAAGTTGTTGCTTCAGAATAGTATCACGTCTTCTGTAGAGATCACGAAGAGCAGCCATCTCAGAAACCAATGCTTGCAATTGTTCTTCGACTTTTGGCATACGTGGGCTACGCTCCAGAAGACGACGTCCGAGCTCTTGGCAGTACTCAACCTCGTATTTCTTATCCTTGATTTGCTCTCCGAGTTCATAATGCTTCTTGAGAAGTTCCTCAGCTTCGGCAACATCAACTGGATGTACATCCTCCATCATTCCCTTCCTGGTTTTCTCGATCCAGCTCATCATGTCCCGAAGAGCTGATTCGAACATCTCCTTTCCTTGGGATTGCTCAGCAAGTAACATCTTCTCTTGTGCACGTCTCAAAAGATCAGCATGGAGAGTTCTCAGCTCAGCGATCTTTCTCTCAATAGCAGCAGCTTCTTCTGGATGATCTTTCTTCACAGCAGCAGCCAATTTCTCCAAGGCAGCAATCTTATCCTCAAGTGGTTTTAGGTCACGTTCCAAGTTTTGAAGGCTTTTCACATCGTTTGGATTACGATCGAGTTGTTCGAACTTTCCAAGCATCCATTCACGTGCACTTTCACAAGTTGTATCGAAGTCAGCAACACGTTCGGTAGCTTCCAAGCGGACGGCCCGTTGTTTTCTGAGGCGCTCCAAGTTCTCCCACATCGCGTTGATTTTATGCTGACGATTTTCGATTTGCCTTGATTGACCATGGCCTTCGGAAATCAGGTCGTTTGCGATGTCGTTGATATGCTTCAATTGAGTTCCTCCGTTGGTTTTCATATCAGCTTCCAGCTTATCGAACTTGCGACGGAAAGCAGTGACATGTTCCGGTGATGGTTCATCAGCCAACGACACTTCGATTTCTTTGCCCATCGCTCAAAATCATCACACTCGCGGTAGAAACGAAGAAGTTTGATGTTATCCGACAGAAGACGTCTTCTCACATCAGCAAGTCTTCTGAGCTCACGATAATCATTTGAAATTTTGTGTTGTCTTTCGGCAACAACGGAGCTCTTCGTTTCGTTTCCTTCGACAGTAGTAGTAGTTTTCTGCGTGGTTTGGGTGACTGTTACAGATTCTCCAGGTACGACCTTGCAGTAGTTGGCTGGTACATAGCCTTCGGTTCCATCTCGTTTCAAGGCTCTCCACCATTCAGGAGTGGACTTCTCAAGAAGAGCAAGAACCTCTCCTTTAGCTACACGCATTCCGTTTCCTTCGTACTTGTATGCCATTTCAATTTGGGGTACAGTGACTTCTTCAGTTTCCTGAACTGATTGGCTCGTCGTGGCAGTGTGGAACGCGCTATTAGCGAGCTGGCTTTGCATTTCTTCGAGGCGAGTGATGTCGTTTCTAAAATCAAATGAAATTATCTTTTAAATATCTGATGAGAAACATACTTGTAAGCACGAATCTCTTCCTCCAGACGAGCGTGTCTTTGCAAAAGTGACTCGGCAGCTCCTTCGTCACGTCCCAAATCATCTGACTTCACAAGTGGCATCTTCTCACGTATCCAGGATTCCGCTTCGTTGACATCTTGGAAGTATTGTTGAGCGTGACGTGCCTCCGAAAGCCAGTTTCCAAGAGCATCAACAGCGACACGGAGACGTTCCCATCCCTGGTTCATTTGAGTCAGTCGTCTTTGAATGTCCTCTTTCGATTGACCGCTTTGAACGAGTCGTTCTCCACCAGCAATCATTCCTTTACTTCTCGCCCAATGAGTCTGCATTTCCATTTCAACATTTTTGTAGAGCAACGTTGTTTGAGGAACAGCAGAAATATCACCGCTGTTTAAAGCAGTGGTACACAGTTTCTCCTTCTCTGCAAGCCACGCCATTTCTTCCTCGTGATCTTGAATGAATTGGAACAAGGAGCGAGCTCTTTCCAAAGCGAGACGGCGTGAACGGCATAGCTCCACAAGAGTGTTGTATTGAGAAGTGACCTCATCCAGTTTTCTCTGGAGAACATCAAATTGTTCTTCTTTGTGACGAATGTAGTTATTGGCAGCTTGTGAAAGTTTGGAGAGAAGAGATCCATGTGCATTGATTTGAGCATCAACTAGATCGTGTTTTCCAAGAAGATCTTCAACGCCGATAAGATGTTTTCCAACATCACGATTTCTGACAGCTGGTTCAAGAGAGTACAGTTCGTTGGAAAGGGTATCAATGTCGCGAAGCAGTGACATCAAATCATTGAGACTCATCAGAGCACGCTTACGTTGCTCCAGCAACGCCAGCAGCTGAGTCCAACGGTCGATTATCTCTCTTTCCATTCCACGAATCTTTTCAGATTCGTGATATTTCTCAGTGCATAACTCATTGCACATTGCGGTCAGCATCTTGAAACGGTCTTCACGAGCCAGAATATCAGTAGAGATGGCTTGTTGTTTCTTCAAAGTTTTCTCGACTTGAGACGCACTGCGTCCATGTTCCATCTCTTCCAGTACTACTTGAACTGATTTTAACCAACTGTCACGCAACTTAGCCTTCTTGTGGAATCGCTGAGCGAGTTGTTCCAACTTCTCCTGTCTTTGAAGCTCGGCAATGATAGAAACTTGTCTCTCATTTTCAGCATAATCCAACTGTGCCCAAGCAGATTCGATATCGTGCATGAACAATCCTTGTGGCGGTTGATACTGTTTTCGGCTCATTGCCTTTCTCTTCGTTTGAATTGTGAAGAACAATGCTTCCAACTCTCCTTTCTCCTTGTATTTCGGTGGTTTTTCACTTGTGCGGAACTGGTTGAACTTCGCATGCTCATCGCGCATTCCATTCAGCGAGTTGGGGAAACGACGAGATTCCAAAGTTTTAATAGTGATGCGGATCCAGTTCAGAAGCTCGGATGCGATGTGTTCGTAATCGTCCTCCATTGTTTCGGATACCATCAGTTTTCCAACAATCTAGAAAATTCCATATTTCTTTACATGTATTCGGGGAAGGAAAACTTACATTGGCAATACGTCTGGCTCCAGTCATCTCTGTCTTTTGCTTGGCAAAATGATGGTAATACAGAGAAACATAGGTGATGATAGACTTCTCATCTGGACGAGTGACGTCAACGTCTTCTGCATCAAGAAGACGAGCAATTTCCAATTTCTTCTCAGCAACATCGAAAGCGTGATTGAGATTGTCGACGTGCTCATTTGGATTCAGTCTATTAAAATCGACCAAATCAGGTCTGTGTGAGTGAATAAGCGCGTTGAATGCGAGTCCATTGCGCCAACTTGTTGTGAAGTTCTCGATTCGAACATTTGGATATCCCGCTGTTTTACGCTGACACCAAAGAAGCAACGCATCCTTGGCATGCTTTCTTTCTCCTCGTTCTTCTTCATCCTAAAAATTAGCTCAAACTTTCAATCCATCAGATTACACCCTCTTTCTCACCTCAATAACAATAGTGTCAATTTGGAATCTGAGGATAATAGTCCAGATAAGACCCAAAATTAGTCGTTCATTTCTGTCGAGAATATCTTCGGCTCCAATGTTCTCCAATTGGATTTTCTTCTTTTTCAAAAAGTCAAGTACTTTGTTAAGGTTTTCTACTTTTTGCACACGCATACGACCACGATTCGGTTTCCCGAGTTTGTCTCCAGAAATGATTTCCAGAAGTTTCATGAGAAGGATTCCATCTCCGACGTCTTCGAAAAGGTCCACAATCTCCAAACTTGCCTATAAAATAATGGTTTCAATAATTCACTTTTCCTCTGATCTATTTTCAAATTGGTACGATTCGAAGTGTTCTTTCCGTATTCCTGACATTCCTTTCGCTCTTTTGCGCGATGCAAAGAAAAACTGATCTAGAGATAAGAGAATTCACAAGGTCACTCTGGTCCGCATTACTTTCTTTTATCCTTCGTTCCTTCTACCCGTAAACAATTCTTCCCGACTAATTGATCCCTTTACTATCTCAATCTTCCGCGCTCTATCTGTCCACTCTTTCAAACGTTCGGCGTATCAATAATTATGGTCATACAATGAACCCAATCGAAAATATCATCATCATCATCTACATTCTTACCCGATTAAGAAAGGAGTTGCACCATTTTGTGAACGTCTTCTTCTGGATATGCACACGTTCGTCCTGCAGAGTTCTAATACGTGATCGTTCAAAGTACAGTGTCTCGTTGTTGAATTCATCCTGATCGGTCCCACTGGCATCTGCACGAACTGGTGGGGCACCGCTCGTCGGCACTCGTACCTGAAAAAAGTATATGGATTCACTGTCTGCAATACTTCTTCCAAACAACATATCACTACAAAGTCGGTGATACAACCAAAGAAAAAACAAATATTTACTAGCGAGCCCTTTTCCCGTTTTGACAGCATTGCCTTACCGGGGAAAAGTCGCCGACCACCGATAATAAACATTAATTTTGTTCGGAGAGTGAGAGTGTATGGGCTAACAGCTGACTGGGCCAGTCAGACTGGCTTTAAGAAGGGGGCTCTAGTCCATGAGTCATCTGATGATTAATTATAGGGTCGAACCTGCTCTTGAGATATTTTTCTCACAGTGGGAGTCGGTGCAGCAGCGGCCGATTTCATAGAAATCGAATAAATCAACTTTTTAGGCATGTCTTCACAGAGAAAAGGTTTTAGGACAAACGAACTTTTGCGCGAATACTTGCCATGGAGGTTCAGTATGATTTTCGGTTACAAACAAAAATCGGATTAAGGGAAATCCAATCATAATAGGTTTACAGTGTATTTATTGACTGATGTCCCACATTTAGAAAAAAAATGTTTAGCAATTTTTGAAAATATACTCACTTGCATTTCGTACTTTCTCATTGTTTCGTCTTTGTTGTCTACGGACTCTCCTAGACTGTCGTGAACACCTTCGCCGTAATAGTCGTGTTTTTGATGTTGATGGTAGTCGCGGTACTGGTAGGGTTTGACGTCTCCACCCGCTGAACCACTTGTCGTCTGATAATCGTTCTCGGGTTGAGGATCTCGCGGTGTTCGTCGCAAGTGTTCGAAGTCGACGTTTTCGCGACTTGGAGCAATCTCCTTGCGGTACCCTTCTACTTTGTCTGTAATAAATAATGTTAGGGGGTGTTTTTAGCAAGGTTATGAAGAATAATTCATCTGAAAAAAAAAGTGTGAGAGATTCTGATCGTTTTTAGTTTTTAAGAAGAAATTTTGGAGCTCCAACAAACAAAATTCGTGATTAGAAATGTAGAAAAGGAAAAACAGAAATTACTGGGACAATAGTTGATTTCAATGTTGTTTCTGAATTTTTAGAAGGTGAAACGAGGAATGTCGGTGTGTGTGTTGTGGAGGTGGGGGCGTTCCTAACGTTTATTACAGCTGATAACACATTCTTATCACAACGAAACAGAAAAATGAGTCACTAAATTTGCTCCGGGAACGAGTTAGTTACTCAAATCATTAGTGAAAATCGAACCAAGTGAGAACAGAAGAGGGGATTAGACGCCCTAGGGAAACAAAATTGGACCTTTGTTTATTATTGGTGCCACTTTGCAATCTAGCAGCAGTTCTGCAGACGCCTTTTCTCCTCGAGAGTGGAAATGACACATGAATCACTGAGATAGGGAAAACCACCGGTAACCAAAAAAGGAAATAGATGGCGAAAGAGAAATGTCTGAACCTTGTGTTGATATTTCAACACTACCACCTATCAATCTGCCCTTTCCTCTCTTCACGGTCCTGTGGATGCTCTGATGGAATGCAATGTTGCATATTTACCCCCCCCCCCCCCCCCCCCCCGTCGTCGCCACTACCAAACAAAGCAGAGATGGAAATACTAAGCATCAGACAGCGAGGGATTGGTTAGGGTTGGTAAAAGAATACACACAAACAGTTTTGCTTTCCAAAAAGTGTGCTAACTATCAGAAGCGGTGCAAATTTTAAGAAGAAAACTATAACAAAATTCTCAAAAACGAAAATTCATAAAAACAAACGTACCATTCAAATTTCGAACTGTTTTGCCTTCACCAGGCGAGTAGCTCGCAGCAAACGATACATACGACATAGTAGAGATCCAGAATTTCAGTGACTAGATTTATTTGAATATGCGATAATGTGGAAGAAGTAGAAAAAAGTGAGTGGTAGTCTATTTCCTCCGTTATGACCAGCTTTGACAATCCCGCGTTCGATTCTCGTCAGATATGGCGTAAAAGGGTCAAGGAAACACCGCGAGACTGTCGGAAAGTAGCAGTGGTGGTGGTTTTCCTCTCCTCCAGTAGGTACGTTCTTATATAATCTTTATCTCTTCTATATCCACTTGCGAGAAATACGTCCGGCGTTCGTTTCGTCCGTCCTCTAACCTAACTCTTTTCTATACAACACTGTCCGAAGAATATGACGAGCGGAATAAGAAGTAACGAGTGAGGAGGTGCCGGAGACGATTAGGCGACATCCATCGATCGGCGCGATGGATAAAAAGTATCGAATATGTGTATTCACTGGCGGAAAAATAACGGAAGGAATGTTCGTCGGAGACGCCCGGCGGCAACAACTGAGTGGCCGAAATGGGCGAGAAATCAAGGATTCCGGTGGCGCAAATTGACAAACACAAAAATAGCTGACCGCCACAGAGGGGCACTTGAGTTCGAACATGCCTCTTTCAAGAGCCAGGAAGAACACCGCTTTTTTGTTCAGGTGCATGATTTACAGCTCTGTTATCACTCAATAATCATTAGTCGTTGACCCCCTTCGGCCTCATTACTGATAAATTTGATTAAAATCAATCCGCAAAGCTAGCTTGTTAAATGATTTAGACTGTAGCCATTTAAAACATATATCCGCACTTTAACGAAACGAAATCCAAACATTCCATGGGTGTACATTTCCATTTGTGTGTATTTATGATGAGTTGAGTTCGTCTGTCAACATGGATGCGTCAGAAATGACACGTTTTACCTATGCCGCACCGAATTGACGAATACTTGACCATACTTTTCGCCGACGCATCGACGGTGATACTGACATTATTCATGGAGGGAAACGCGAAATAAGTAATGCGGTGGCAACTTTGAAATAGGTGCATACCGGAAATTCTCTAATAAATAATATCACTATTATTTACAGATTTCTCTTACAGATATTGAGATACTTGAGCTCAAAGTGCAAGTATCTGATAGCTTTTTCTACTATCGAAGGAATACAGATGGAACTAATTTGATAACCATACGAATGGACGAAAGAAAATTAGGTGTCGAAATAAGTATAAGTTTTTTTGGTAGAAAAAAAGAACGAAACCAAACAATGCAACCACGACCACCATAAAAACTGCGAGCTGGCATGAAAAGAGAAGATAAAACAGTGTGAAAAACACTCTGGACACAAGACAGTGAAACGGACAAAAAATGAAGGTCTCCTTTTCAAAAAAAGGAGTTTCTTTCACCGCCTAATTCCGTGTATCTCTTCAAGCGATCAGTCGGGAAAAAATGCGACATCTCGAGAAAACCGTCACCCAGTCTTCTTCATTCTACCACTCAACTAGTAGTATTCTTTACCTATTTGAAAGTGGAGTGAAAATGCGCTGTTTTGTATTTAGTAAGGAACAAGAAGAGAGAAGAAGAAAAAAGGGTCGAAGTGGACATAACCTTGTGTTGAACACATCGAACAAAAAAGTGCTAAAGGGTCGGTATAAATCGTCGCCATATGTGCTACAAATGTCGGAAACGGGCGAAGAGTGAAGGAATGGAAAAGACCGGAAGGAGGGAACCGCATAAATTAAAGTTTCAACTGTAGAGTTTTGGTTTCGCAAAGAGTGAGATTGACACTGTTGCGGGCAGAAAATTTGCATATTAAAATAAAAGGAAACGGAGTACTTTTTCCGTTGTCTCCATATTGTTTACGAGTAACGACGGAGGAGTGAATTTTCTCAAAAACTGTACTCATCTTACTATCGCCACAGAAATATCATCGACATGTCCTCGTGAACGATGTCGCTCGTGCACTGTCAAGGACACTGACACCTTTTGAATTTTGAATTTTAGAGGGACAGGAACGAAAATATTCCTAAAAGACAGTAGACGGTCTGTTGTGACAGAAGAACAAGAAGATCGATTCGTGATGTAATTAGGTGTTTTGAACACGAAACAAGTGTCCGAGTCTTTAAACTGAAGTAGCAGCGCGTATGAAATATAACTAGAAGCACGCTAAATAACAGCCGATCTTCCAAAAAAGTTAGAAGAAAGATGTTTGCTAGGAAAACAATCAAAGAGGGATCGCAAGTACAAAACGCATGACGTGTGAAAAAATGATAACGAGCCAGAATAGGAGTTAATTCTCTTGAATTTTAATACTAATTTCAAACAAATTCTCACAAGAAAACAAGAAATTTCGCGAAAAAAGCTTGCAAAAAGAGCTGAAAACAAAATTTAAAAAACGCGGCTTCAACTTCCGCAACATGTGCGTGACGGTGTTTGCACACATCGGTGTGAAACCCAGCGCGGGAATTCAAAATTGGTTTTTAGAAGATGTTTCTGTTAAAAGAGCAACCCGGAATAATTCAATTTTTATCATGGAAAATATTAATAAACTGATGATATTTAGGTTTAAAATCGATATATCGAAATATATTTCTCGATTGGGTATGAACTGTTCGAATGAGAAATGAAATAGATTGACCCGAAAAATATAAATCACATTTGTAAACAAAGCGTATTGAGAGAAAAAAAACAGAATTCACAACAATTCGAAGAAATACGGAATCGAGTTATTGTCGGAGCAGCACATAAAAATGGACTCTTCGCCGGGCGCCACGGCTATGAATTAGCTGCTTTTATGATCGGTCTGCAGCAGTGAGCCAGCCATCTGCCTTCGGCGCACTTTGAACCAATCGGGCAGAATCTGAATGTGTTGTTGTATTGAAATTCGTTCTTGTAAAGAGAATTTCAAAAAGTTTTCTAATACAGATTTAAACTTATTGTTAAAAAGTAGAGACTCACTTGTGACCACAATGCCTGCCAAGAAGTTCTTGTTCTCCGTACCACGCCGTCTCGGTCACAACTTCATGGTTTGGAATTGCGCACTTCGGATGATTTTCTTGTCTCCACGCTTCTGAAATACAGAATGCCGAAACAAAATTCGAATTGGGACAATACCTTGAATCAATTCGTCGCAACATAGGCCTAGTCCAAATGCCATAGTAATGCATTTGGATCCTTTTGGACATGTCTTATCTCGATTTGAACAGCTGGCTAGTGCCTTGGAGCCTCCTCCACAAATTCCTTTGTCTGCTGTTTAGAAAAAGACTTTGAAAACCTTATAGAGAATGAGTAAACCTGCACGGCATCTTAAGTTGCACATGTCTGTATTATCGAAACGATTGAAATTTCCACCACATCCTTCATATAGAAAAGGAAGACACATTTCGAGTTTTTTGTCAAAGTAATACTGCAAGAGGAATATATTAATCGTAAAACCAGCAATAGAATAACCCCTAAACTTTCAAGTTTGAGCTCTAGTATCTCAATTCCTATGCAAGGTATCAAAAATGTCTTAACTAATAAAATGTGTGTGTGATATTATGATAAACAAGTTATCCGTTGACAACTTTTTTTATATCTTTGACGGGTACCGAGATAAACGGCCTTGAAGTTAGATGTTAGAGGACCTCTCTAATACAGGTTATACGGTAGTTATAATTAATTTCTAACGGCTAAATCACTTTAGAATGATCTTAAAAGTTACGATACCTTTATAGACTTTTGTTTCTTTCCACATTTTGAATGACCTCGATTTGGTGGTTCTTGACAGCATTGGCACAAAATCACCAAGGTCAAAAAGATCAAAGACTGGATCCACATCTTAAATTCCAAGAGATTAGCAGCAAATATCTCCTTGGAATAAATAGGAGAAGAAGAGAGAAGTAGAAAGGTATATGTGGTTGTTCCTGCCTCGATGCGTCGCCCAGATAATAATTCGATAATTGGGTAGAAGAGCGAGGACGATGGATGACATGGAAACAGATGCAATGACGTGCCCTTTTTCTAGCCATGATGCCTCTTTTGGGAGGTTTTCTCCGCCTCAAAATTAATTATTACACTTGGAGGGAACCGATCGAACACCGAAAGTTCATGTTCCGTGTTACTGCAAAGTTCTTTGTGTTGATCTTCGCCTAATTTCTTTAGAAAACAGAGGAAGAGGAAGTTTCAAGGTATGAGGACGCTCATTTTTGAACCTCTGTTCTATCGTCTGCTTAAGGGAAGTGGAGATATCCGATTTGTCAAATACGGAGCATTTTATCATATCTTTGAATGATAAAATATCTTTGAATGGCGATTGACAGAATCACAAGTGGTTTGATTTTCAAAAAATCTGAAAACCTTTTCGTTGTTTTCTTGTTGCTTCACCATCATTACTGTAATAAAAAAAGTTATTGTAGATATTAGAAAATTAAACCATTTGGTTAATCGCCATTTGCTATCGAGTTTATGCTCATTGATAAGAAACTTCAGAAATGGTCATTCCGAAATCCTCTGATTTTTCATTATTCTTAAAGACAACAGTTTTGAAAAAAAACACCAGAAAAAAACATTTTCAGATTTTTCAGAACACCAATATGATTCTTAAAATGAATTTCAAGACACAGGGAAGGGGGATTGCGAAAAAGCGGACAAACTGCGGCTGTCGATCTAGCAGTTGGCTATAACTCCTTATTTAAGCGAACGGGGGAGAAACCATAAAATCCAAAAAAAATTGTGTTATATTTTTATTCAAAAACATAATTTTTATTAGGGTCCATATACGAATAATTGCCTTTCATAGTTTTTGTCCCAAAAATAATTTCCATAGCCAACTCTTGTAAGCTTTTCGGGAACCCAGCCTTACCTGTAAACCCTAAAACTAAAAGGTTTTCCGGTTAGTATAGGCCAATTGGATTAAGTTTAAAATAATTTTCAGAGTTGTTTGAGGAAAATGTTTGAGGAAAAAAGTATTTCATTGAAAGAATACAACTGTGAAATAAACATATTTGGAGAGTTGAGATAATCCGCTCTACATAAGAAATGCATTTTCAGGGAGCTGAAACATCATACAGTCATTCTGTAATAACTAAAAAACAAATTTGATAAAAATTGCCGTATTCCAGATCGAATTCGTTCGAGAATTTCGTTTGATGAGTAAAAAAGAATCTGAAGTTATGAACAAATTGCGATCGTATTTGGAATATAGTTCCAGTTCTCTAGTTTTCTGATAGAGATATTGAAGAACTGTAAACTAATAAAATGTTTGATGAGACTTTTTTTAGTAAATGGTAATTACCGTAAGCAGGACCCCCTAAATCTAACTTTCAACTTTGAGCCCATGTATCTCATTTCCCGTTATAGATATCAAAAAGTAACTAACTGATGAAATGTTAGTCACAATATCAACAATATTTTGTCAGTTGACGACTTTTTGATATCTCTCACAGGAAATAAGATATATGGGTTCAAATGGACGGGGTGCGTACTATCAGAATGTATACGGTAGCCTACTTTTGAAAAAAATATGTTATGAAACATTTACTTTTGACTTTCACTTTGGTACCTTCTACAAAAGATGACTCATTTGTTTTTGATGCCCCTTTTTTCAAATTTCGTAATAACAAAAAGTACATTCATGACGTTGTTGACAATGAGAGGTTTAGAGAGACAAAGATATCACCTTTCCCTTTTTCGGAAACTCAGGTTCTCACATGACGCTTCACAGAATTTCTTCATTTTTTGGCAGATATACACAGAGACAGAGAGTTTCCTAGCAACCTTCTCCCGCTCTATTCTATTTTATCCTTGTGTTGTCTCGTGTTGTGTGCTCTCTTGTTTCTCTGGTGCACTCTAGTTGCCCTATATTATTTCTCTAACGTCTGGTTTCCTATTTCTCGTCACACACAAACAGCCCCTTACTCTGCCATCAGACCTCTGCCATTTCTCCCAGTTCTTTTGGGATTATATGTTTTGCACGTCCGAGGACGCTGTCGATATGGGTTAGTTCTTGTACCATTTTTAGTAGTATTGAAAATAGAGAATGAGTTGAATAAGAGTTTTGTCTAATTTTTAAATCTGAAAAGAATATCGAAAATTGAAAACAGTTCAGAGGAATGTTTTGGTTTGTCCAGTATTGGATAGAATCGATTTTTTGAAAACAATATTTTTTCTGTATCTTGTGAAGTACATAGCCACCTTATACTTGAACTTCGAGCTCACTTATCTCCATTTCTATTAGAGATAACAAAAATCTGTCAACTGATAAAAGTTTTGTCATAATATCACCAACATTTTATCAGTTGAGACAGTTGATATCTCTTGTTGGAATGGAGATAATTGAGCTAAACTTATAAGTGTAGGGTGGACTTCTCTTCGAGCATTTACAGTAGAATTCTGAATAATTATAATTTCTGAGTAATATTTTGTTTTTACTTTTTGATTCTGGAGAAGTTGTTAGTTAAAAAAAAAAGAACAATCCATTTTTCCCATTTCTGGCTTAACTTTCTCCCATCAAACCAGAACAAATATTCGATTGTCTATTTGTTTGTTTGATTCCCAACAACTCTACCAAGAGATCATTCTATTTTCAATATTTTCAGATAGTGCCAGAGGCGATATTCGTCGTCTGAAAGACGGAGAAATTCTAAAGTACAGTTCTGGAATCTTGAGTTCAAAATGGAAGAGAATGTATGCGGTTTTGTTCAGCGACTCAAAATTCGTGTGGTTTGAACAAAAGGTTTGTTTTTCTAGAGAAACCATTGTGAAACCATTGCTCAATAAATGACTCACAAAAATTGTAAATGATGACAATTACTATTTTCAGGGTGACAGAAAACCAAAAGGAAGTGTTCTTCTGAAAGATGTGATTCCGTACATCTGCGTTGGTTTGATGACAGATAGAATGCCAGGTAAGCAAAAAACGAATTGATATTTAAATTTAAATTCATTCTTCAGTAAAAAGACCAAATGTGCCAGATGGAAATTCGGTTCATCATCTCGTTGGAATTGGAATGAATCCGAAAGCTAATCCCTGTCATTGGATTTTGTTCTCGTCGGATTCTGATATTGAGTGAGTTTCCTTTTTGTTTCTTACATTTAGGCGAAAGATTCGAAAAATCAAAGTTCGTCACCAACGAAATTAGTTACTTAAATTTTGTACTTTAATACCTGCTTATTCAGGGCAGAAGTTTACTCACTCTGAAACACGATACACTCTAAAAATGATTACGAAATTTCCATTCAGATCCTGGTTTATCGAAATTACCAAAACCTTGCCAAAACCAGCAAACCCTCCACCAAACGGACCACCAGGGCAACCAAATGGACCACCACCTCCACAACAACAACAGGGAAATGGAGGATACGGTAGGTCCTTAAAATAAATTACTTAAAAATCACTCAATTCATTTTCAGTTCCACCTGCCGTTTACCCAAGTGCTCCACCACCAGTTCAACCAGGATATAATCCACGTCCTGCCAGCGGACAATCATACCCATCTGGACCACAAGGACCTCCAGCATACGGAGCTCAGTATCCTAATAACTATCCACAACAACCTGCAGGAGTTCCAACTTCATCTCATACGACTGTCATCGTTAGAGATGGAGGATACGGTGGTGGTGGATACGGTGGATATGGCGGTGGAGGTGGTTTCGGAAGCACTGGACTTGGTTTTGGATCTGGAATCTTGGCTGGAAGTCTTCTGGGATACGGATTGGGATCCATGTGGGGAGGAGGACATCATTATGGAGGAGGATTCGGAGGTGGATACGGTGGAGGATACGGAATGGGTGGTGGTTATTACTCGGATAATGACACAAACGTCACCAATAATTACTACAACTACGGAGACGGAGGAAACAACCATGATAGTAGTTCGAGCAACCTGAATGATAGTGCAGGGGTAAGTACAAAACAAAAGTTTGTAAATAAATGTTTCTTTTCAGAATGCCAACAATCAATCCCAACAACAGTCGGAAAACAATTATGGAAACGCCAACGCGGATCAAGGAAACGACGGTTACGATTATGGAAATTCGACCGAAGACTACGGAAACGCTGGTTTCGATGCTGGAGACTACGGAGGTGGAGACTTCGGTGGTGGTGGTTACGATTCTGGAGACTATGGAGGTGGAGGATACGATTCGGGTGACTTCGGCGGTGGTGACTTTGGAGGAGGCGACTATTAAGAATTCTCCTGGCTTCTCTTTTTTTTCTTTCGCTTCGCTTTACAAATGTTTCAAACCCATTTATTTGTGCCATTTTCAGTTTTGCAATCTGTCTAGAGAATTCATCCATCTGCGATAATAAATGTATATTGTACAAATTTTCTTTTTTTCATTTTGATCCAAAGGAACTAGAGTTTGCATGATAAATGTTGAACCGTTGAACAGAGAACAGGTTCACATGAAAGGTCTTTGGATCCGGGTCTAGTAAAAGGGTATGGGAGTTGAGCATACTCCGTTCAAAAATTGATGAATTTCTTGGACTGTGTAGCTAGGTCGAATGGATTCTTGAACCACAAATGCAATTGTTATCATTTTTGAAAATACAAATACCATAAAACCTGTATTAGAAGGGCCGTTTTATTGTTCCAAGGGACCTCCGGGGTTTCTTCAATTTGAGAGGCATGACTATTTTCCAGCCATTTTTTCCGAAAATTCCGCGAAGTTGTGGAATTTCAGGTATGTTTTTCACTGAAAACGAACCAAAATTTTTAATTTCCAAAGTCAGATTTTGCAGGGACCCTTTCTATTACAGATGCTCTTATTTTTCCAAGCCCTTTCCAAGGCCCCTTCTATTAAATGGGTCATTCGAATACATGACCCAGTTCAGACATAAATCCAAAATAATAGTAGTTTTCAAACAAGAAAAGCAAATCGTCATCTGTTTATCTACAAATTCCAAATGACCACCACTCTCGGTTCACTGGCCTGTGCAAATCCAAAAACGCCTTCATCCAAAATCTCACGAATCCCTCTATTCCGAAACACGATCGAGATCATCACACGGAAATTTGCAAGATCAAGAGTTTGAGATGCGCTGGTCAGCTGCCTCCAAGTGCACAACTACTATAAAAGTTTGGATCCAAACACAAAAATTTCTCATCCAAAGTATCCCGATTTCATCCTACAAATGTCTCTTATTTCTCTTCAGAAGGTATGTGCTCTCTAGACCCAGGTGGATTCTTTTTTTGCCACTGATCAAGGCCCGCCTTTCAGTGTTATTTTCCATTTTTCTTCCGCGATAATTCATAACTACGCTAGTTCCAGTCTTCTAGACGCACAACAACTTTGAGTAATTTCGAAAAACTAGTAATTATAAATATGCGTCAAGAGGCGGAGGAGAATATGTTGATGTAAACCACACATCTCTTTTTTTCTCCATAATCTTTTCATAAAGTTTGTATTTTCGAATTCGATCTTTTGTTTTAATGTTTCCATTTCCATTAACACCCTGACCTCATCTAGTGCGTCTAGGACTTTGATGATGTCTAGCGCTAACCAGTTCAGCTCACTTCTCAGCCTGCTTATGATCTAGCTTCCGAAACTCCCACAATTAGTTTCCTAGGAAAAGTAAACATTCCCACTCTTTCCAGCAAACTTCCATGGCTTTCAACTTTTCGGAAGTGTCAGACGGCGGAGTTGAAGACACTCCAATGGTTTATAATTACAAAGATCCAGCATCGTTCTTTGCTTCTATGCTTATGATCGTCGTAAGTTATTTATGATTCAGGAAATGTTATTTAGCCGGGAGTCTGAAACACTTTGCACCTGTCTGTGTTCAGTCAGACAGTTGACGTCTGAAAAAATGAGATAAACATATTTTTTGTTTTTGATAATCAAATTGGAAACAATTTGAAATCAAAGAGTCAGAGTCAGAGCTTTTATTAGTAGTTTTAATCATAAATGAATAAGACTATTTGAGTTGAATTAGGTCGAAACTATAAAACTTCTCTTCCGCCCGCTTCCAACTTCCGGTCAAAAGTGGAGGGTGGTTCGGTTTTTGGACGAATATTGGCCAGATTCTGGTCGTTACTTGCCCAAGAACGGCTGTAGGATCGTTGTCAGCTTGTGGTCGTTGAAGTTTGAAATAATACTAGGTCGGAACCTTGCCATAAATTTATCGGAGTTCAGCCGGTGTTAGTTGCGGTCTTATCAGGAATCTGAACCTCTGACCAGAAGTCGCCGGCGACGCCCGAGCTGTAATAGAAGGGCCCCTACCTTTGAGCCAATTTATCTCGGTTCTTGATAAAGATATCGAAAAGTTGGAAACTGATCAACTGTTTGTCATAATATGAGAAGTGTTTCACCAGTTGACATTTTTTTCGATATCTTGCATATAAACCGAGATAACTGAGCTCAAACTTAACAGCGTAGGAAATGATAACAGTTTTAAAAACTTTTCGATTTCTAGAACGGAATATTCGGACTTGTATGCAACACTTTTATTGTCTACATATTCATAAAAGAACGGAAAGAGCGAACCGCATTTAATGTGATTTGCATGGTTCGAGCTATTGTCAATTTCTATGTTCTCACCACAAATCACTTGGCACTCTTTGTTCCGATGACTCTTTTGTAAGAAAGTGACGGAACTAAACTATACTAGAATTAATAATTTTGCAGGGGAAAACCCATTGTTAGTAAGGCTCTGGAGACTTGGGCAATTTGTATGTCAAACTCTTTGTATATGGCTAACGAGTACTTGACTGTCGTCATTGCACTGAACAGGTTCATTTCCTTGTTTTTCCCATTGTACTATGCAAAACTTTGTGGAATGAAACCAACCATTGGGATATTGTTGGTCATGTATCTGTACAGAATCGGAGCAGTTACCAAAGAAACGATTAATTACACAGGTAATAGGAGTTATAATACTTGTAAAATGGGCCCTGCCATAGTTTTATTTAGAATAAATATTTTTAGACCGAATGAGAAAAGATAGAACTCGACGAGTACTACAAAATGATACCATTAAGAAGACTATATATCGTCTATGAACAAAGTTGCAGATGAAAAAACAGGCAGAGCTCGAACTGGCCCGGATCAGCCACTTTATAGCTTATAAATTTGTTCATAGGCAAGATACAGTTTTCCAAATAGTATGATTTTGTAGTATTTGTCGAGTTCTAGCCTTTCTAATTTCGTTGGTCCAAAAATGTTGTTTCTAACAGAAACTATGGCAGGACCTGGTTTACAAGTATTTTAATTCTGAAATCTCAGAAGACTTTGATTTCAGCCATTAACTGCTACGTTCGCTATTATGTTGAATTCCTTTCTTGGAGCCCTGATTTCGATCCTCAATGTCAGAGCAACAGCGGGATTATGACATTTATGGCTGTTACCTTTGGTATTGTATCTCTTCTTAATGCAGCAACTTTTTTGAAGATTTTTAAGTTTTACAAAGTAGAAAAAGGAATTAGGGAAAAATCCCAAACAATATTGCTTCCAGAACCAAAAACAAGAAGATCGAGAGTCAAGAAAGAAAATCAAGAAAAATGTATACTTGTTCATTCAAACAGTGATGCAAGATTCGCTTTATCTAATTGATATTTCGTTCACTTTTTACTTTTTCTTTTTTTACGAGAACCGATTTTGGACATTCTTCTGTGGAACATTCGTCTGGCAATCCTTACACTCACTGGATGGATTCATCATGATCATGTTCAACGAAAGACTATCATTTCTCAAGAAACAACTATTCCAACCACTTGCATCAAAAGTTTCCTTCGTTAGAGTATCTCAAGCTCCCTCAAGAACTCATTCTCAAACCGGATAATTGCTTCTTGGAATTTCTAAATTCTTGTGTCATTTGATATACATATTTTTTTTTCTCTATCTTAATCACCTGATTACATAAACTTTTCTTTTTTGTCATACTTGATGGCGGTGTGAGCTGCATTTTGGCAAACCAGCTTTCAAAAATATCAGAGAAAAATTCAAAAAATCAGAATCTGTTAGAAATGCCGGTCGATTTCAGTAACTGGATTAAGCCGTAAGTTTAGCTTCCAAATTAAAATTTTCTGAAATTATCGATATTGTGATTTTTTGAAATATGAAAAAATTTGAACCCAATCCTAAAAGTTAGAACTTTTTTTGATTTTTAGATGGGAGTTTTCGGTGTGATTTGCAACTTTCTGATCGTCTACATGTTCAAAAAAGAAAAGACCAATCGAAGCTCGTTCAATCTAATTTGTGTTTTTCAAGCCTCTATCAATTTATACGTTCTCATCAGTATGTTTCTAATATGCTTCTTGCCAAGTATTGTTTTGTAAGTTTTAGGCATGTTTGTAAACACTTTAAGAGAGATCAACCGTCAACTTTGAGCTTATATATCTCATTTCCTGTAAATGATATCAAAAAGTGGTTTACGGACAAAGTGTTAATTATGTCATTATCAATTTTTTGTCAGTTAATTACTTTTCGATTGCTTCAGCAAGAAATGAGATACATTGGCTCAAAATTAAAAGATAAGGTGGCATTCTATTAGAGCGTTTACGATGTTTAATACGAATTAAAGAAAGTCCCATTTTTTCAGAGGCTACTCCATCTATCATCCTCTTCTCGAAGCCTTTTTCATAATACTTTCAAACACTTTTTAGCTTGGTAATGAGTATCAAACTATACTAGTCGCTGCAAATCGATTTTGTGCCCTATTCTTCCCACTTCACTATTCAAAGTTCTTCGGATATAAATCTACAATGGTGCGTTGGTTTTAAATTACTTTTTGAGCAAATTTAGCCTTTTCCAGATAATGCTATTTGCAATTTATGGCTACCGATTTGTGGCTCTGTTTATCCAATCCTTCTTTTTCTATGATGTAGGAGTAACCAATGACGTCGAGTGTCTTATTTTCTTCTCACATGAAAAGTTAACATGGACATTAACAGATGATCCAAGTTGTAGTACAGAAGACAATATTCTACTGGTGGTGTCTATTACATTCCTTGTCGTTTTTATCTTGAATATCGCTGTATTCACGAAAATCATTTTTATCAAAAGGTTTGTTTTTGAGATGTTTATTTAAAAGAAGAAGATTGTCATTACAGATGATAACCAAAGATGGAAAAAAGGTTTCTCCGAATGAGAAGAAAAATATAATTTTATTCGTTCAGACAGTTTTACAAGACTCTTTGTACATAATAGATTTGACATTCACATTCAAATTGAATAGTCTATCGAGTACAAAAATGTGGGCTTTCATAAGCGGGACATTTATCTGGGAATGTCTTCATTCCTTGGATGGGTTTGTTTATCTTTGTCTGCCTATCCTAGTTAGCCTATCCTAGTCAGTTGGCTTGGGGACTATCTGTCTAACCGCACTTTTTCTGTCAAAGTCGATAACTAAATTGATCCACCTTCCTTTCCGGTTCCCTTTGGTGTTCCGCAAGAATAGTGGTTGGACCTCTCCTTTTCATCATTTTCATTAATGATCTTCTTGAAAGTATCCCCCACTGGTCTCCACTTCTCTGCTTTTGCTGACGACATAAAACTCTATTCCCATGATCCCTTCCTTCTACAATCTGGAATCAACACTATAGATACCTGGGCCACAAACAATAAGCTTCCTCTAGCTCATACAAAGACTTCTCTTCTACGCCTTGGTTCAAGAAACAAGCGCGCTCCCCTTTTCATCTCCTCCTCAGCTATTGAGCCTTCTGACAATATTCGTGATCTAGGACTTATTACCGACTCCAAACTTAAGTTCACCCAACACATAAACAAATCGGTTGCTGTTTCACTTCTCCGATCCAAACAACTTTTGAAATCTTTCAAATCCTCCAACCCCTCTTTCTACCTTCACTTATTCAGAACCTACGTACTCCCCTCTCTTGAGTACTGTTCAGTAATTTGTTCTCCTCCCCCCAATTCCAAACTCTCTCAAAAACTCGAATCCCCACTCCGTTTCTTCACCCGTAAAGTCTTCCAGAAATGCAATATCTCATACTCTTCTTATCAAGATCGTCTTTCCCAACTTGCCCTCTTCTCTATCAGACATCGTAGACTTAAATCTAAACTTATGCTGCTTTACAAAATGATTAGTGACGCCTCTTATATGCCAGAATTATCCTCTTTCTTAAGAATTTCCGACTGTCCTAGGAGACCTATGACCCATATTCTCTCAGATAAATGTACCGATGACTTCTTCTTCACCACCCCCCCCCCCTATTTGGAATGCAATTGTAAGGAATACTCCCCAATTTTTAACTCCCGGTCAATTTTCTACCTTAATCCAATCTTAGATCACCCGGTTTTATCTTACCTTTTCCCCCTTTTTTTTTATCTTGCCAACCTTACATGTATACCATTTTCTTCCCCATTCTCTAGGTTCATCTCGTTAGGGATTTTATCTAGAACTCCCGTTATAACTTTTGTGCCATATTTTCTTCTGATCAATAAATTATCAAATTATCTTCTTCGAGCTGTGAACATCTGAAAGTTTAGTCTCTTCAATGAAAGATTGTCTATTCTGAAGAATTTTATCAAATGGAATCCGTCTACACAAACCACAGAAAAGTCTAGAACTTCTCCGTCGACGACATTGGCAAAAGATCATCAAAACTCATCCAACCGGAACCAGTTTTTTGCTTCACTTCACGAATTACCACGCAATTTTTTTTCAGTTTTGGTTTCATAATAAATATATTTGTCCTAAAAATTTGTTGATAATGTCGATTCCTAATGAAACTTACTATAATTTTCATGACCCGTATAACATAATTGCTGGAGTTGCAATGGGATTCGTAGGTTTCTTGAATAACCGAAAATAATTGAACTTTGCTGCAGGTCTCAATGATTGGTGTTCTTTGCAATTATCTCGTTGTGACCATATTTTTTGAAAACAGTTCTGAAAAAACCTCGTTTAATATACTCAATGTAACAAGAGCTTTTGTCAATCTCTTCATTCTCATAGCTCTTTTTCTCATCGTTTTTCTACCAACAGCTCTCTTGTGAGTTTCCCTTCCTAGACCAGTCGGCTCCGGACGTTTCCAAAGTATGATAAGTATGACAATTTTCCGTCTACATAAAACTGACCAGAAATCGATTTTCCAAAAAGTTCGATTTCATATGGATCAAAGCCATACATGTCAACCGGACCGACCAATACCAACTACGGATACTCAGTTCTAATATAAAACTTTTTTTTCAAATCAAAATGGTAAATGTAGAGCTTGATGAGATCTACAAAAAGATTTCTTATTCGACTATATTTGAATATTAGGGTTCGATCCAGAAGGCGGAAAATAAGTGGGTCGGCAAAATTCTACCGGCTGTATGTTGTCTTTAATTGGAAACCCAACATTTGGCTGTAGCCGAGTCAAAAAATATTTTGTAGTTTTCGTTGAATTCTACATGTTCTTTTTGATCTGATTAAAATTTCTAAGTATGAACCGAGTTATACCACGGCTTCATCCTGATTGACCAAGCTTACATGTTCGGCTTTGGGCTATTTGAAATTGTCCTTTTATGAGATAACGTCGATTTCGGTTTTATGTAGGTGAAAATTTGATAGTTTCTAATTGGCCTTTTTCGAGTAGTCCGCTTTTGAAATGTCCGCATGCGAAATGCCCTGGAGCCGATCAGTGAACCCATTAAACACTTCAGAGGATACACTCCATTGTTACCTCTCATTGCATCGACCCTGATTATTTTCTTCTCAATGGCCTTCTACACTATAAATGAAAACCAAACTCTAATTACTGCAGTCAACAGACTATGTGCACTTTATTTCCCATTTCAGTATACGAAACTTTTTGGAATCAAACCAACTATGGTACTGAAATCGGAAAGTTTACCGCCTTCCCAAATAAAATGTTTCAGCTGATTTTATCAATCCTTTGGGCATGGAGACTTGGCGAAGTTATAGTTCCTCTCTGCTTCATTGACTTCTCAGTGAATAAATGTTATGCGTACTTTTCTCCTGATAAGCTTTCTTGGATGGTAACATCTTATGATTACTGTGCTGATGTATACAACAATACTTTGTTGGTGGCTGTGATAATATTTGGTTTATCCACAGTTTTAAATATTGCAACGTTCTCCAAAGTATTGTATTTCTATCGAGTAGGACTTTCCAAAGTAATTATTAGATCCTATGAGTTATATTCAGAATAAAAATCGGACGGATGTTGTTTCAAAACAAAAAGAAAGGAAGAATATTTTTCTGTTCTTCCAAACTATTATTCAAGATTTGCTTTATGTGATTGACTTTTCTTTCACTTTTTATTTCAAGTGAGATCTCTTATTCCTAATTAGATCATTACTTAATAAATTTTCAGTACTCTCATAGATCATAGATTGTGGACATTCTTATCAGGTACTCTGATATGGCAGTTGATACATGCATTGGATGGGTAAGGGAAAATCAAAATTGGATAAAAATTTAAATAAGATCATTCAGATTTATTATTGTTTTATTTAGTGATAAAATGACATTTATCAAGAAGTGTTTTGTGAAAAATTCGACGACTTCTGAAGTGCAATCCATTCAAAGAATAGAAGGAAAACGACGCTCAATATCTGCAGCGATGGCAACAATTAACTGAAAGTTGTGTTTTTATAAGGTGAAAATAAATGGGGGTTACTGAAGTTCGAATTCTGTTCAAACTTCACTGGGTGTATTACTCTGGTGTAGTTTCAATTGAGGCAAAAAATTGGAGGGCGGGCGGTGCGTAGGTCGTGTAGCTAAGACTTTGAGGTAACATATAAACTATGAAAGTTATCGAAAAATCAATAAAATTCATCATAAAATCGAGAAAATATACAGAAAAATGTTAACGAAAAATACATGATCTTTTGAGGATTTCGGACCTAAGCTCCGCCCACCCTCAAACTTTAAACCATTAAAACTCTAGGATGGGAAAGAGCCTTTACAGTTTCATCAGTTGTACTAAGGTATCCCTACGTATCTCTGGAACTCTATATTTTTAAAGATATCATTTTTCCTGCATTTGTTTACTTTTTTCAAAACAAGGTGACAAACAAATTACGCAAGATTTCCGGTTTCTTCTTCTCCCACATAGAAAACCCTATAATTTACTTGTCGAATATATCATGCATACATTTGAATAAAACCTTACAAAACTTCTATCTTGGACTTCTGGTTGGACTTCATTTCAATTTCTTATTTTGTCTATTGCTTCCTAATCCATATCACATGGAATTCTTTAATGGAAAAATCCATAGGGACATCCTAATTAGCTAGCTAGGAAGCTAGGTGGAGTCAGGTAGTCAACAAGTATAATTTTCTTCCTGGTTTCTCATTTTTGCTCGCTTGAACTCATGGAAAGCCCAACTGAAGTTGTTCTCGATTACAGTAACCCGCTAAATGCTACAGTAGCATTTTTAACTTTGGTGGTACGGTAACTAATCTAGATCATCAAACTGAAAATATATTGTTCAGATTGGCGTGTTTGGTGTCATTTGTAATAGCTCAATTGTTTACATTTTCTACAAGGAAAAGTCTGAAAGAAGCTCGTTTAACTTGATATGTGTATTCAGAAGTCTCTCGAACATCTACATATTGGGAACGACGTTTTTGGGATTGTTCCTTCCGAAAACTGTTCTGTAAGTTGATTAAAACTCAAAGTTATTTTATTTTTCTGGTTTTAGCGGTTTCTCTCCATATCCACCAGCTCTAGAAAGTACATTGATCCATATTTCCAATACTCTGTACCTTGGAAATGAGTATCAAATTATTCTAGTTGCCGTTAATAGATTCATTGCGATGTTTCTCCCAGTTTACTATAATAAACTTTGCGGCTTCAAATCTACTTTGGTTAGTCTATTTTTCAAACCTCAGTTGACTTCCAAATTTAATTTCAGCTAATTCTCGTCCTCATTTATTTGGTACGAATTGTGATTGTCATTTTTGAGACATATGACCAATTGAGTAAGTGAAGATATCTTTCGGACTAGACTGAAACTTGTGTGTTTTCAGAAGTCAATTGTTACACATCCTTCTTATTGGTAGCACTGGCATGGAGATATGATTTCCAGGCACAGTGCCAATTTGAGGATAACATATTGCTTGTAATTTCAATCACTTTTGCAATTATGACAGCAATAAACGGGGCTACTTTGCTGAAAATTATTAGCTTTTATAAAGTTAGTTCTTTATTAGGATTTCGAGATTTGAATTTGTTTTCAGTCGAGCAAAAATGAAAGTAATGAAACCAGGAAAAGAATCCGTCGGAATGTTTTCTTGTTCTTTCAAACTGGTCTTCAAGATTCCCTCTATCTCATCGATCTCTCATTTATGATGAAGTTCAGCTACCTCAGCGAAGCACGTGTTTGGTCTTACATCAGTGGAACTTTTGTTTGGGAATGCTTGCATTCAATTGATGGGTGAGTATGTTCAAGAAATACCGTTAACACTCTAATAGAATGACCCCTCCTAACTTTTAACTTTGAGCCTTTTTTTCTCGTTTCTTGTGAAAGACATCAAAAAGTGGTTAACTGATAAAATATTCTTGATATTATGATAAGCATTTCGTCAATTGACAACTTATTGATATCTTTCACAGGAACCAAGATAAATTGGCTCAAAGTTAAGGCAGGTGGTGTACGGTGAAATTTTTTATTGCATCAAAATGTGCAGCAATGCATGTAGATTGACTTAAAAATAAAGAAAAAATTCAAAACAAATTCCTTCATCGAGAAAAACGCATCGAAAAATACGCTGAAAGCCCTTAGGGACAAGGTTTTTTCTAGGCCGCCCGGTGAGTAAAAGCGCGCGAATTCAAACTTTTGGCAAAAACGCCTTGTTTCCCTTCCTCTGGGACACCCGCATTTTGGCGCCAAATTCAAAAAATTTGGGTGCCCCAACTCACAAAAGCCAAAATAGGTGAAAAATGCAAATCACATCAAAAATGCTGATTGAGAATGCTTCATTTCCGAAAAACTTTTAGCCTAAAATAAAGAAGCAAATAACAGGAATTTGTATTTTATTATATTATTTTATACTTTCTAGAGGTCCAGACACCTCAGAAATATTTCTAACATGCTTAGAATTAATGCGCAAGTCAGAAAATGCCAAAAAAAAGTCAAAAAAGAGTGCCCCCCCCCCAAGCCAACATAGCGCCAATTTTTTCGCACGTTTTAAAAGTTTGAATTCGCGCGCTTTTACTCACCGGCGGCCTAGAAAAAACCTCGTCCCTAAGGGCTTTCAGCGTATTTTTCGATGCGTTTTTCTCGATGAAGGAATTTTTTTTGAATGTTTTCTTTGTTTTTATGTCAATCTACATGCATTTCTGCACATTTTGATGCAATAAAAAATTTCACCGTATACCACCTTTAAGAATGGCGTTCGATTAAAGTTTTTACAGTAACTCCCTTCGTAGTAATTCACGGTAAGTTCCGTGGAAACCGTGGAAACACAGACACATTTTCGAAAATTAAATGGTTTAAAAAGACCAAGATATTTGGAAAATTCCAGAAAGTAATACTTTTTTCAGATTTATCATGATAATGTTCAACGAAAAACTGTCTCTTCTTCGAAAGAGGCTTCTCCCAACACCATCTGCAACACATCTTGCTCAGAAAACGTTCACGGTGTCAGTGGTGTCTAGATTGCCTGAAATCAATTGACTGAACAGCTGATTGACTGAACAGAGACTGAACAGTAATCTCCTTTTTTCAATATATTTTACCTGTGAATTGTTTTTTCTGTAAATTTATGAATTATTTTCTCATTGAAATTTTAGATGTTTTGTTCATGAAGCTATAGATATTTACGGTACTATGTTCAATAATGAAAAAATGTATTACATTTATTTAACAAAGTAAACGAAAGTTTTTAAAACAGTAAAAATCAATTTGAGGGATTGCTAATCAGTTTCTGGTTTATTTGGCAGTGACACTAGATGACGGATAGTCGGTCTTCCATGGGGACAATTCTGAAATTACCGTATTACTGACTAAACTCTTATCAGGAAAACAAGTACCCAAGGTTGATCTAACTTTGACAAATGACGAATGATCCTTGTCATTTCCCGATGATTCAATGGTTTTCCAATCATTACCGATTTCCGGCAAGCCTTCGATGCGAAGATGTTTCGAATACGAACCGGACGATACATTTGATTTGGATATTCGGAAACAACTGCCAAAATCTCTTCGAGATCGCTATTCGTGAGCTGTTGACTCAAAAGTTCTGGTCTCGCTGTTAAAAACGTTTTCAGACATCCGTCTTTTTCTCGAAAATCGAAATCGAATCCGTTCGCTTGGAAGATTGGAAGATTTTCGCGTATGATCAATTCTTGAACACTTCCGAAACCAAGTGCAATTGGTCTGAATGATGAAAGAATGATTTACATGAAAGGCATCTAGTATACTCGTATATCAAGATACAAAGGTCCCACAACGGCAACTACAGTAACCTAAAATTGTATCTATTTTCCGGACTCATTTTCTCGTTTGTTTCTGATCTTCGTCGATGTTTATGTTATTTTTCCATAAACTAGTCGGAAAATTAAAATGTTTGATAAAACTGACTATTTAAAACGTACTGAAAAAATAGTTTCAGGTTACGGTAGTTTTCTTTATGAGACTCTCGGCCACGGCCACCGGCGTCCTTTCACATCTCCGATTTTTTGGTCAGCATAATAACTTACGTGAAAAGTGGCTGTTTAGTCAGTTTCGCACTGTTCTGAAGTCGCTCGAAATTGTATTTTTCATCGCTTGCATGTTGATCGACAATGAAAAGATGTCCTCGTAGGCGACAAATGATAAATCCATGATTGAATTGACCGATTATTTGCATTTTCGTGAAGTCGTCTTTTCTAAAATTAAATATAGGAAAATCTGAATAAGTCTTCTCAACTAACGTCAGTGATCGAGACAGTTGCCGTTCGGCATCCGCGGTTTCTTCCTTCTTAAACCCAGTTGTAATCTCATCTAAAGCATCCTTCTCATCACTATTCTCAACTGGATCCTCTGGTTCTGGATTGATATGACGGGAATAGACATCACGGAGGAGCTTCATCGAAAACTTGATCTGTAAAAAAGCGAAAAATAACAGAACAATGCGTATTTCTCACTTTCTGTTGCGGTCTCAAAACATATTGTGAGCATTGGGAATTTTGAGAATCTTGTGAATCATTCAATCGAACATTTTGAGACTCTTCAATGATTTCTATTCCATCATCGGCATCTGATTTCTTTTCTGCCAGTATTGCACTTCTAATCTCATCTTCTGATGGCATATCCACCAATTTCTCAGTTTTTTTCTTCGGAATTTCTACTCGTTTTGGTTCCATAGTGAAGGAGAAATTTTCTAATCGATGCGACCTTGTACCGGCACTGGCATACGACGTCGATGGCAGATTCGACGATGTTTGTACTGTTCTTCGGAACATCGGACAAGGTTTTTTAGCAGGAGGAGATCGAGTCACTGATCTGGACTTGAGAAGGTCAGAAGTATTGAGGAGAGAATCCTCCGGAAACGTGGAATTCAGAAGAGTGTCGTTCATATCATCTGGACTTGGTGACTTTGAAGAACATATGCTAAAATATACAACACTTTTAAAAATTCAAATGAGCTGAATTACCTTGTATTTATAGCACTCTGTTGAGCTAAAGCCATAATCCTACGATCTTCTACACTGCTTTTGATTGTTGAATGAGATCCCACGATTTTCAAGTAAGTCTTCATCATTGATGCTCGGATAACTGCCAGAAGATGTCTTTCTTTTTCCAACATCACCGTCTTCTTATCAGGTGTCACGTTGACATCGATTTTCTCTGAAAAAAAAACTGAGAAGTTGAGTAAGGCGAGAACCAGTCCCCGAGTGGTGAGCACTTACTGATATTATTTTGATAATTTTTGAAAAATTGGAAAAAGCTCAAGCGGAAACTGTTGTTGCGCTAATTTTTCCTCGCTTTCTATACAAATAATTTGTTCAAAAGAATAATGTGGGTTTTCATCTGAATTTCGGAAAAATGTCGAAGGAGCTATTAGACTTGGAATTTGAAATTCTCATGATAGCAGAGATGAGCGGAAGAGATTTACGGAAGTTTACGGAAGACGGTTTATTTTCAAAATGAAAAATGCTACCAAAAAGTTGTGAACGGACAAAATGTAGATCTCAATGAGTGTTATTTATTGGTATAAAAGTTATCTCATAATAGTGATGGGGAGTTGAGATATGGCGTTTCTTCCGTGTTCCGTCTTCCGTCTGGCACACGGAAGACGGAAGACGGAAGAAAGACTCTATTTAAATAATCCAACAAAATTTCGAAACAATTTTTATACCAATCGATAGCTCTTATTGAAATCTACATTTTGTCTGTTGAAGCTTTTTGGTAGCATTTTTCATTTCGAAGATAAAACGTCTTCCGTAAATTGCCGTAAATCTCTTCCGCTCATCTCTGCATGATAGTTTCCCATGAGAGCATATCTATTCTTTTATTACACCTGCGGTTTACAATCTGAGGTGTGAATCCATTTCGCACCTGTTTTATTGCCTATTACTCCTTCACATTTCAATTTATGACGTAATAGTGTCTGTAAAGTGTTAGAAAAAGGGGTTCAAAGAAGGGCGGGATTAGTGCAGGTGTGTTAAGCCCCGCTCCTTAAGTGAAGACACAAGGGAAGTGAAGATACAACTCAGTTTTCTCACTTTTCATTTCTTCCCCACCCACCTCGTTTACCAGGGTGTCGCAAGACGCCCTGATGCCTTTTTTTCGCAAGATTCCCTGATGCCAGTGATATATCCCGATGCCAGTGATATGGTCCCCCCATATCCTGATGCCAGTGATATACTCCCGTATATCCTGATGCCAGTGGTTTCGCAAGATTCCCTGATGCCAGTGATATGCCCCCCCCCCCCATATCCTGATTCCAGTAATATACTCCCGTATATCCTGATGCCAGTGGTTTCGCAAGATTCCCTGATGCCAGTGATATATCCCCCATGTCCTGATGCCAGTGATATATCCCCATATATCCTGATGCCAGTGATTTCGCAAGATTCCCTGATGCCAGTGATATGGTCCCCCATGTCCTGATGCCAGTGATATATCCCCATATATCCTGATGCCAGTGATATGGTCCCCCCATAACCTGATGCCAGTGATATACTCCCGTATATCCTGATGCCAGTGGTTTCGCAAGATTCCCTGATGCCAGTGATATATCCCCATATATCCCGATGCCAGTGATATGGTCCCCCCATATCCTGATGCCAGTGGTTTCGCAAGATTCCCTGATGCCAGTGATATGGTCCCCCCATATCCTGATGCCAGTGATATACTCCCGTATATCCTGATGCCAGTGGTTTCGCAAGATTCCCTGAAGACAGTGGTTTTTCGTCAAATTTTTTCCCGGTAAAAACCAGATTCCTTTTCATGTATTGAGCCTCTACGTGGCGAAAGGGATCAACGGACGAAAAGTCTGGCTAATCAGTACACTTTTCGAAACTTTTTTTCCATAATTTTTCACATATTTCATTGAACTTTCAAAGCGAATTCTCGAGAAACATTGATTTTTTCTTCAATTTTTTTTGCAAAACATTTATTTAAAAAAATTTTTATCTGAAATTTGACAGGATAATGTTCGCGAAGATTACTGTAGATTACTGTAGAAAGCCTTCTATTTTGTAGTTTTTTATTGCAAATACACTCACCTAACAATGGAGACAAAAAAAAACTTTTTTTCAAAATTTTGACGTAATTGTGTTTGCAAAAAAAACTACAAAATAGAAGTTTTACTACAGTAACCTACAGTATTCTCCACGAATACCGGTCTATCACATTTCAGAAAAAAAAAGAGGAACCGAAACAAGAATCTTTGAAAATAGCTGGAAAACATCAAAAGGTCTAAAAATTTTGCAAAAATCTTATAAAAAATAATTTTTTCTCTCGAGAAATTCGCTAGTTTTCCAGAGTTTTCAGTTTTAGCGGGAATTTGAAAAATATCGAGAACATTCCAGAAGTTTCCAGAAATGGACGAGAAACGATTTTTCGAGATTTTGCTCATTTATTTTTTATTTTTTTCTTTTTTCCTATATGAATCTACATATTTTTCTACACTGTGTATATCAGTAGGTCTTCTCCACTCGTTTTTGGTCCTGAGGCAAGAAAATATTTACCTGGTGGAACATCGATAAAAAGAACGATAATCGGGTACTGGTTCTTATTAAACTGTTTGTAAACATCGTTGGTGACACTGCACACCTAAAAATATCCATTGTTAAGCTTCTAAAACGTTTAAACTCACTCTCATATACTCGACAGGCCTGTTATTAATATAAACGAACTGTCGATCCGATGTTCCTCGACCACATCCATGTTCACAACTGCTCACAAATCCACGAATTCTGAAAGCAAAATTTACTTTCAACCAGTAAATATATAAAATCTCACTTGAAGAGATCGAAAAATTGTGTTTCCTCCATTTGTAACGAATGCATCGCCATAATTTCGCCGTCCGGTTGGTCTTGTAAAATTGGAACGAGAGCAGATCCGTTTTTCGAATTTCCAATTCTTCTCATGCCAAATAAATTTGTTACAACGTCTTGAATAGTTGAGGTTCCTCCTGGAGTACAAATGATATTCGTTTTCTTTCCCGCAATATTATTGGTGCAGAGTATTTTAATATGTGGACAGAGAAGAGCAAAGGATTGGACAGTGGCGAGCAACTTCACGAATTCTCGCTTTTGACTTCGTTCGAGTTCTTTTCTACGGACGGGGAGAGTTTCGAACAGGTTGTTGACGATAATCGTAGTCCCAAGTTCACGAGCAGCCGGTTGTCGTTCGGTGATGTTACCGGAATGATCGTAAATGAGGCGTGTACCTATTTCCGAGTCAGCTGCACGAGTGAAAATGGAAACGGAACTGTAATCTTTACTTTAGCTTTTGAAAAGAGGAAAATAAAGAGTACCTGACAGTACACAATGCATTGAGTGCTTCTCCTCTGAATCCCAACGTTACAAGTTTATCGAAATCGGAAAATTGAGTGAGTTTGGATGTCGAATGCGGTTTACAAAGAGCATCGAAGTTTTGAGTTTCGATTCCAGAACCATTATCTTGTACTTCTATACTATCATATCCATTGTTTTTAACGCGAATATCAATTATTGTCGATCCGGCATCAATCGAATTGTCGATGAGTTGTCGAAGGGCGCTAGACAAACTAACAACAACCTGTAAATTCTTCCGTAAATTCTTTTATTCATCGAAAAGTTTACCTGCGCAGTTGTCAATCGTTCTGCTACATCTTTTGATATTTTTTCAATTTTGTTTTGAGCCATTTCGTAGCCAGTGAAATGAAGAAGAATTGGGAGAAAATCTGAATCGCAAAAAAAAATAAATTTTAAGCGACCGCTAAAAAGTTGCCCATAGAGCGCGACTGCCTTCCTTACAATGCGCGCGAGAGACCCCGCAAATTCCGGGGAAAAGTGGGCGGAGTCGGGGCGCAGCCTAAAATGCAACCCTGGCACGGTTTTGCCGCACGGTTTTTCTCGACTCCGCCCACTTTCCCCCTGTTTTTTTCCCCGATTTTTTTCCCCGGAAATTGCGGGGTCTCTGCGCGCGAATTCCAATTAAATCGTTTAGTTTTCGAAGTCCAATTTGGGAAGAATCACATCTTAGAAAGAAAAATTGTGAAAAAAAAACGAAATCGTTGTTGACCGTTTTCTTTCTTATTTCAGTTTGTAGTACGAGTTCCAGCTTTATAAAATGTTTAGAGTTTGTAGAGAAATTTATCAATCATCGATCTGTAAACTCTCTTCCTTTCAGATAGCCCAGGTTTTAATTCAGAATTCATTTCATTCGTTGAGAGCATTTTTTGTCTCATCTCCTCTTTTATGGATCTCTATTAGGATACCGTATTTCCTCCAAACCGTCAACTATGAGCTCAATTATCTCGATTCCTATGAGAGATATCAAAAATTTGAAAACTGATAAAATATTGGTAATGTTATGATAAATAATTTATCTACTTGTTCATATCTTTCACAAGAATCGAGACAATTGAGCTCAAAGTTGAGGGTTTTAGTGGGCTTTTATTAGAGGAAATGTGGTATCTTATCTCAATGGATATGCCTTTCATATTTATTTTTTAAATATTCTTGAAGTCGTAAAAAAAAGTTCTGCAAACTTTTTGAAAATATACTGGAAGGCTGTGACTGCACCGGAACCATTATGATCAAGAACTGTAATGAACCTTCTCCACGAGAATCTTCGGTTGTAGTTGTGAAATCCAAAACAGATCATATAATTGTATAAGAGATATAGTGATGAGATTGATACCCATTAAAATTGTCACAGTTCATTTGAACCCACTGATCTTCAATGTTTCTCCCCACGCGACACTTGTTGCTTCAGTTTCTATCTCTTACCACTCACTTGTGACACACACTCACACACGTTTTCTCTCTACCAATTGATTTTTTCTGCAAAATGGAGAACTCTGAAGAACTATGTCTTGTTTGCAATGACATCTCCAGTGGATACCATTACGGAGTTCCTTCATGTAATGGATGGTGAGTACTTTCAATAACGTCATTCGATATGGTACTTTTTTAAGAAGAAGAATTAGCTCGTTATTTGAAATAAGGAGTTCACTCTTATCATTGTTTGCTAAAGTTACACACTCTACACAATGAGTCTGATGCACCTAAAATCTTCAATATACTGGTTCATGGTTTCAGAAACTGCAACCAAAAAAATCGAAACCATGTTAGGAATGAGTGAAAACATATGAAACAAAAAAATAGCTTTATCGCTAAACTTGCAGAGACAGGACCTTGTAGATTTAGTAGACCACCCAAACCGTCTACCGACTGCTGTGAAAGATATGAAAAATTGGTCATCTGGCAAAATATTCGTCGTAATATCACCAATATTTTATCAATTGACTCTTATAGGTACCGAGATAATTGAGCTCAAAGTGCACAGTCCATGTGGGCTTCTATTACATGAAGTGCTGTAGTTTGGAGTAAACTTTATAATAGAAGAACTCAAAGCTTAGGACTTTAGCAGCGTTTCATGTAGAAACCAATTTCATAAATAAATTTCAAAACACCTAAACAATAGAATTATTCCAGCAAAACCTTCTTCCGTCGAACCATAATGCAAAAACATATATTCGTCTGTCAACATGAAAAGAATTGTTCAGTCGACAGAAGTATTCGATGTGCTTGCCGTTATTGTCGATTTGAAAAATGTCTGAAAGTCGGAATGGATAGGTCTGCTCTACAAGCATCCAGAGATCGAATTGGATATACCAAACGAACTAGAAAACCAAAACGAAAAGAAGTTTCCTTCAGCAGTTCCAGTTCAATGTCACCCCAAAACATCTTCTACCCAGAATCTCCTGGATATGCTCAAAAGGCATATGAGACTTATTGGAGCTATGTGGCAAGCAGAGAGAAAGCGTTAGTCAGCTAATCCAGACATGTTGAATCAAGTCTCCCTAATTTCAGTTCCAACGAGCTTCGCCTTTCCGCATACGCCCCAAAGAGAAGTTTGAAAGAAGCCTTATGTTCGAAAAGTCTACTTAATGATCCAATATTTTTGAGTAATCACACGATAGTGGTATGATATATAGCGAGTTCGAATACGGAGAATCATCCTATAAGAAATTTGTAGAGCTCACGTCATACATACACAGAACTTCGATTCATCACACAAAGTGATTATCACTATTGGCACGAAAGAGATTGGTTTGTACTAACGGAATATGCAAAAACATTCAAAGTTTTCAATGAGCTTAGTTACAATGATAAGGTGATTAGAAATGGGGAAATATAAACTTAGAAATTGGTTATTCCAGGCAGCTTTAGTCCGTCATGCAGCGATCACGATTCCAGCTCTTAACCAAGTATACAATTCACCCGATCACGGACCAGATACAGTAGTGTTTCCCGATGGAACTTATTATGATAGAACTCATGAGCCAACCAGGTAAAATATGAGTTAACCAAACTTCTGAAGAGATATTTTATTCACAGACCAGCTGGATTGAATCGTAAAAAGTACCAAGTTTTGGATTTGGTTTTGAAACCATTCCGAGAAATCGAGATCAAATTCAACGAGTTTGCTGCTTTTAAAGCAATCACATTTTTGAATCCAGGTTCGAAAGATTCCAATTAACTGAGAATTCTATTTCTTAAGTTTCAGATGCAGATGTGTCATACCTAGCTAAGTTAGCCATAAATGAAGAAAGAGTGGCTGTAACAAAACAACTGTATGCATTCATGATTCGGAATGATGGAATCGAAAAAGCTATCAAAAGGTAATCTGATTTTTCAAATTTTCCGATTTTTCAACTTTGGAAAGTTTCAGATTTAGTCGTCTGATCCTAATTGGAACATCCATGTCAAAAATGGCATGTGAATCAAAAGAAGCTGTTTGGATAGCTGACTTCTTTGAGAATATCGGATATACCAGCTTCGCAAAGGAACTGTTTTTCGGGGAAAGGAATTCAGAAGAAGAATAATTATTGTGTAGTTTTCTGTATATCATTTATTTTACGGGATATAATTATCGTATTTCCTCGAATAGAAACCTACCCATACAGTCAACGTTGAGCTCAATTATCTCAATTTATGTGCAAGATATCAAAAATATGTCAACTAGGAAGTTATTATTATTATTATTATTATTATTATTATGATAAACAATTATCAGTTGAGAACTTTATTTTATCTTTGACAGGAACCGAGGTAAATTGGCTCAAAGTTAAATGTTAGAGGACCTTTTTATTAGTGTGTAACGGTAATAAAATGTTGCAAATGTGATGTGATTGCTGAATTTGTAATAAATAGTTTTGCAAGACTTTTCATCTGTTGAATGTACGACATTTTTATTCCGGAAATGTATTAAGTGCAATAAATCCGGAAAAATATTAATGAAAAGCCCTACATCGTAGTCCATTTTTGGACTTGGTCTTTCTAATATCTCTTCTCATATCTTCTGGATCTAGATAAGACAAAAACGAACACACAGTCCTCCTGCACCCGATTATTATCCCATATCGATGTTTGGTTCGCTGGACCGATAAGAAACACGTGTGGGGCAAGAGACAGGAGAACATGATCACAGTTCACTTTCTGTCCAATGATTGTCACCTCTCCCCTTTCGTTTTCTCTGTCAATCGCCATGTGTTATTTCTAGCAGACTTTCTTCGGGTACACGTTGGGCGGAAACTTTCCGTATGGAAATAATGTTGACTGTGTACTTTATATAATCTGAATTTATGGAAGAATAGTAGACTTTGATCAGTCAATTTTGTTTATTTAAAAATTCCGAGTTTCAGTATCATTTAGAAACGATTCTAGCTTTCTAGCCTGCTCTTTTTCCTCTTTTTTCCTTTTCTTTCCGTTCTATTTTTTTTAATTTTTTCAGCATCCTTCACTTCATGGAAAACAAAGAACTTTGTCTGGTTTGTCAAGATTTCTCCAGTGGATACCATTATGGAATACCTTCTTGTAACGGATGGTGATTTTATTTAGTTGTACAGTAATTTAATTTTATATCTTTTTTCAGTAAAACATTCTTCCGTCGAACGGTGATGAAAAAACAGAAATTCGTGTGCCAATTCGATCAAAATTGTCCAGTCGACAAGAGTATTCGATGTGCATGTCGGTTTTGTAGATTCGAAAAATGTCTGAAAGTTGGAATGGACAAGGCCGCTCTTCAAGCATCCAGAGATCCAATTGGTTACACAAAACGAACAAAGAAGCCAGAATTCCAGCCAGCTAATAGTATAAATAGTGATGAATCCAACAATGGGTCCCCAGAAAGACAAATTTCACCAGTTCGAACTTTCGAGAATACGCTGAGTTTACTTGCAGTCAAGGAGAAATCGTAAGTTTTAAAAAATTGTTTCAATTTCATACAAAAAAAAATTTCAGAGCTAACGAGCTTCGCCTCTCTGCCTATCTCCCAAAGCGGAGTCTGAAACAAGCTCTTTGCTCCAAATCTCTCCTGAATGATCCCATTTTCATGAATCAACATGCAACTTTGGTAAGTTCTTAAACAATGAGAACTTCTAGATCCAGAATCCTTCAGAGCTCTCGTCACTTTTACAAGGAATTGCGGTTTATAACTCAAGACGATTACCACTACTGGCACGAAAGAGATTGGTTTGTATTAACCGAATACGCAAAGACATTCAAAACTTTCCAGAACATGTCGTACCATGATAAAGTGAGTTTTTTTAAGTTTGGATAATCGAAATTGTTAAAAAAATTATTTAAGGCAACTGTAAAATTAAGAAAAAAGCCAAGAGATTCAGTTGAGATACATAAAAGCTTCATTAGAGTTTCTTTTGTCAAAAATTTAGTTTGTCAAAAATGGTATTTCTCAGTACTGTCAACGGCACGAAAAAGAATACCGTAGAACCTGTATTAGAATGTACCCTTTAATAGACCTCTAGTAAAAGAGACTTTTTGCTCAAAATGTTTTGTTTCAAATTAAAAGTTTCAATACGTTTTCAATGAAAAACATTTAAGAAATTTGGCAATTTCATAGAAATTTGTTGTAACATGTTTTCCTGAAAAAAAAACTTGCTGAATTTTAATGGAACTGCTGATAGACTTTCATGAATTTTGAACAAACGTTCATGGAAATTCTCGCCGAAAACTATTGGAGAAAATTACTACAAAAATAAGAGACCCCTGTAATATTAGGGCCACCGGCTTTTCTATTGGAACAATAGAAAAGCCGGCACTTCTAATACAGGTTCTACGGCTGCTATAATTAGATCAAGAAATGGACGATTGAACGATCATTTTGTGAACTTCATTGCTACCGTAACCTGGGCGGTTCTTCCCTAACATATCAATTTCCTTCTTTTAGGCAGAGTTGGTTCGACACGCTGCTATCGTGATACCAGTCCTCAATCAAGTTTACAATTCCCCAGATCATGGCCTCGATACAGTAGTCTTCCCAGATGGTACATATTACGATCGAACTCATGAGCCAACAAGGTGAGATCTTATTCTATCGACTGTCATTACTGGAATGAAACCTCCATTTAGGCCTGCCGGTCTGAATCGAAAGAAATATCAAGTGTTGGATTTGGTGCTGAAACCGTTTCGAGAGATGGAGATCAATTTCAACGAGTTTGCCGCATTTAAAGCTATCACTTTTCTGAATCCAGGTAACTCTGATTTATTATTTTCACATTTGTTTTTGATTTTTTTTGTCAGATGCGGATGTGTCACTAGAAGCAAAACATGAAATTAATTTGGAACGAGTAAGAATCACCAAGCAACTTTTTGGATATATGCTTCAGAAGGATGGGCTCGAAAAAGCAATCTATAGGTATTTCTAGAACTTTATTATCCAGCCAAGAAACTTGTTCTAGATTTGGAAGATTGATTCTAATGGGAACAACAATGTCTAAAATGGCATGTGAGTCGAAAGAAGCTGTTTGGATAGCTGACTTCTTTGAGAATATTGGATTCACCTCTTTTGCGAAGGAACTGTTCTTTGGTGATAATTGATTTTTGAAATTATTTTTTTTCTGTTAAGATCTCAACCATAGTCTTTCATTTTTTTGTTTTGTTGATTATAAAAAATTTAACTATAGTTTCTGAAAGTTTGATTTTAAATATCAAGAAATAGTTCCTAGTTCTTAATTTCAAACCTCAAATGTAAGCATTTTTTAAAATTACACTTTCAAACTGCAAACTGCAAACACTTATATTTTCGTTTGGTAACAGCCTATAGTATATTGTAGGCTTTACAAATTTATCATAGTTTGATCGCTGAGCTTTCATGTTCTCACTTTTATTTCAAAACCAAAACATCAATCTTGGCACATGAGATGATCTTTCTAACTCTGAATAACGATGACGAATTCTGGAATATATAATTTTAAACTCAAAACTTTAACTTTCCAAAAACTCAGTTATTTTTACCTTGAACTAAGAAAATGACCTCCAATGCTTCTGCTGTTGGATCTTTGGTAGAAGTTAGCGCTTTTAACGATGAGTTGAGTTTATTGGCGGCTACTCTTATCCTTACAGTAAGTTTCATCATTCTAGATTTGTAAAAAATCTTTCTTCAGTTCGGTGTTTTTGGAGTTACAACGAATTTGTCCATTGCACTGATTTTTTACAAAGAAAAGTCAGAGAGAACTGCTTTCAATTTGATTTGTGTATTTCGAGCAGTTTCCAATGTTATTATACTATCAGCAACGTTTTTGCTTGTATTTTTCGCAAAACTCATGGCGTAAGTTGTCGAAAATTCATTAGAAACTTCACCAGCTAGATACAATATGTTTCTGGGTTTCAGAGGATTTTCCCTTTTCCCACCTGCTGTGGAATCCGGGCTGATTCATCTTAGTTTGACATTATATTTAGGGAATGAATACCAGGTTATCCTCGTAGCTCTAAACAGATGCTGTGCATTGTTTCTCCCAACCTACTACTCATTATTGTGTGGTATCATACCAACTCTCGTTATTCTGATTTTGATTTATCTGTATCGATTGATCATAGTCGTCTATGAACAGGTTCCGCGAACTCTTGATAACTGTTTCACATCATTTTTCAATGAACTTCTCTTATGGATTTACGATCAAAAGACCCTTTGTAAATTTGAAGACAATATTCTGGAAGTGATTTTGTATACATTCATTATAATGACCGCCATAAATGCTGCCACTTTTACAAAAATTATCACATTTTACTGGGTAACACATAGTAGAAAAATTCGCCATTTTAATGAGTTTTCAGACGAGAAATAACGGAAGTATTATGGACAAAGAAGCTAGGATAAAAATGAAGAGAAACATTATACTGTTTTTTCAAACGATGCTCCAAGATTCATTATATTTGATCGATCTCACATTCACTTTTAAATTAAAGTAATTAGAAAACCGGTTAGAAAAAATATGATTTCAACGTTTAGCGGATTGAGCACTCATCGTTTCTGGACGTTTATAAGTGGAACGCTCGTTTGGGAATGCATACATTCTGTTGATGGGTAATTCTGTTTAAACCCGGTTCAAAGTGTCAGTTGAATTCAGATTCATAATGATGATGTTTAACGAGCGTCTCAGTTTTCTCAAGAAACGAATTCAACCAGCATCTTCTGTCACAAACGTTCAATCAGCAAGACAAAACATGGCTTCAACTATCTTGTCAACTGTTGGATAAAACTTATTCTGAATAGGCTTTATTATGTTAAGATGACAACCATTTGGTTTTTATATTTTATACCAACAGAACATGTGTTTTGTGTTATTAAAGGAGGGTAGAAATCAAAAATTTCAAAAATTTCATTTTTACTCAAAAGATATAACTCTGAAGTATAAATATAGCTATGTACTTAAAAACCTGAAAAAAACACTTCAAGGACGAAAAAATGCTCTTTTTTGTCACCCTAATTTCTTCACTAGCTTGCTGCTGCGGCGTCGCTTCATAATGTGAAAAACGCGATAGTCGCCTCTTACACGCGTAGTGTAGTGGGTACGCTCTAGGCTAGTATTCAGGAGGTCAGAGGTTCAATCCCTGCTGGTGTTTTTACTTTTTTCTTCCCTTGTTTCCTTCGGATTGAACTTTTTGAACTCGGAATTTCTGAAGGGCTACCAGCGTGCCGCCGAGGCCTCGCTCCGAGGTTCCAAAATCAGTTGAAAATGAAGAAACTTGTTTTATTATGTTAACATAAATTATGAAAAAAACTACAATTAATTTTTAGAAAGAGACATAACAATTGAAAAAAAAACCACATAATTAAAACAATCCTCGTGCAGGGCTGGTCGTCGGAAGGTGAAGGAAGCAGTAAAAATGGAGACGTCTCTGAAAACCCTAGTCATAAAACAGTTTTTATTCCTAGAGTAATAACGAGAAGTAATGAGATAAATAGGAACAGTGAAGAAACGGTTATCGAAGAGAAAATAGTTTTTTTCGCATGCCTATAAAAAACACCGGCGACTGGCAAAATAATCGGTCGATAGAACTTTAAATTTACATAAAAATTCACTTTTATATGGGTTTTATAATAAATAAGAAAAAAGAGCTTTTTTAATGTTTGAAGTCGTTAAAAATTGAAAAAAATAAAGTCGGGAAATAAAAAAATAAAAATGTTTGCGCGTGAGATTGCGTGCTTTAGGTGCGAACACCACGACGGCAAAATACACATTCCCTGAAATTTTCCCCGAAATTTTTGTTGTCTGCCCTCCTTTAACTTCCTTTACTCTTACCACAGTGATATTGAAGCAGCAATGGCATTATATTAGAGGCTGGCATTCAATTAGGGGTTGCTATCTAATTGAGTTTTTACGGTAAATATGAAAGGAATTTGATTTATTTTCCTAAAAACAGTTCAGTTACAGCAGCTGTACTACTGCAGAAGTAACATTTCCAGGTGTCAAAGTGTTTATGATTCAACATTCTTCTGGACTAGAAAAGAAAAAAAATTATATGAAAAAAAAATTCCACCAAACTATAAAACCGAAAAATGTTGCCTAAATGGACTCTGTCTAAATCTCTACTTAAAATTCCATTTATGCACGGCATTTTTCACAACCTCCAATTTCAGCCGATGTCCGGCTGATATCTTATTCTCCTCATGACCAACGATTACTCAGAGTTTTTATCAAATCAGTAAACAACATTTTTTCTCTTTTTTTCGAGCCTATTCATCAAAATAGTTTGATTTTATCACCTTCTAAGCCAATTTCAACTCTCCCGGGTATCTTCCGTTTGCATATCACATTTTTCTGGTTGGTTTCCACTTGACTCCTTCAGACCGGTAAGTATCAGGAAATCAAGTTTATTTTATTTTTTCTTTCCTTCAAGACAATGAGTTAGGTTTTCACACGATTTCACGTCAGAAAAAACAGTTTTTGAATGCCATGGGATAGACCTTTCGTTCTTCCACTTTCCAATTCAGAAGCACTTTTCCGTTTTCACGTATTCTTTTTTCAGATACTTCTTTCAGCCAAATCATGGAAGAAGAGTTCAATTACACCAATCCTTTGAATTTAGTTGTTGCTATGCTAATCATTACGGTAAGCAATTTCAGCTGGTGCTCAAGATATTGAATTCGTTCATTCAGATTGGTGTGTTTGGGATCATTTGTAATGCCTCTATTGTGTACATTTACCTCAAGGAAAATTCTGAAAAGACTGCTTTCAATCTCATTTGTTTCTGTCGCGCAATTTCAAACGTTATCATTTTGACAATAATCTTTGTCATCACATTTTTCCCCAAAACTCTTTTGTATGTTACTCAAAAAAATCATCTCTGTTGAGTTTTAAAACATATTTCAGAGGACATTCTCCATACCCACCAGTTGTCGAATCCTGGATCATCAATATCGCCAACACCTTGTATCTTGGAAATGAGTATCAAATTGTGTTAGTTGCTCTTAACAGATGCTGTGCTTTATTTTTTCCTATGAAATACTCCAAAATATTCTCTATCCTACATACAACTATCGTATTGGTTGCTATTTATGTCTATCGGATCGGCAAGAAAATTATCGAATGGATACCTCAATCTAGTAGATTGGAAACATCCAAGTAACGAAAAAATAATTCATATTTTCAGATAAAGGGTGTCATGCTCTCTATTCTACAAAAAACCTCGCTTGGTCTTATGATGATTCTGAACAGTGCGATTTTGTGGATGATGCTCTCGACATTATTTTCTATACTTTCATAGCCATGTCAATTCTCAATACAATCACTTTTGTCAAAATTCTCCATTTTTATAGGGTATTTTCTAGTTATCACAGTTTACCAAAACAAAAATTATTTCAGAAAAGAAATGCTAATCAGGACAAGGAAACCAAAAAGCGAATGAGGAAGAACACCATTCATTTCTTACAAACGATGCTCCAAGACTCCCTTTATCTTATCGATCTTACTTTCACATTCAGATTGAGTTCTTGGAGTGATCATCGTGTATGGAGATATGTCAGTGGAACTTTAATTTGGGAGCTCTTGCATTCTACTGATGGGTGAGTAATGAACATTTCTGCTGGCTTCTAAAAAAAACTTTTTTTCAAGGTTTGTAATGGTAATGTTCAACGAAAGGCTATCCTTCATCAAGAAGACAATCCAAAACTCTTCAACCATTCCCGTCATTGCTGGACCAAAAAATCTACGCCAAGGGACGATTTCAGCTTCAACAATACCGTCAACTAAATAGAAATTTTAATAGATTTTCTGTTTGAACTTTTTATGAACCATCCTGTATCAGGACTTTAAGCAATCAGTGTTTTTAATTTTGGAGAGCCAGGGAGGGGTTTCCCATGAATTAGGACAAGGAGGTCCATTTACTTATTGTTAGTCACATCCTGCAAACTCTTCTTTTATGAAACCTTTTATAATTTTTTGTATCCTGCGTGTGACAGTTAACTGAAATCGTGCTAGAATCTTCAAAAACCGGAAGTTATACTTCAAGGGTGGTCCATATTTACCCGGACCAAAGTTTGTACTAGCATAAAGTTTGGTTAATCGTTGTACTGGCCTCAAATTTGAAGTGCTAAAATTTAAATTATTCATTACTAAACTGATCTAGTTTCAAACTATTTGATCAAGTTTGAGCTGATTAATCACTTGTCAAGGTTGTTGCGTCTCACGAAAATCACAACAGCGTGCGAGAAACATTACGCCGTTCATTTTTTACAATCACAACACTACCTAGACTTGAGGAATCGCTTTGAAAATTTCAGTAGCTTTGAATCAAATTTGAAATTATATTTCTACCAATTTTCGTGCTTCCGAGATAATTATGTCTAAAGATATACCCGCTTTCATCAGTCCAAGGAATTATGCGCCACCCTGTAATTCCTCTCTAAATCTTCTCTGATTTTTTCTAGAATAGTGCAATACTAGAACAACATCAGTTTCTAAACTTCCTTTCAGACGTCATTCAAAGGTGAGTGAGCTCTGTGCTGTGTTTCTATCAATACTTTCGCCTATAATTTGATCACTAATCGCAAATAAACGGCATTTTGAATGCAAAGCTACTCAGTCACATGTTTATTTGCTAGAAAGTCTACAAAATGAGCTCTTCATCCAATCTCACGGAGTTTTACAATTATCGAGATAGTGTGAATCTTATTTCTGGAATAGCAAACTTTTTGGTAAGGATTCGTTGTTTTTTTTTAATGATTCATATAAGACGGTTGAAATTTGAAGAATTTTTTTTCGCATGTATAGAAACAGCTCGAATTGATGATTTCATGTACCATGTAGCATTTATTTCAGTTTCACCAGATGTCTGAATTTTCTGTACAAAAATTATGAATATTCCAGAAATTAGTCAAAGTTATAGAAAATGTTTATTTGATGGATCTGAAAATGATCTTGAACAGAAAAATAGGTGGACAAATTAAAATTGGACAGTGTGCACATTTGGGACAGTAGTAGTAGTTTGCTCAAATCCGGGTGACAACCAATCTTCCTGCATTTTGAACTTCTTGATGCTCTGTGCCTTCTTTTCTTCTACAGGTACAGAATCGGTTTGTCTCCCGATTTCGTACTATTTTAAAGGTAAAAGTGGTCATGCCAAATTTAAGTATTATTTGAATTGTGCCACGAGGTACAAAATCGGTAGGCAAACCGATTCTGTACCTAGTGAAACAATTCAAATTTTCTCTGATTTCACGTGTCTTTTTGTGGATTTTGAAACATTACTCATGAAATCCGATTTTGAACCAATGTTTTGATCAACACTAACTTTCTACAATACGCTTATTTGGGTGAGTGATATCTGAAATTTTGGATATTTTGAGACTGCTATCCAATATCCAATCCGCTAGCCAACAGTCAATCCGATGTCAACAATAAGTACCATCAAAAGATGAGAAAGAATTCGTGTCGGGTATGTACCTCGGTCGTCGGGTATGTCGGGTATGTATTGTAGAAAGTTAGTGTCGATCAAAAATTAGTTCAAAATCGGATTTCATGAGTAATGTTTCAAAATCCACAAAAAGACACGTGAAATCAGAGAAAATTTGAATTGTTTCACTAGGTACAAAATCGGTTTGCCAACCGATTTTGTACCTCGTGGCACAATTCAAATAACACTTGAATTTGGCGTGACCTTTTTTACCTTTAAAAAAGTACAACATCGGGAGACAAACCGATTCTGTACCTGTAGAAGAAAAGAAGGCACAGAGCATCAAGAAGTTCAAAATTCAGGAAGATTGGTTGTCACCCGGATTTGAGCAAACTACTACCACTGTCCCAACTGTGCACACTGCCCAATTTTAATTTATCCACCTATTTTTTTGTTCATTTTCAGATCCATCAAATAAACATTTTCTATAACTTTGACTAATTTCTGGAATATTCATACAGAAAATTTCTGAATTATAAAAAGGCAAGGCGAAACTGGACGAAATCTGTGGAACAGACAAACTTTTCGAAAAACTTTTGTTCTTTCTATTAACTCTGTTCTTTTTGTACAAAAAATTTGAGAAATTCCGGTTTTCAGAAATGAGAAAAAAATTCTTCAAATTTCTACCGTCTTACATTTTTAATTTCAGATTGGTTTATTCGGTTTAATTTGCAACTACACAATCATCCATGTTTTTGTGATGAGTCCCGAGAAAACGTCCTTCAATCTTATTTGCTTTTTTCGAGCTCTTATCAATTTCTATATCCTGTTCACCTCATTTCTAGGATTATTTCTTCCCTCAACGCTTCTGTTAGTTTTTTCAGCAATAAAAATCGACGAAAGAGATTTATTTCAGAGGGTACTCAATTTACTCGCTAGCTTTTGAATCCTGGAACATCAATTTGAGCATGTCTCTCTATCTTGGTAATGAATATCAGATAACTTTAGTGGCTCTGAACAGGTTCTGTGCGCTGTTCTTTCCTCGCCACTATTCGAAGATATTTGCTCTCCGGCCTACACTGATTGTGATTATTCTTTTTTATGTGTACAGGTTGGCAGTAGTAATTTATATGACAGCGGTCGCTGTTGGTAAGTTAAGTTCAAAAACGAAATATCCGCCTCAAAAAGCTTTCCATTCAAAAAGTGTAAAAGCACCAAATCAAAATTGAATAATTCAAATAAATTTATTTCCAGCCCGCGGGTGCTTTTATTCATTCTCCACCACCTCTCTCAGCTGGCAATATCCTCCTGATCCGGCCTGTTTGTTTGAAGATAACATTATGATAATTGTACTAACCACCTTTGTTGGTACTACATGCCTTAACATGGTTACTTTCGTTCACATTTTGAACTTTTATCGGGTAAAACTGAAATGACTTTTAATCTGCACAATTTGAGTTTTTGCAGTCAATGGATATGCATGACAGAACCACTCAAAAAAGAATCAGGAAAAATGCAATGTTGTTTTTTCAAACAGTTTTACAAGATTCTCTCTACATCATTGACTTGTCTTTCACATTTAAATTAAGTGCATTGAGTAGTCATAGAATGTGGTCTTCTATCAGTGGAACACTTGTTTGGGAGTCATTGCATATGCTCGATGGGTGATTTTGAGAAAAATTAGTATTCAATTAAAAACTACTATTTAGATTCATCATGCTTGTGTTCAATGATCGATTTTCCTTTATTTGTGCTCGAGAAGATTCTGTAGAGTCCACTGCGTCTGTTGCTCCACGAAGGGTCCCAATTCATCATTTGGGATCATTTGGATGACTAAATTTTCTTTTCTTTTTAATAATTCTGAAATTATAAAATGGAGCAAACTTATTCCTTACAAATTCTTACAAAAAAGTACAATCGCAAAATAGAATTCTGAAAATTAAGATCAGCTTCATGTTTCTTATCATCTTCTGTTCTTGAAAATATGCTGATTTTTGACTCTTTTTGACGGAACATGTCTTTCTCTTATCATGCTTTTTTGTCTAATGAACCCTATACTTTAACTAATTTCACAAGATTAAGGTGTTCGGATAGACACTTGTGATTTAGTTTGGCTGACTAATTTTTTTCAACTTTTTGAAGTCGTAAGATCTTTTGGCTTCTCAATTTTTTGTATAAAAACTCAAAACAATAATAGTACTGATCTTCTACTTTTCTAAACTGTTCTAAACCATGGTTTCTAATTTGACAGAAGTTGAGTTCACTACTTTGAACTATGTAGCTTCTATCTTAATGATTATGGTACTAGTCAAAGTTTAATAAGATCCTTACTGAATTTTTATTTTCAGAATGGTATTTTTGGAGTAATTTGCAATGCATCTGTGATTTATATCTTTATTTGTGAACCTTCTGAACGGACTTCCTTCAATTTGATTTGCGCATACAGAAGTATCGGGAATTCAGTAATCTTAGTTTGGGGATTCATTGGAACATTTGTTCCCATCACATTGAAGTTAGTATTAAAATTTTAAATACCTAAGCAGCTAAAAAACATCTTAAGAGAAAGCTCTTCATTCTCAAATGTCTATGAAACTATCGTAATCATATCTTGTAACAACATTTATATTGCTGTACAGTATTGTGGATTGTTGATTGCTTTGAATCGGTTTTGTGCAATGTTCTTTCCGTTATGGTACGCGAAATTTTTTAGTATCAAAATCACATTTGTGAGTTTTACCATTCCGTTTAAACCCTAATGACTAAATTTAGGTTATTGTGGTATTTCACTTTGCTTTAAAGTTAGCAGATAACATTTACTACCTTGTAACCATTCTTCGTAAGTTCCATTAATGTTTCCATTTGTTCAGGTTCTTTTTTGTTTCAGCCAAGGATTGTTACACTCTATTCTCCTACAAAACATTATCATGGATCCCAAATATGGATCCAAAATGCCATAATGGTATTCCCAATCCATTCAACAATACTGCCATACTTCTGATTCTTCTGATTGTTATGAACGTTGCTACATTCTCAAGGATTTACTTCTTTTTTAAATCGACAGAAACGGAACAAGGAGAAATGAGGAGAAAGTCTAGAAAGAACAATTTATTGTTCTCCCAGACTGTATTCCAAGATGCTATTATGTTGATAGATATGCTTTTCACATTCAAACTCAGTGAGATAAGTAAGCAAAGATATTGGACATTTATAAGTGTTACACTGGTTTGGCAGTGTGTTCATTCCATTGATGGGTACAGTATACCTCGGAAATTCAAAAATATGAATACGTTTGTTACAGATTTGTTATGGTTATGTTCAACGAACGACTCTCACTTTTAAAAAGCAGATTGTTCGGATCAAGGGAAGAAGCCAGTCACACTAATCCTCAAATTTGGGTATCTGTGAGACACTGAAATGATCGTGGAATGTTTTTTTTTGTACTTGCCCAGCAATAATATAAATTGACATGCTACTATCACTCTCGATCATTAAACAAACCAAACTGTTTTTTTCGAACAGCTGGCTGGTGCGCCTTCGGCGCAGTCTAATATTTTAACTGACAGTACATTTACGGGACCCTTCTATTACAGTATTTCATGTAACTGCTTGCTGTATCCAAAGGCAATGGTAACACTTCTGACATTCCATTCATAAACTCAATAAATGATTTTTTCTAAAGCCTCTTTAATAAACTGTGATTATCAGAATAATAGCTTCGTAGTATCCTCTCAACACATGTAATGGTAAATAGTCGAATTATAAAAATACCGTATTTCCTCTAATAGAGGCCCATAGGCTTTTATTTTTTTAACCTCCTTCTGGGGGTGGACTAAATTTAGAAAAAAACGCTCAATTTATAAGGTTTTCGGTTTTTAACTGGACTGGAATAGTTATGAAACGACAATAACTAACGGGAAATACCAGAAAAATAAACAAGACAGATTATGTCTGCACTAACCGAAAAGAAAAATGCACAGCCAGGGTGGGCTTCAAATAGAGTATATTCTATCAAATAGTATATATTCTATTAGAGAAACTACTGTATTAAATTTTGAAAACAACGAACAGAGCATCTTGATGAAGCTTAAATACAACACCAGATAACGGTAGAAGAATCGGCTCTGTTCGATTATAGCGGGACTATGGCGAATGGATGGTACAATGGCGAATGGGTGGTAATTACTGCACTAAAGGATAAAAATGGAAAAGAATTAGGAGGCAGTTGGCGTCTAAACAATCAAATTATTTTCTACACATACAATTACTGCACTAAATGATTGAAAAAAAATCAAGCACTGTCAAACAATATATGAGATCTCCGTATGCTTATAAGATGCGGAAATTTTCAATGAGATCTGTGAATTCCTATGAAACCTTTGAACTCTCAGGGAACCTGTGATCTTAGACAGAGTTTGGAGGAGCTTATTCTGCCATTGTACCATCCATTCGCCTATTGTACCACTCATTATTCCATTGGACCACTCATTCGGTCATTGTACCACTCATTCGGTCATTGTACCACCCATTCGCCATTGTACCATCCATTCGCCATTAGTCCCGCTATAATCGAACAGAGCCGATTCTTCTACCGTTATCTGGTGTTGTATTTAAGCTTCATCAAGATGCTCTGTTCGTTGTTTTCAAAATTTAATACAGTAGTTTCTCTAATAGAATATATACTATTTGATAGAATATACTCTATTTGAAGCCCACCCTGGCTGTGCATTTTTCTTTTCGGTTAGTGCAGACATAATCTGTCTTGTTTATTTTTCTGGTATTTCCCGTTAGTTATTGTCGTTTCATAACTATTCCAGTCCAGTTAAAAACCGAAAACCTTATAAATTGAGCGTTTTTTTCTAAATTTAGTCCACCCCCAGAAGGAGGTTAAAAAAATAAAAGCCTATGGGCCTCTATTAGAGGAAATACGGTATTTTTATATATAGCTCTGTAGGCACATATCAAATTGAATGATGTTCTTTCGGAAGATGATGCAGTAAAACTGTAGACTATGAGACCGTTGCATATAATTCCAAATATCCTGTTCTGAAATTTTATGGCTCTGAAATAGTGTTTTATTTAAAAACTCACCAAAGCCATCAAAATCGTTGCGATCCAGTTTAGTGGATCTGATAAAGTTGAAGAGCTCATACTTAAAAAACGAATTTGGTAGCGCCCATCAACATGCTTTGGGAAACAGAAATGCGTTTTTGTTTATAGCTATTTTCAGTTTTTGGTAACAGATGTTTGGAGAATGTTTCATTGAAACTCTAATTCTCTGTTATACAATGAAAAATGTCGAATTGCAGAGATATCAGAAGATAATCGATGTCTGAATTCGAAATGAACTGATTTGTACTTTTATACTTTTGAACTGCGGAAAGCTATTCAGATGTTTGATGTTGTCCCATTTCCATAGAGCACAACTAAATACTATTTTGGAAGTAGTTGGTCACAAGAATTTTTACACAAAAGTGGAAAATATTGAAAGTTCGGATTGAGTTTGAAAGAAGTGGTTCCCAATGTAATGAGCCCCATCAAACCGCACCTTTCTGTAGTATGCCCTTTGATTAACCTTGCTAACGCACAAAGAACTTTTACATTTTAGGTGTACTTATCGTTTCAGGAGAAAATCAGTTAGGCCGGCAAAGCCTCATTTTTTAGAGAGTCACATTTTCGAAAAATAAACAATACTTTTTCAAACTATTATCACATAAGTCGGACTTAGGATACAAGGGTACATCAAAAAAGGGTACATCGAGGGTACACCGTTTTCTTAGTGTACATGGGATCTTGGGGTGTAGATCGTTTTAGCCTAAGCCTATAAACTTAAGAGAAAATCTTTCTTGATGTACTCCTGGATACTGGGCCCAAAAATTTGCCCACGATTTGCAAAGTTTCAGGAAATTTTTACCAAGTTTTAGCATACGGTTAGAATTTAGATTCTCAACTTTATGGGTTCCTATCAGGTAGAAGGTCCAGGACTTCATGAACATGAAGCGCTAGGTAGTCGACGGCTACTTACTACACACCACCATAAGAGTTCCAAGTCTCTTTGTTAGATATGTATAAATTGGTCCGGATGGATTTTGTTCATCGCCAATTTCATTACCGATTTTGATGAGTATTTCAGCAAGATTCCTACGTGATTGGGTCGTATAATCCCATAAAATGGGACCAGACTGTAGTACTATTCACTCAACTGTCGACCCCGAGCAATTGGTTCTGGAAACATTCCTCGCTGATCTATCCTTCATTTCATATCCCCTGCTCTTTTTACCGATATCTGAATATTCGTTATTCCAGTCTAGTCTGCTCACCGAAATGTACCGAAATGACAGATCGGGTTCGAAATGTTTCAGTCTGATATCATTTATTTATATTTTGAAGCCTGACAAGCTGTTATTAGACACTTCTAAACAGCTCCTTTTTAAATTCTGATTTCAGGTCGCATGCACCCAAACAAAAACATAAATATTTCAATTTTTGATCAAGGTAGAGTTATGAAGAGAAAACAAAAATAGCAATCAAGAAGGCGGGATACAATTTAACCTAAACAAATTTTCCTTTGTTTTTCGCTCAGTCTGTAATCACATTCATTTCTGTCCATCATGAACAATACCAACAGCCCTAACACTCTCACCGATCCATTGAATTGGACAACTGCTATTTTTATGACCGTGGTGGGTTTAGCAAAAGCAAAACCATTAAAATATATTTTATTTTTCTAGAACGCAATATTTGGAATAGTTTGCAATACAATTATCATCTACAACTTTGCTACTTCTCCAAAGGAACGAACATCTTTCAACCTGATCTGTGCTGCCCGAGCTATTGCGAACGTTGTTATTCTCGGAATGGGATTTCTATCGCTTTTCGTTCCGCTCACCATTTTGTTAGTTTCGGTACCCATTTTGTTATTTTAAGTGTATCCAATGTTTCAGTGGTGAAAATCTATTTCCCCCAGTTCATCATGCCATTGTTATCACAATCATCAACAGCCTCTACACTGGATTACAGAATTGCGGTTTTCTCATTGCTATCAACCGATTTGTGGCAATGTTCTTCGCGTTTTTCTATTCGAAATATTTCACTCCCACAGTTACTTTTGTAAGAAACCTTACTAAAAATTCTAACTTGAAAAGCAAGACATTTCATTCTTTTAGATTCTGACTGCTGCAATGTTCGCTTTCCGATTTTACAGAATGGGTTACGATATCATTGATAACAATTGTTAGTGACTATGGAGATTTTCTTCTTTTTATCAATTGATACTTTTTAGATAACCAATGTTTCTCCACATACTCCTCAGTGTACCTAACGTGGTTCCCAACCAGAGATCCTCGTTGCCGGAACAAATACGAGGATGTTTTTGACTTGACAACGCTTCTTCTTGTGGGACTGGTTCTTATCAATATAGCTACTTTTGTCAAGATTTACTTGTTTTACAAGTCGACTGAAATGGATTCTAAGGAAATTAAAAAACGAATCAGGAAGAATAGAATCCTGTTCTCACAAACTATCATTCAAGACCTGGCGTATGCTATCGACATGGCATTCACTTTTAAATTAAGGTAAAAACTACATGTGTAAACTTTTAAAAATCTTTCAAAAAATCTTTCAGTGCTCTCTCGATGTCGAGGCTTTGGTCATTCATTTGTGGCAGTATGGTTTGGGAATGCGTTCATTCCTTTGATGGGTATACCTTTTTTATTTAATTTATCTGTATCTTTTATTTCCATTATTTCAGATTGATCATGATAATGTTCAACGAGAAGCTGACGTTTCTTAAGAAAAGCTTTTTCGATTCATCTTCTCCCAGTTCGTCCGTCGGAACACAAGGAAATCCAAATGCTCTTTTTTCTCCTAGAGCTCCGGCTCCTGTTGTTTGAATTTTTATATATCAATGAAATTGTTGTGAATGAATAGAAGCTCACCCTATACGTGCATTTTGAGCTCAATTATCTCTTTCTTTCAAAAGATGTCGGGTGCGCTTCTATTATAGCAAATACGATATAAAGTTTGAAATCAAATTTTGAACATTTTTTATTTTTAATTTTCAAATTTATCTCTGAAGTGCTAAGCAAGAAATTGAGAACACTATATCTTTCTTGGATTTGACACTGTTCATTAATTGTTGTTTTTCGCTCCCCAAAATCAACAAAACACGATCTTTACGAATGACAAATTCCTCTAAATATCAGTTTCCTGTTCTGATAATTACCAAGTAAAATGGCGAACGGAGTCACTGGATTTCATTCTAGTCAAAAGTTTTGACAACTAGAAACTAGATTCTTCATGAATCATACTTACAATATTTCCGATCCTCTTAATTTAACTTCTTCGGCTATTATCCTAGCGGTGAGTAAAATGAATTCATTTTTGAGCAAAAAAAACTATCAAAATTCAGCTCGGGATATTCGGAATAGTTTGCAACGCCATGGTAATTTATGTTTTCTTTAAAATCCGAATCGAGAGAACATCATTCAATTTCATTTGTGTTTGCAGAGCAGTTTGTAACATATTCATATTAGTATGGGGATTTCTTGGAACATTTCTACCCATTACTTTCCTGTTAGTTCAATCTCAACATTTTTAGACAGAGTACTGTAAAACCTGTATTAGAAAGGTGGGCCCTTCTATTACAGCGGCCCTTCTATTAGAGGGTCATGCCCTTATAAAGCTACCCTTATCTTTCTATTAATATTAATAGAGAGAGAGAGGCACTAATACAAGTTTTATGGTATATCGTAAATTCCAGGAACGATCTCTTATTTTCTTTTGAATATCATACGATCGTAATTGGTTCGTGTAATAGCGTTTACAAATCTCTTCAGTATAGTGGACTTCTGATTGCTGTAAATCGCTTTTGTGCTATTTTTCTTTCTGTATTGTATGCCAAGATTTTCAATCTGAAGTTCACAATTGTGAGTGTTCCAGAATTAAAACTTCCAAAAGTTTAGCATTTTCCAGATCATCACATTCATCGTTTTTGGTTACGAAATCGCTAAAGTCATTTATGAATTCATTACTTTTGTCATTCGTGAAACCTTCGGTTTTTTTTCAAATAAGTGAAAACCTTGATTTCAGGTTTGAAATGTTATCTCATTTTCTTCCCGTACGATCTCGCTTGGGTTCCCAGAATACCTGAAGAATGCCATGATGGAATAGAAGGAACAGTAAACTTTACAGCGATTTTTCTCGCATTGATTGTTGCTATAAATTTGGCAACTTTCTCGAAAATCTATCTTTTTTACAAGTCGACTGAAATGGATTCAGAAGAGATCAGGATCCGAGTGAGAAAGAATAAATCCCTCTTTCTTCAAACGTTTATTCAAGACGCTATAATAATGATATATTGTTCACTTTGAGATTGAAGTGAGTTGAAATAAGTAATCAGACATAATGAATTCTCTGAATTCAGTCGCCTGAGTGATGCTCGTGCCTGGACTTTCCTCTGCGGAACTGTCATTTGGGAATGCGTTCATGCTTTTGATGGGTCTGTTAGAGTAAATTCCCGTCTTCGACTCAAATTTTTTAGATTTATCCTGATGATGTTCAACGAACGATTGTCTCTTCTCAAGAAACATTTGTTCTATACGTCTTCTACTCCTTCTACAGTTTCCACTGCAACTCGTACCAGAATGTTTGCGATGGAATCTTAGTTATCCGAATCATTCCATTATTTTTGATCTGAATCCCCGAACCGGAATTTATATTAGGTTGGCGGGAAAGTCTTTGTCACTTTTTCAATAGTTTATTTCTCAAAGAAAAAATAACCGAATAATTAATTATATTGTCCATCATTATCAACAACATGTCTCCAACGTTCCCTCAATTTATGGATTCCATTGCGGTAGAATCCAGCCGGGCGTGAGGCAAAGTATTGTTTGAGTGCCGCTTCGACCGCTCCACGGGAATTGAAGCTTCTTCCTTCGAAGGCACGTGTCATATCGCCAAATAACCAATAGTCGGAAGGAGCAAGATCAGGAGAATACGGGGGGTGAGGGAGAACATTCCATCCATATCCCATCAGCTCCTGCTTCACTTGTTTCGAAACATGTGGGCGAGCGTTATCATGTTGATAGTACACTTTCTTGTCTTTCAGGGCCGAACGGTCGACTGCTTTCTTGAGGTTTCGTAGTTGAGTAGTGTAGAGGTCTCCAGTTATTGTTTTGCCCTCGGGCAGAAGTTCCCAGTAGATGGGGCCGTCCACTCCCCACCACACAGAGAGCATAACTTTTTTCGGATGAAGGCCGGGTTTGGGGACATCCTGTGGGCTCTCTCCTTCTCCAACCCACTGGGATTCCTGTGGTGATTATCGTAGAAGACCCACTTCTCATCTCCGGTTATTAGCCGGTCCAGCCATCGATCGCCCGCGTGGAGAGTGAGAAGAGTAATCGAATCGTCGACTCGGCGGTCAAGGTTGGCTTGAGTCAGGTGATGAGGTATGAATCGACCAAAAAGTTTTCTCATTCCAAGAGACTTCAAACCTTCAAGGACTGTGCTATGGTGAACTCCGAATGTGACAGCTAGTTCACGGCTAGATTGAAATGGATCCGATTGCAATGCGTGCTTCAGCTTGTCCAAATCCAACTCACGGGGTCTCCCAGAGCGATCCTTTTCATCGAGCGAGAAGTCATCTTTTTCGAAACGATGGAACCAATTGCGAATAGTATTGTAGTGAGGGGCATGTGTGTTGTACACATTCTTCAAGAAAGTTTCCGAATCCTTCATCGTGGTGTGAGATAGGAAGAGGTAAATCAAAACATGTCTGATGTGAATAGCAGTGGGAACAAACATATCGTTTCAATTACAGATGAGGAGCAGGGAAGGAAATGGGGACTTGTTTATATGGAAGGTTCTTATCACCTTGTTATTCACTAGAGTCGATATCATACACAGCCTCCATATACGAGAACAGTGATTAAACAAACAGAGTGACAAAGACTTTCCCGCCAACCTAATACCATTGCGACAAGATGACAGTTATTATTTTTGAACATATTTTTGAGCACCATTCAGATCTTCATCTTATTCCATGAAAAGCAGCATTAATGTTTCCAACCAAAAAGAATCAGAGACACTCATGTCATGTAAGCACTTTCACCTGTTTTTCTTGACCACCCTCCACATTCAAATCAACAAAGATGAAAAAAGAGGGAAGTGAGTGAGCATAAACTTTCTCAACAAGGTGTCGAGATAAATGCTTATTATGAAATACGAATAATATTTCGATGAAAATGTGATTGATATTTTGGTTGGTTAATCAGAGGGGAAAACTGAATGAGAAACACTAAACTTTTTCGAGACTAAAGGGAGAGACATTGAGTGGAAATGCATGGCATTTTCATAGTGAAAAACTACTGAAATATATTTTAGATTTCTAGAATTTGTAAATCTCTATTTTTTCTTCTAGATCCGTACATGTCCTATGATCAAGAAATCAAAGGAGTGTTGTCTAGTAAACTTCGTAAAGTAAGCCTATCATTTAGAATGAATCGAATCCCAAGAATGACAGACCACGAGTAGTATTTTTCGAAATCCACCAAAACACAATCACACATCCTCATTCGCGAAATACATAATGAATGGAACCGATTACAACTACACAGATCCTCTTAATATCTCAGCAGCTGTCATTATCATTGTGGTAGGTTGATTTCATGTCTTGACTGTATAAATTCGAATTTTCAGCTTGTAATTATTGGAATATTGTCAAATATTTCAATCATTTATATTTTTATACGATCTCCATCCGAAAGAACTTCATTCAATATTATTTGTGTCTTCCGAGCTATTTCCAACATTATCATATTATCTTGGGCCTTCCTAGCTACTTTTCTCCCAATCACCCTTGTGTAAGTTTGATTTGAATATGATTTCTTGAAAATCCTGTTGACTTTCAGAGGCACCTCCCCGTTCACTGAATTCTATGAGACTATTGTGATCGCAATTTCGAATACACTGTATTCTGGAATCCAAAATACTGGAGTTTATATAGCATTAAACCGTTTCTGTGCAATGTACCTGCCCCTGTACTATTCGAAACTTTTCGGGTTTAAAGTGACATTTCTGATTACTACATTGATGTTTACATACAGACTTGTCAAGATAACTTTTGAGTCTTTTCATTTCATAGGTATTTTTCAGATCCATAGTTCAGAAGTAATTCATGAATTTCAGGGCTTGAGTGTTGGATGACATTCACTGCAGTCGAATTGACATGGTATCCAAGTATGGACGATAAGTGTAACGAAGACTCCAATTCAAGCTCGGAAATCAACACTTCTGCAATATTTCTCCTAGTTATGACTTCTCTGAATATTGCCACTTTCTCTAAAATCTACTTTTTCTACAAAGCGACTGATTTGGATTTGAAAGAGAGAAAAAAGAAACAAAAGAAGAATCAGGCTCTTTTTCTACAAACGATAATTCAGGATACTATAACTCTAGTCGATATGATATTCACTTTTCGATTAAGTTTATTGAGTAACCAAAGGATTTGGACATTTTTCTGTGGTACCGTTATTTGGGGATGTGTTCACTCGTTTGATGGGTTTGTTTTTAAGAAGCTTTCCCATTAAAAATCATGAAACTTCAGTGTAATCATGGTGTTGTTCAATGAGAGGCTTACCTTTCTCAAGAAGACGTTCTTCGGCTCATCACCTAATAATTCGATTGTCCTCCCAGTTTCAAAACCGGCAGTTTCAGTGGCTCCATCTGGTTTCCCATCTCGTGTTGATTAGAATTTCTTTGAATATGCCATAAACTTATATAGGATTTCCTGCACTTTTTATTTGTTATTTTATCATTTAAAGATTATTTTGAAGTAAATTATTTTTGGTAGAATTTCGGAAAGTCCGTTTTTATTAAAATTTCAATCAAACATTTTGAATGCTCAGAAAATTATGAGAGACTAAACCAAAAAAACTAGGAAAGAAGTAATCCAAGGAGCTCAGGTTGGCTTGAAATACAACATTTTTGATACCGGGCCTACTCAGGCCGGGCTTCGAAAGTTAATGTCAGGCCGTCCGGCCCGACAAGCACTCGCGCGTTCATTTCACAGGTATGCGGAAATGCTTTCTGAGGTTCCCAGAAGAAATAATACCTGGTGATGTCAAAACTTCCCTAGAAAAACAATACAGTCTGAGCTCTTTGGTGTACTTGTGTTCTTCTCTATCTGCCACGTCATCAACATAATTCGACCGGTTTCTATTCGAAAAAACGGAAACCCTTCTGGTTACAGTCGTGTCATGAGGGTTCTGTTATTTTTTGAAACTTTCCATACATCCGCATTGATCCGCTTTAATCCCTAATAACAAATCCGTGGGGGATGTATATGGGGTTGAAACCGATTCTTTTAAACATTCATTTGTTCGACAAATCGACTGTCAGTTCGACGAAAAAATGAAGCGTTCAACGCTGATTCTTTTATCTATTCTGGCGATCCAAACTGTAGAATGCTGGAGACAACATGCTCCACCACATCCACCACCACCTCATCGGGATATTGATTCTTCTGGAAACAGTGCATCAAGGAGTTCGGAAAGTGATTCATCCCTAGAAGAAGACATCGTCCTAACTCCAAATCAATCAAACCAAAATAAAAGAATCGATCCAGATCGTATGATTCAGTTGCAACAGAAACAGGAGCAGGAACGAATGCAGAACAGATTTGAAGGAAAGAAAAACAACTTCTTCGACCGCCCATCTTCTGAGGAATTGGAAGCCTACGACGAGAAGGTCAGACACCAAAAAACCAATCGTATCATTGAGGAGGAACCAGTAATGGTTCAAGGACCAATGGATCCAATTCGTGCTCCAAAACCAATGAAACCAAAGATGGATGATGCTGATGAGAAGTTGTTCTTGGCAGCATTAGGACAAATCTATTTGAATAAATTGGATGATGAATCACAGGACGCCGAAAGATTCCCAGGACCACCAGGACCAATTGGACCAATGGGTCCACCACCACCAGTTGATTATGATTACGTATTTGTTCCTTATGAAACCCCAGGAAAGGTGGAATCCAACAACAACGGAAATAATAATGTGCACGTCAATGTGAATCATGTACAGGTAGGTAGTATGAATCTCACAGTCTTCCTCACATCCTATTCTAGGTTAACTCCAATGTTCTCCACGTGCCAGAGAAAAAGAAGGATAGTGAACCAAAAGAGATGCCACCAATTGTCCCATCCTATCACTATTCGGAACCAGTCTCGAGCTCGAACTACATGTATTTCAACTTCAATATGATTGACTGTGCTATTCTTTTCGTTCTCGTCGCCGTTTTCTTATTTGCTACCAAGAAAGCTTACAAAAAGTGTTTCCCAAAGTAAGACAAGTCTCGGAAACTCAATTTTTTATTTTGAATGAATTTCAGAAAGATCGTTGCTCCCCAACTACCAACATCTCTTCCACCAACCTACACTCCATCATCCATTGTTGTTGAGACCGTCTCAAAGAAAACCCCACAATAATTCCATTCAAATGTTTTTGATTCATAAAATATTTTTATATAAAGTAACTGTAACTTTGAAATAAAGGGAACTGGTTATCATTAGTTTTTCTTCATTTTCTCTTCCAAACATGCAGGAAGGACTTCTTGTTTTCCGAGATTTCGGACGATGAAATCAGTCCACCAAGTTGGAAGAAGGGACAATGGAACGTAAACAAAAATTGCATCCCATCCACAGTAATATCGATGGCGTGGGTATTTGGCTGTCAGAGCATGATAGTAGTTATCAACGACATAGTGAATCTTGGTGGTACTCAATGCGATGTATGTTTTGTTCCACATTTTGGCGACTGGAAAGAAAAAAGTTAATTGAACAATCATTAAAAAATAATGCTCACAATAGTTTTTGAAGTTCTCCCCATACTCTGCTCTTGTCTCATCATCAATTTGCATCCACACATGATCTACTCTTTTCAGCATAGCTTGTTCATCTAGAAGTGGTGTTCTGAAGATTCCTGGCTCCACAATGCTCACTTTCACATCAAAGTTGTAAAGTTCTTGTCTGAAAATTCATATTTCGTGTACTTTAACTTGTGAAATGTCTGGCTGGATGCTAATTTGCGATTTCAAGACTTATCCGGAAATGAAAAATTCACTTTTTTTTCGGAAGTAAAAGCAAATCAAAGATCTATTCCAAACCTCAAACAATCCATGTAGGCAGATGCACCAAACTTCGAAACCACATATGGACCAGCAGCTGGGGTGGAGAGTCTTCCATTTACAGATGTTACTGTTACAATTCTTCCTTTTGCTGCTTTCACCAACTTTTTGAATGCCTGAGTAACACGAATCACTCCAAGGCAATTCACATCGAGCGCCAATTTGTAGTCATTCATTCTACACCAATCATCTGGTCCATAACAAGAGAAAATACCCGCATTATTCACTACTCCCCAAAGTTCTGAAAATAAAAGTTTAATTGAAAAGTTCTGTTTCACTCTGGTTATTACTGTGGTTTCCCAAGTATTTCTTCACGAATTCTGCTGCTTTCTCTACAGACTCATCCTTGCTCACATCCAAAGGAACAGTTTTGAGACGTGGATTGGCAACTTCTGCTTCTAGCGTTTTGGCTGCCTGAAAGTAACAAATAATTAATTCTTGACCTCGTTTGCCTTTAGTCTAGTTTGTTTTAATCATATTTGCAAAATTACATGCCGGGTCGTGGGTCGGACCAGGCTGGGTCGATGAAGCGCCGGCCCGGCACTGTCCGGTCGGCCCGCTGTTTGTAAAGAAGTTGTTTTTTTAAAGATTTTTTTTTTCGAAAATTTTAACAATTTTTTAAACATTTAAAGGTGGGGGGACACATAAAGGCGAGGACGACAGCTGTACGCAGAGTGACATTAAGCGTTGTACACCGTGACGGTAGAATGCATACTCTAGCTACAAAAAAACTACGAAAATTCTCCTGTCCCCCCACCTTTAATCAAAAACTCTATATTTTTTGACTACTTTCTGCTTTGATAATTTTAAAAATTATATAACTTTTTTTCTTTTTCAATTCAAAAAAATATCATTTTCATTGGAAATTTTTTTTACTGAGAAAGGGCGGGCCGCCGGGCCGGGCCGGGAAAATTGTCGCTTTGACCCGGCCCGGCCGGATCTGCCCGTTGCAAGTTTGGTTTTAATAGGTGTCTTTATTTCGTTATCTCGTTGATTGTCAACATTTCCTGCAATTGCTACTATACTTTTTTACAATCAAATTGAATCTCTGTTTTTTTCTAGTAATAGTGAGACAAAAAGATCAATTGAAGATCAAAACACAACAATTTTGTTAATCAAAATCTAGGAAAGACAATCATGGTCAGCAGTTACATAGCATACAATTTACCAATCGAATCATTCTTTGTAAGATGACTCTGATCTTATTAGCATCCAAACCAACTGGGTGGCGCACAATTACTCGTAATTGCTGATAAAAACCGGTGTATCTTCGGGCATAAGTATCTTGAAAGCACGAAAATTGGTAGATATATAATTTTACGTTTGCAAACGTTTGATACAAAGCTACTGAAATTTTCAAAGCGGTTCCTAAAGTAGGTATTGTTATGATTGTTCCCAAAAGTGAACGGCGTAATGTAGCATCTCAACATCTGCATCTATCTGCTTCTGTAGCATCTGCTTCTAGCGTTTTGGCTGTCTGAAAATAAATTACCTCTGTTGTGAGACACCCTGCAAAAACCATGAAACCATTCTTTGCACACTTCTTGGCAAGTTCTTTTCCAAATCCGGTATCACATCCAGTAATGAAAACGGCACGTTCATGAATGGATCCTCCTTCGGGGATCAATTCCAAAATGTACCTGAATTTTTGTTTTGGTTTGACACAAAAGGAATTCTCTTACCTAACAATGTTCCATACTACAACTACTGCAAGAAAATAGACAACCCAAGTGAATAGAGTGCAAAGACACCAATCTGTCATCTGAAAAGAACTATTGTGGGGTTTGATATTTGAAAAAGTTCGAAGCAGAAAAAAGTAGATGCAATTTTCATAAAAGAAAAGGGAGAGGGGCGTTGGTGAGACCGCAATCGGAAACAAAATTGAAATCGAAATAGTAGAAAAATTCAAGGTTATACTTTTCCTTTTTATACCTTCTTCCAGCTGTCTCTTTTCAAAAAGGAACATAATTGAATAGCTGAAAATACCAGTTTCTCAGTGAGAAAGCTAGAGGAACGAAACGAAAAAGCGAACAATAAACAATTTATTTTTTGTACAAAAATGGAAAAGATGAAAAAGTTGTTGGGTATCATCTAATCATCGCTGGTGATCATCTGAGAGTCGTCAGTGCTAACGGGACTCGATGTTTGTCTGAAAATGAACTGTGCATTTATTTATACACACACAATTTGTTTAGTGGTCACAACGCCACACCGTCGCAACATTTTTGCCATGTTATCAGTTGATCATTTACATGAAATTAGTTCTCTAGCCTAGACTGTGTTCATGATCGGTTGGGTTGTTTTACTTTCAAAGTTATCTTCCAAAGTTTTATGGAAGTGTTAATCGTAATAATCAGAAAGAGTTTGGAAAATCAAGCAGTTTCAATAATACTTATTTATAGGTTGGTTTCGTTTCTGTATCAGATTGCGCATTTTTATGTGCTCGTTTAGAAAAATCAAAAATAATGGCGTTGCAAGAGGAAAGAGGAAGTTTGAAACCATCTCAACTATAATAACACTATAAACGTTCTAATAGAATGACCCCACTAACTTTTAACTGTTAGCCAAATTATCTCGGTTTCTGTCAAAGACATTTAAAAAATGTCTAGTGATAAATTGTTTATCATAATATCAGAAGTGATTGTCAGCTAACATATTTTTGATACCTTGCATAAGAATTGAGAGACTCAATCTTGACAGTGTGAGATCCCGTCTATTTAAAATGTTAGGGTATACTTAGGCACCGCAACGCGAGGGGGCGGAGCCTAATTTTTTTCTCTTGGGGGGTATCTGGCATGTTTGAAGGCGTAGAACTCGAGACTGATGGACCGATTTTTATGAAATTTGGTCTCGTTATGTAAAAAAAACACGTAGAATCGACTGATGTAAAGCGTTTGCGTTGAAAACCAACGACTTTCAAAATACTCGTGAAAAACAGAAATCGACATGAGAAATTTGGTCTGAAAAGTGTAATAAAAGTCGATGTCGCTTCTTTTTATGATTGTTCTAAATACTTTTTTAGATGGTGAATAAGATGCATTAAGCCATATTTAGCCAGCAGTTCCCCCATTTTTGCAGTAATCCATCAAACTTCAAGCAAAAATTGTGAATTTTTTTCAGCGATGACCCCATGTTTTTAATATCAAAATACTTAGATCAATTCTATGACTGTTCAGATATGCAATTTGATGACATTTGAAAAAGTTTGAGCTAGCAAAAAACGCATCCAAAGATGACATGGTTCTAAAATTTAGACGTTTTTGCGAATTTTGACGGTAATGCAGGTCGATGTCGCAGATTTTTATTACATATTCAGATTCTACGAAAAATTTGCTACAATATACATGTTCGAGTTTACTTCTACCTGTTCCCCCATTTTTTTAATATCTCAATTTCCACCTAAAAATGTGAATAAAATGTGTTCAAATCGTTGTTTAGAAAAGAGAGGCAGCGCGTGCTTCATATCAGCCTTTCAATACGCCAACCGTCAGCGCGCGCATGGAGTAGTGGGTAGTGTTTCGGGACGGCGCGCCACCGGCCATGGTTGGATTCCTTGCTGTATCAAAAGTCTTTTTTCAGTGTTTTTCCAAACTTTGTGCAACTTTACGTAACGGTGTATGCACTGAAAACCAATTGAAACTCTTCACAGCGCTATGAAAAACATCACAGCAATAAATCGGGAATTTTCTGCGCCGCACGTTTGCAAAAGGCGTCGCCCCGCCCACCTTGCCCCGCCCACTTTTCCGTGCCCACTGCAACCCCCTAAGAGAAAATGGATGAAAAAGGGGGTTACAAAAAAGGGTGTATCTCGAGAACGGATGAACATTTTCGAAAAAAAATTCGGAATTATACTAATATTGATATGGTGAATACGATAATATAAACAATTCTCAGGAAAAATGAGTTTGAAAAAATCGTTGTGGTGCCTAGGTATAATTCCTGAAATGTAATATCAGAGAAATTGAAAAAAGCGAGTTTCAGAGTTTATACGGTAAATTATTTTCAAAACCATAATCATAATATAAATTATTTTCTTTGCCCCATTTCTATCCTACAAATTTTGCAGAACAAGAAATTTTTAGATTATCGTAAACACTCGAAAAGTGATCCTCTAACTTTCCACTTTTATCCAATTTATCTCATTCAATATCATGAAAAAGTTGTCTACTGATAAATTATTTATCATAGAATCAAAAGTGTTTTGTCAGTTGAAAAACTTTTGATATCTTGCATAAGAATTGAGATAATTGAGCTCAAACTTGACAGTGTCGGGACGCTTTTATTACAGGTTTTATGGTGTTCTTCTTAATCCTGGTGTTTCATTTCCAATCATCTCTCATCCTATGAACTCTTCCCCAGTCCGAGCTGTTTGCTTTGAACTAACTTTTCAACTGTCTATCTTCCTTTTCTTTTTATTTTTCGTTTTTATTTCTTTCTGTCCTTCCCGACAGTTCCCAAAAGTCCACAAATTTGTCACTGTGCAAACATGCCAATGTTTCTCTGGTCACCCACAATAAAGCTACTGTTTTCTTAACTCACTCTGAAGAGTCCATTCCAGATCCTTCCACATTCTCATCAGTAACCTGAGCATTCACTTTGGTGAATTGATAAGGATTTCCCCAGTTGTTGGTCCGTTGAGTTTGCCCCCAAGTGCTTTGGAATGGACGAATTCTCATGGAAGACTCTTGGGAAGATAGTTGGGATTGTTGATATCCATTTCCATTTCCATAATACATCGGGGACCACGAGGATTGAGATGGAGTATTGTATTGTTGTTGTTGTTCTTGCATGTTGTACTGATATTGATTCTGGTTTTGGTAGTATGGGGTCATTTGGTACGAAGCGGAAGATGGATATCTGAAACAACGTTATGTAAATCATAAATCAAAGAAGTATACCGTACCCATAGTACTGCGGAACTCCTTGCGAGCCATAGTAGTTAGTCAGATCCATGAATGGAGAATAAAAAGAAGAATCGGATCCTCTATATCTGCTCGGGTAGCCCATTTGACTTCCCTGACTTCTTTGGTATCCTTGATCTCCTTGATATCCCTGGTATCCTTGATCTCCTTGATATCCCTGGTATCCTTGGTAACCACCTTGGTATCTTCCTAGATATCCTCCTTGATTACCTTGATAATCTTGATAGCTTCCTTGCATACCCGGATAGCTCTGATATCCATTTTGATATCTTCTCTGACTGGACGAAGGATAATAGGAAGATTGCATAGAATATTGTTGATCGTAATATCCATTTCCATACTGCTGCTGCTGATCATATGCTGGATATGAAACAGCTAAAGCGGCAATAGAAGACAAGAAAAGTGTCAAAGAGAGCATTTCTCTTTGCCAAGAATAGAAAATGAAGAAATTGAAAAGAATGGTTAGGGCAGAGTTAGTTGAGAGCTCAATGGCTTTTATATTTACTTTGGAGAGAGCGACACAGTTCTCGCGTACCCCAAACAATCTCTCTCTTTTTTCCTTTTTCTTCTTGTTTCTCTTACTTTTGAGTTCAGTGGTTACTTGTATTTTTACTTTGTGATGTTTAGAAAAAATAGGGATTGAAAATAAAATCAACATCAATGTAACCGCCAACTAAAGTTCGGCATTAAGAATGATATCATTGGTTTGAGTGAGTCAATCAGGGATCCAGGAGTTGCAAATAAAATTATTTAGATTTTAAACTGTAGAAATCGGAGCTGTGAAAGAGGGAAGCTTGAGGGCATCTCCAACGGTCCTCTTAACGAGAACCACCGTTACCTAATAGTTTTGAACATTTTTCTTGATTAATACTGCTTTTCAACAACTTTTGTGTTGAAAATCTTCAATCAAGTAGAAAAATAAATTGTTTCTAAATCTAAAAAAAAATAAAACGAGCGAAAATCGAGGGAAAAATATCGAAGTAAAAAATAATTGCGAACTACGGTAATTAGGTCATGGCCGCGGAGACTATCGTGAACACATGGAATGCCATCGAAAACATCAACTTTGAGCTCATATATTTTTTTCCTGCAAAAGATGTTTAAAAGTGGTCCCTAAGTGGATTCGAAAGTCCATATCATACTTATAAGACTACTAAAAGATTAGAAGATAAACTAGTTACATACCAGGAAGTAACATTTTTGTCATTCAGAACATCATGAAGATTCTGGTTTTGTATTTAGATGCGATGTCAGAAATCCAAAAATGCGGAAGTTTATTCCACATAGCTTTGGAAAACTCTTAGAAACTTTTAAAACCACAAACCACTTTACAGCCGAACTACGGTTTTTTTCGGAACAGAGAATACGAAAAGCCATACAAACAGAGACAATACAAACTTTTCATATCTTCAAAAGGTACCGTAAATTCTCAAATTGAAGCCCATCCTATCCATATGTGCACTTTGAGCTCAAATATTTCGGTTCCTATTAGAGATATCAAAAATGGGCCAACTAATAAAATATTGGTGATATTATGATAAATAATTCATCAGTTACAATTTTTAAACAACTTTTGAAGGAACCGAGATAATTGAACTCAAAATAAACGTATCGGGTGGGATACTGTTAGAGCATCTACGGTAAAAACTAGCACATGGGATTTTTTGCTGAGTAGATATCCAGTTCTGGATTTGATTTTTTATTCTCGTACACACAGTATTTTCTTTATTTGAAGAAATTATTCGAATGAAAACAAATTGCACAAAACAAAGTGGATATTTCATTTTTCTACAATACTCGATAAAAACCCGACAAATTTCAGGAATATGTCAAAATAGAATGCTATCAAAAAATAATCAAAATACAGATAAAAAGTTTTCAAGAGAGTCTCTGATTAGGCAAATGTTCTTGTCTGATTTCCGCAGGTGGCCATGCAAGAGTTATAATTTGGGAAATTGTTCGCATTTCCGAGGGTTCCATAAAACGAGAAACGCATGCAAGTGGTGTATTTTGGAACCCAGAAATATTTGTCACTCTTCTCCCCTCCAACAGCAAACTTTCCAGAGTCGTATTTCAAATTACAGAGATAGTCTGAAATTGTTCGATGTCTATTGAGAATTGAAATAATAAGAGCTTACTAGCAGTTGGACAGCAGAAGGAATTGATACAGTTGTGTCCAGTTGGGCAAGTGGTTGCTGCTGAAGAGCATCTGACTGGTGTCAAGTGGTCAGTATCATAGGTGGCTGAGCAGGCAGCTAGAATTTAAAAGTTCACAATTCAAAGATTCAGGATAAACTCTTACATTTCATTTGAACAGTCTCATCATTTGATTCAGAATCTCTTTGAGCCTGGGCGTTCGAGCATGCAGCCCTACACTCTTGTGCACTGGCAAACCGGTTGCTGTTTCCTCCACATCCCTGGTATACAAATGGTTGACATGTTCCAAGACGTGGAAGGTAGTAGAACATTCTAGAGGAACTGTTTTCAGAGCATGTTGATCCAGAATCACGAGCAGCGAAGCAATCTACATCAGCAGAAAGAGCTGTATGGGACACGACAAGGATGAACTGGAAATTCTGTAGTTGGAAACAAATCTCTAGTTCTTTTTTTAGCTCAGCTCGATTTGACTACTGACTATTTTTTAAATAATCCCTGAACCTAAAATTGAAACCGATTGAAAAACTCACCACAGCCAATCTAGCCACCATTTTCTTGCTGGAGTCAAAATGTTGAACTCAGCTTCTGAATTTCTGTTAAATACTACCGGAAGTTTCTCCGCCCCCAAAACTCTGATACTGGTAAATTTGTAACCTCCTGCGGTGCAATAGAAGTAGCAGCCACTAAATTCCAGTTTTCATCTGACCCCACGGAGCAAACATTGTGTGTATAATGTACATATACCTTTGGCTCCTTCGCACTGATTTTTTTGGCGCACACAGTTTTATTTTGAGACATTTTTCTATGGGTATGTACCTGCCTGTGTGCAGAAGATTTTTTGAGGAGAGAAGGAACCAGTCGGAGATATTTACTTGTTTTTCAAATAATTGTGGAGGTGTAAGAGAGTTGTTAATCGGAGTCAGATTCTTTGATTTTAAAATAGTTTAGTGATCGAGTGTTCATTTGGAAACAAAAGATCAAGAACATTTATTTAGAAACTCATTTTTAACAGAATCGTCTGAGAAGTATATCAACCTGAAAATAGAAGAAGAACAATTCATGATAAGGTGCTATGAAAATTATGGAACTTGTATGAGATTTGTCTGTTTCGCTCATCAAACTTTATAGGATGTTCATGTGAAAATGGAAATTCGTTTTTGTTCCGTTGGTTTTTAACTTGGAATTCCCTAAAACATAGAAAATCTGCTAACAATATCAGTTGCCGTGTCTGCCGCAAAAAAGGGAGAGTGCAGAAACCGTGCCGCAACATTGCATAAACTGCCAGCGCCGCTTGCGAATCGTCGCCCCGCCCTTTTCTTTTTTGCGGCAATTTCAAAGAGAGGTTCTTTCCGGCTGTTTTTAATCGTTTTTCGTTTTTATCAATCGAAATGCATTCCCGGTGAACGGGGTATGAGTAATTACGATCGTGTGCCGTGTTCGATTGCTATTCCGAATCAGCAAGGTATGTTTTTCTGTCTCAGAACGGATTTTCAGAAATGAACGTTTGCAGTTGAAATACAGCAGCAACCTAGAGTCTTCGAAGATCAAGAAAGTCCGGTTAAAACAAAAGTTCAGCAGCCTCCACCAGAACAAGTTCGAGTTCCTCCGACAGTCATTGGAGCAACAGCAACAGCAAAAAAGAAATCGTGTCTCTCAACAACATCTTCACGGAAGGAACCACCCGCACATCCAGCTCTTCGTCGAAAAACTGTGGCTTTTGGGCGGACTGTAAACGTGTCACAGACTGTTGAGGTATATTCCATGCCAATTAATAGTTTTACTAACTTATACAAATTTCAGGGAACTTCTCGACACACAAAAAAAGCAATAGCTTCGCCAAGTCAGAATCACAGAATGACAGAAGAAAATCAAGAAGAAAATTGGCGAGATGTGATGAAAAATGAATTCGAAGTTATGCGAAAAGAAATGCAAGAAGAGGCAACGAAAAAGCAAGAAGAGCTCAATGCACAAAACCTGAACAAAATGCAGGAAATGATGTCGCAGTTTTTTCAGCGTTCGTTTACTCTTTTTTGCTTGAATGTCCAAATAAATAAGTTTTTTATAGAAATTACAGTTGCCAAACCATCAGCCGAGGAAAGTCAAGATAGAGAAAAGGAAAATTGGTACGAACAATCTCGGCATGCGAGACAACAAAAGCCGGCTAATAAAGTGAGACTCACTCGACTCCGCACAACCTTAAACCATTATCTTTCAGATTGCGAAAGCCCGAGAAATCATCAAAAGAGAAGGAAGCATTCCACCGGAAGCTCTACCGATTCTGGAGCAGCGAATTCGAACCGATCCCATGTTCAGACAACAAATCGATAACGTTCTAGCAGATGTGAGAAATGCTAATATCGTTTTTTTTCATTCAAAGTGTGTATTTTTAGGCGGAATGCGATGCAAACCGAGCAGCTTACTCGCCACTTCCTCCTCTTTCACCACCCTCAGGACGATATGCGAACGGTTCCAGCGGAAATCCAGCTTTGATGAGGGAAACATTAACCGTTGAGAGAAGTATTCGATATGACAACGGGCTATCCTCGATCGATTCAAGACAGTGGACTAGCGAAAGGAACGATAACAGAAGTAGGGTTTAACACAAATCTTAAAGTAAAAACCTTTTTTCAGCTCATGACAACTACCGTCCGTATGAACCGGATCCACAGTTGCAATCCATGTACCAAAAAGGTCAAAGTGTCAGTTATTATCCATCGGAAGCAGTTGGAAAAGCCCACCGAAATAACCGTCTTGAGTACCACGTGGAAGAAGTTCCGGAGTATGAAGAAGAAGAAACAGAAGTGGGCGGACGAGGTCGGGGTAGAAAATACCATGAGCCGATGGAAACGGAGTCAGCGGCAGAGCGAGAACGCCGTATTCGAGAAAAATATTCGCGAAGGAAGTAACATATTCAATTGTATCTGTGAATCATAACTTATTACGTGTCTTTTGTCGCCTATTCTCTGTAAATCTAACAAAATTTCTTAACTACCGGTTGCAAACCGGTCAATTTTTCTGAATAAACCCTTTGTTCTTAATCTCTGTCTTTATTCGTGGATCAATACACTCAATTTAATTTCAGGACCTGAAATTCTCTTTTTGTTGGTACCTGACAAGTACCAACTTGACCTTTCCATGTGATTCGTTTTTTCCTTTTAATTTCGCCACTTGTAACAACAACAAGTGTACAAAAACTGTGTAACTTTAGTTAATTGAATCGAATTTCTCCGATTTTTACACTATTTTTTTTCTTCTCCTCATTTTTTATTTAAACCGTCGTCCTGACCTGTTCAACGATGATGTTCTTGTATAAAAATGTTCAGCGGCGTCGTCCTCAGAAGTGACCAAACCGAAAGAAGACTTGATTTTCTCTTGATTTTCATACCCAAACAGCCGAAATAATACACAGTTTTAGATTTGCCAATTCGATATCAAATTATATCTATTTTCTTCTTCTTCCTGTTTACTTTTGCACCCGAATTCTTTTTGAATTCAAGTCAATATTGACACCGATGATTTCTAGAGAAAGAAAGAGAGTAGGTGGAAATTCTTTAAATATAAAAGATTAGGTGTGTTTCGTTTTCTTTGCAAATTTGTTTTTCCTTTCTCTTTTTTGAAAAAGAAAAGTTCGAGAGAGCACCCAGGTGTTTGTTCTTGCTTTGTGTTCTTCGTCTGTTTGTTTCGGTTATAAGTCAACCGTTGTTCTCGTTACAAGGTCAGTTTTCCAGAAATGCGATCCGTTTTCATAATTAGTATGTTATTTGTGACTTCTTCTTTTGGCTTTGATTGTACACAACCAAGAGATAATGGAAATTCATGCAGTGAGAATGGAGCTGCCAGAGCGTTTTATTTTGATACAAGAACTAGTAAGTTAGATAGATTTTTATCGTTCTGGTTTAAAAAAAACATAGCTGTGGAAGAGAAATTCCGGTGGCCGTGGCCGAAAATCCAACAGCGGCAACTACCGTAACCTAAAAATATGTTTTTTTTCCGGATTTGTTTTCTCGTTTTTCGTGCGTTTTCAATTGTTTTTCCAACTTGTTTTGGGGAAAATAACGGAAAACTCGACGAGAAGCGGTGAAAGACGAGAAAAGAAACTCGAAAAATTTTTTTTTAGGTTACGATGGTTGCCGTTGTGGGACCTTCGGCAACCGCCTTCTCTTCCAAAGCGGGACAGAATAATAATTCTAGACAAAGCATTGCATTCTTTTCTCCACTTTTGTGAAAATTTATTAGCAACTTTTTTCAAACTTCACATTGATCAATTAGTTCAGTTCAATCATGTATGTCTATGGTGAGAAGATGTTTGATCATCAGATTGTCAAGAAGAAACAAATCAGAAAGTACGAATTTTTATTTCAGAAGTCTGTCAACCTTTCCTCTACTCTGGATGCGGTGGCAACGACAACCGATTCGCCACATCCAAGGAATGCCGTGACTCCTGTCAAAACAAGAAGCCATCTACAACAACTTCATCTCCGAATACAATTTCTGAAGATTCTGACAGTACCACATCACCAAACTCTCCTCCATTTGTTCCCCAAGGAAATTCTCACGATCAATGGAGAAAAGCAGAAATTTGTGGAGCAAACTATTTGATTCCAAATGGAAAGTACACTCTTTGTTCTCCAAACAAAAAGTGCCCAAAGTTCCATTCGTGTGTGAATGGTGCATGTTGTCCATCGAAGGACTACGTGTGCTCTTTGAGAGATGACAACGGAAGTTTCATGGACGGAGTCGAGGATCGTCCAAGATTCTCCTGGAATAACGATGTTCGTAGCTGTACTAGATGGAGTTATTACGGAGCTAATGGAAATTATAACAACTTCCCAAACTTCCAATCGTGTATGAGATATTGTCAGGACTCGAACAAAATCGATTTATAGATTAATTTTTTTGAAATCAGCTTGTGAACTTTGTAATTTGAGTTCGAACAGAAACTTGATATGTTCAGAAGTCGTTTGTTTCCTTCACCAGTTCCTCTTCTCTTGTTAGCTTTAAACAATTTCTTGTGTAATTTTTTTATTTGCGCCTTTGAATGAAATATCGGGTGATTGTGATCCAATCGTTCTTTTTGATTTGAAAACTGATCTGATTCAGTTCGGCAAATGATATGAATGCTGAACTGACGTCATGATATCATGATTTGTGATCTGATTTGATACACTGCAAAATGGGTTCGAATGAATCTAAAAAGAAAAAGAAGAAACTTCCTTCCAATCAGATTATTTAGAATTTCTGACCAAACTTTAGTTTCTTTTTTTTCCTTTTTCATCTTCAGAATGACAGTCAACGGCGTTGTTGACGCGAGAAAAATCGAAAGAACAACGAAGAAGGAAAAGGGAAATACAAGAAACGAGGAAGGATTCTTTGGTAGAACATTACTGAAGTCTGATGCAATTTCAAAGTTCCTTGTTTGGTTTTTTAGCAAAAAAAGAGAAGAAGGAAGACAATTTTCAGAGACTTATGAAAAGAAGATTATCTGATGATAGGTGGTCTAGGAAGTAATAGTAAATGACCTTTCAATGGACCCATGGGGTGTCTATAGAAACTAAAAGTGAAAAATAAAATTAGAGTGCTGGAGACTGATAGAAAATAAAGTGTGATCTTTCAAAAATACTGTAAAACCCGTAATAGAAGGGCCACCACACTTTTAAGTTTGAGCTTAATTATCTCATATTCGAAACCGCCTATCTACAGATTTTTGCAGTTGGGGTTCCCCGGAAGAATCTGAAACAGAAAAGTGGATTGGAAACAAGAAGTAGAAGCGTTGACCTTGTTAATTCAAATCGAAATTTTCAGCATCTATTCATGTGCGATTTCCAACTTTGTTTATTGTTGCGATTTCTCGAATTCCTCCAAGAAATGCAAAAACCTTGTTTTATTCTGGTACAACAAAATCAGGAGCTGTGGAAGAGAAACGCCGGTGCACGTTACCGAAGGTCCCAACTACCGTAACCTAAAGATATTTCTACTTCCCCGGTTCATCTCCTCGATTTTCGTGCGTTTTCAGTCAATGTTTTTCACGAACAAAAGTTTTTATTTTCCGACTTTTCTGACTGAAAATAATAGCAAATTTGACAAAGAAGCAGTGAAAAACGAGAAAATTAATTCGGAAAATACATATTTGAGGTTAAGGTAGTTGTCGTTGTGGGACCTTTGAGCACGGCCACTGTAGTTTCTTTTCCACAGCACCGGTTTTTTGTACCATAATAATACAATTACCCGAATTCCTCAGAAAATTCAGACCTTTTTCATACAAAGCTATTCCTAGAAATACAAAAATCGTCTATTAAACTCTCAAGACAAAAACAAAAACAATTGACAAGTTCTCTACAATCGGAACTCTAAACTAAACAATCTCAAAAAAAAGTACTTCAAGTCAACAAATTTTCTTATTCTAATCTTTCAAAATTTGCGATTTTTAAATCTTATTAACTACAAATGCTCATTCAGAACTTAAACTATATCTTTTTGTGTCTTGCCTTGTCCATCATTTTCATATCTGAAGCTGAAATCTAAAAAAATGACATCATCCTCCCACGCTCTCTCTTTTTATGAAGAGACACCTGTGATGAATCAGCAGATGGTTGCCAAGGAAGGCAATTCTTATAGATCACAAACTACGATAAGACAGACAGTAGTAATGGGTCGTCGTAGGTCGGCTGAAATTCTTTTGAACTGAACAACTACTGGTCACACGATAACCTTCTCGATTCTTCTTGAATACTTTCAAAAAATCGTCGTTTTCCGTTTCCAAGGTCAATTATTTTGGCGATAGAAGCGGAAACAAAGAGATTCAAAAGAGATGACCTATTGGGTCCATCGCATCTCTTTTCACTCCCTCTCTCTCCCGCCCATTTGACACCGACATTTGATAGCGAAAAACGGGTTACTGTAGATGGTATATAAGAAGAAACTTCTGTCAGAACTCTACATATCCCTGATCATCTTTTCATTTGGTTTTCATCATCCTCTTCTCCGTTCTGATAACAGTTTCGGAACTGATCTATGCCTATCACTTCCTAACATTAAATGATTTCAGAATGAACAAGCTCCTCCTTCTTTTCGTCATCGTTGCTATCATCGCTATGGCTTCTGCTCAATGGGGAGGTGGTCCATACGGTCGTGGAGGATACGGACCATACGGTGGACGTGGATACGGAGGATACGGAGGACGTGGATACGGATACGGAGGACGTGGACCATACGGATACGGACCACGTACGTTTCCAGTATGAGCCGACATATTCATTGAATTCTAATTTCAGGTTACGGATACGGACCAGGACTTCTAGGAGCTCTCGTCGGAAAGTAAATCTCGACATTCCTTATCAGTTGCCAGAATCATCTCGATACTCTTCTGACTCGCCAACTCATCATTATAATTTGTGTAATAAGTACAAAACCGAACACTCTACAAAAAATAAATGGTTTTTTGATTGTCTCTATGAGTCTATCGTATGTACAGAAGAAGTAATTCGTCATTTGATGAGAAAAGAAAAGAAAAAATAGAGAAGAATGAGAGAAAATGAAGATATGCTTCCTGAGAGAAATATATTAGTATTATTGCGAGGATTTATCACCCGTCAAGCGCTTTGCCGGATTCGATTCGTCCCAGTTTGTTGGCCGATTCGGAATGTTTTCTTGAACGGAGACGTTTTGAGCGAGACGCGATGAAACGATACGAGTTGATTTGGGGGCAAGATGAAGAACGAGCGTGGCGGACCTGGAAATGGTTTTTTTAAAGAATTTTCTTTTCCCGGTTCCCATCACTCTTTATTTGTTCTTCAAATCCTTTGAACTAGCATAACTTTTGGGTAATGCGTTGTACTGGGCTCATATTTGTAGGGTTAATTTTTAAATAATTCATCAGGTAACTGGTCAAGTTTCAAATTATTTGATCAACTTTGAGCTGAGTTATCGCTTGCAAAATTTGCTTTATCTCATGAATTTCACAACGACGTAAAACACTGTTCATCTTTGGACAATCATAACAATACCTAGACTAGAAGAATCTCTTTGAAAATTCCAGTAGCTTTGATCCAAACGTAAAATTATATTCCTAGTAGAGTAACGTGTCGACAGAGACTCGTGTCGATTAAAAGAAAAAATAACTGAAAAATCGTCCACAAAAAAAATCGTCGGCACAGAGTCGACCAAAGTCGACAAATGTCGAGACGAGTCGACACGACACCGGCCTAACTTTATGATGGCCTAACTGTTGCAAATTGAATTTTCTAGGCCACTAAAGTTATGACCTAGAAATGGTCTATCATTATCCCGGTGTGATTTCTAGGCCGTTTACCATTGTGACCTAGAAAACTCAACTTATAAAAGTTAGGTCACCATGTTAAAATGACCTGGAAAACACATTAGATGAAAATGATACTATTTATTGCATAGATGTCCGGAGTTCGGAATCCGTATTCCGGATCCCGAGAATTTTTTCGTACCGGATTCCGCATTCCGTAAAATTTTCATTTGTCCGTATTCCGGATTCCGAGAAAATTATTTTATTCCGGATTCCGTCACTCAAAAAAGTCTATCCGGACATCTATAATTTATTGGCATAAAAAGTTTCGCGTCTTAGAAAATTCATTTTGAGAAAATTAGGTCACCATATAGTTAGGCCGGTGTCGTGTCGACTCGGCTCGACATTTTTCGACACAATATCGCTCTTGGTGAAGGTCGACACGATTTTTGTCGACTCCTTCAAAACGACATTTTGACTCAAAATCGAACGACAATCGTGTCGACACGTTACTCTAATTCCTACCAATTTTCGTGCTTCCGAGATATAATAATTATGTCAAAAGATGTAACCGTTTTTATTAGTCTCGATAATTGTGCGCCACCCTGTAGTACGTTACAGTTGATCATCTCATAAAAATTCGGTTCATAAGATTTTTGCACAAAAAAAGACCAAAAAGATTTTCATGCCACAAATGCCAAAACGTAGAATCACAGTTTGGCTTACATGCTCCAAGTAGCTGTCCTTGATCTCAGAAATCATGAAACTGATGAGTTTGTTCCATGTGCCACACACTTTTTCCTGAAATTGACATCGTACTCATCACAAAAACCCTCATCACTCATTTTGCCTCCTCATTTGCCTTGGATTACACTTACATTTGCATCTTTGCACAGGAGGTCAAGGAGCACATTCTTGAAAATGAGCCACTTCTCGGCGGTGAAGCTCATCGTTCGCACGTTTCCATGTTGGCGGCCCACGATTCTGAACGATGAGCTAGTTGAGAGAAAAAAAGATGAATAAAATGTGAGATTACCTGAGAATCTCCACAATTTGATCCGAACTTTCGACTCCTTTAGAGAGCATGTCAATGATTCCTGAAATGCACGTAGCACTTTTTAGCGTTTCTTGAATCACCACGCCTACCTGTAATGAATCTCTGGAACTTTCCAACATGAGTTCTGAACTTTTGCTCCACTTTCAACTGTTGCTCATTCAAATTTTCGAGTCCAAAACTGAACGCCATCTCCACTTCCTGCTCCTGAAAGAAATATTCTAATTAGTCATAGCTACTAATAGGGAAATTTACCAAAAATATAGTCAAAAACATTTGCTCGAACAGTGCGTATTTGTCGTCGATCTTCTGATATGACTCAATCATTTTGTTCACTTCCTCTTGTTCACAAATGAACAGACGGCTTGTGTATCTTACAATTATAAATTGTTAACACAAAAAATTATGTGAAAAAATGAATCACTGGAAAACAAAAAAACTTACTTGCTGGAAATATAAACATGGTCCCCTTGTATTGATGGACGTTGGAGACGTCTCACAAATTGTTGAATCCTAGCTGAGTGCATTCTGAAAAGAGTAAAAATGAATGGAATTCAGTTTACAGTAAAAGTTGAAGATGAATAAGGATCCAGAAAAAACAGAAAATCGAATCTTTGTGAAAATGCAGGTTTTATCGTAAAGCCTGTAATAGAGGGGTGCCCACACTGCCAAGTTTGAGATTATTTTTCTCGGCTCCTATGAAAGATACCAAAAAGTGGTCAACTGATAAAATTTTTGTGATATTATGATGAACAATTTATCATTTGACAACTTTTTTATATCTTCGACAGAAACCTAGAAAAATTGCCTCAAAGTTAAAAGCCAGAGGAACATATTATTACAGATTTTACGGTATTTCAATGTCCACAACCCATGGTCATCTGATTTTTGCAAGCTGGAATGGAAGACCCTTAAAAAGAAGTAGACAGAAACATGTTGTCTTGGCTGGAAGTAACTCGTTTCAGCCAGTGACGTGGCAGAGTAAACAACATTGACTCTTTGGAATAGCCGTCCCCCATGTTTAAAAGAGAAAAACGACTAGTTTTTCTAGACGTCCAATTTTCGGATTTTCCTCAAAAAAAGAAAAATGGAAAAAAATGGGTGAATCGAGTTGATTCAAAACAGAAGTACTTAAATTTTTCTGTCAAAACAGTGAACTGTGGAAACTTGGGAATTGAGATAAAGGACAGATAAAAAAAGAAGACAAGATTCTTGGAACAAGTTGGAACTAGATAAATTATGTAGAGCAGAGACAGAGAGATAATAAAACATTTTGTATTCGTCGTGTACAAGACGGTGATGAAACGATGGGAATGATGAGGAATGGTGATGATCCGCCAGAGCACATGGATGCAATATTCATGAGAGCACACACACTCCCAACCACTTCGGACACTCAGTAGGGGAAGAAGAAGAAGAAGGGGAAGAAAATGAATTGGAGGAGCACTGTGATATCAAGAGAAACTGAATGATGAAGTAGGGAAAGAAGAAGAAAAAAAAAGAAAAGAAAGAGGAGGTGGAGAGACACCTCAGGTGGGCGGATCAAAAGTTAATTATGAATCAGAATGAGGCTAATACGTAAAAAGAACAAAAATGTTTTTGAAACGAGGTATCCATCTGGAAAAATTGTGACCAGTTTCTTAGAACCAAACTTTTCTGATTCCAAATATACATTATTTATGTACTAGCAGCTTCTAATTATTTTTCAATAATATCATCTTCTAAAAATAGACTTCTGAGATTCAGTATTATTTTTATGGGACTGGAAAATGTACATATAGTGAAATTTTCCAACTACAGGGCAAAAAATATTTGTGACGTGGTATAGAAGTGCAGAACCATATGCACATATACATACTTTCAGGCCTCCGTGTAGCACATTCTAAACTAGAAGGGCCCCCTTGCTATAAGATCCCCTCCAAAAGAAAGGTCCCTGGTGATAGAAGGGCTCCCTTCCCAATGTGTTGTTTGTAATCAAACATTTCCGTAAGTTTTCAGAGTAAAATATTCCGAAAATCCCACAGTTTTACAGAATTGATACACTCTTTTGTTTGCTCAAAAAATTGCTCATTTTCGTGAAATCGATAGATTTTTTTAATTTTATGAGAGAATTTACCGATTTTTCAAATAATAAAAGAACCCTCCGGAGGTTCCTGGAAACAATAAATGGACCGGCCCTACTAATACAGGTTTACGGCAGTTCCCTCAAACTCAATATAATCAAATTACCCGGAATATAAGCCCCCTCTAACGTTTAACTTGGATCCAATTTATCTCGATTCCTGTGAAAAATATCAAAAAGTTGACAACGGATGAATTGTTTATCATAATATCACAAACATTTTATCAGTTGACACATTTTTGATATCATGCACAGGAATTCAGATAATCGAGCTCATTTTTAAAATTGTGGGGCTCTTCTATTACAGGTTTCACGGTAGACAAATTTCACAAAATAAGAAACAGTAAAATCTCGAAAACAACAAAAATTCCAGTGAACAACAATTTTACAACTTTGCAGTTATTCTCTTTAGCTTCTTTCTTCCATTTATTGAATTCTACCAAATTGAGTATTGGCATTGGAACCCAAATCAACTAATGGAAATCCTCTCTCTCTCTCTCTCTTTTTTACGTAATTTCTAAAAATAGAAATGTTCAATTCATCCAAGTCTTCTCTTCTTTCTTTCCCATCCATCGCAAACGAACGTTTCAGAAGTCATGAAGAAGGAAAAGAAGAAAAACGATGAGAAAACACGAAAAAGTGGGTGAATAGGATACCACTGGGCACAAGAAGATGAGCAAGAAATACACGTTCATGTGCAGTTTGAAAAGTTATGTGTGAGTATGTGAAAGTGGTGTTAGGAGGGGAGATGCAATGTTGAAAGATCGAAGCTCATTCTTCTTGATTTCGACAACGGATAAGAGGAAACTGAAGGGGAAGTGGAAGAGACTTGCCGCCGTCGAAGAAGAAGAAGAATAGGAAGAAGAAGAGAAAGAAGAAGCTGAATGT